GCTGTCCTCATGTTGCTAGTACAGTCGTACCGGGGAAACTGAACAGAATCTGCTCCAGAAGTCCGTTTGACTTCCAAAACGTTCAACTTCCAAAGTGCGGCTTTTGATTGGCTGCAGGAAGCTCCTGCAGCCAATTGGAAGCAGCAGAAGTCCCATCAGATGTTCAGCTTCCGGAAAAAACAATCGAAAACCAGAACACTCACTTCTGGTTTTCGATCATTCGGGAGCCAAAACGTTCACCTCCCAAGGCATTCGGGAGCCGAGGTACGACTCTAATGAAGCAGGATTCAGCTGACCATCCACTCAGCTTCTGCATGTAGAATGGGGCTGGTAGTGAAAGCAAACAGCCGTCTTGGCCTTTTCCTCAGGCAGCAAAATTTCACGACCAACCCTGAATACGTGTGTGGTGTTTGCCCCTAGGATGCATCAAGGAAAGAGTTAAAAATGGGTGTGATGTGATTGGCCAGTGAGAATGCGAGGGGGGAGTAAAAGATAGAGTGGGAGGTTTTGAAAAGACAGTTGAGGTCTGGGAGTTGAAGGTTGAGGTTTGGGAGTTGGGAGTTGAGTTTTGTCAGTTGGGAGTTGAGGCTTGGGTGTTGGAGAAGGAATACGCAGTGGGTTGGTTGAGTTGTATTGTGAGAGAGTGAGTGGAATTGTTAGGGAGTTAGATAGATAGTTGGGAATAATTCAGTTTGAAGTTGTAGGAACTAAGATTTAAGAAACTGACAAGAGAAAAATAAACCGAAACCATACGCTTGTTCCTGCACTTAAAAATAAACTTGATTATTTGTTAATGTTAACAACTGTCTGGACTCTGTGTGTCCCCGTGAGAAGCAGGATGGTGGCAGCGAAGAAAGCAACCGCAGTGGTGGCACAGGGTCAGTAGACTGTGAAACGTCCGGGGGCCCTGTGTGATCGCCACAACGTGCATTTTATCTCCTGCACCTCAGTGACAGCACATATGCTTTGCTTCAGAATGCCCACATTCAATCCTGGCATCTTTAGCTGGGACTGGGAAGGACCTCTCTCAGAAACCTTGCAAAGATTATGTCAGTTGCTGAAGGGCAACAGTGCATACTGTACACTTACAGAGTCCTTACACTCAGTTTCATGCTGCTGCATGTCAGATTTCAGTTTGCATGCTGTTTTTATCTTGTTTTAAATATTGTCACTTTCTGGAACCATCTTTTATCCCTGTATTTTTTTAAAAAAGTCAGTCAAATATTCATGTATTTATTCTATCCACATTTGTTATGCAAAACGGCATTGATTGTTCATGTCTCAGTCACGAGCTCAAAACCCAACACGTTTATTTGGATTGTTATTATAGTCCAAGACATTGTGAAGAGGATCCGTAAAATGGCACTTGGGCAAATCCACCTTGCAAATGCCATGTGAGAAGTGTACAAAATAGGATCCCCTCATTAACGATGGAGCAGAGCTCTTATAATATTCATTTTACATGTTACATTTCCCAAGGGATTTGATGTTTAGAAGAAGTTTCCATTGGAGGACAGAGAATTAGAATGTTGTGGTAGACTTGTAATAATGTATTTATTTATAAATATACAGATTGATCAGGCTTCATGAATGTGCAGAAGCAAGTACACAGACAGATGGTCTAGTTCCAGTGAAATGTTAACCTCAAGAAATGTTTTTCTCAATTATTTTGCCAGTTATCCTAGAGCCGGGGTGGGGGAAGATTCCAGTCCCCACTGCAATTCTCATTTCAGACACTTGGCCCATTAATAGTTAACAATTAACAATTGCCCATTACTAGTAGTAAGCCCAATGGAAGAGTTATTTCCAGTGCTGCCCTTAGGCAGCTAGACATCTGCTTAGGGCACAGACCTCAGAAAGGGACAGTACTAACTAACTATGCATCAGACTTAGGCACAGCTGCTAAGCCATAAAGCAAAACAAGATGGGACAGTCGAATTGATGCTTTGAAACCACTGAGATTTCATCTTGGTAGTATATTTGATGCTTTAATGACAAAACATTTTCTTTTGGATTTGAGAACGATAATCAAAAATTGTTGCAATTTAAAATAAATTTAGCGCTTTCAAGTTTTGTGCTTTTCATTTTTTTCTACAATTTTTAAAACTTGACATTAGCGCAAAAATATATTTTGGGGTGCAGATAGCCTTTCCTGGGGCGCAATGTAGCAGTGGTTGCAACACAGTGAGAATTTTGGCAGAAAACCTTCTCTACTACTATTATACCCAATGGGAAACTGCATTGCCTGGCCCTGCAGGGGCAGGCTGAGGTTTGTCTCAGGAGCCAGAAACTGGGGGCCACCAGCCCTGGGGCATCTAAGTTAGCCTACTGCCCACCGGTAATGTGTAGGGTGCTGTCTCCTCATCAGTACTGAAGCAAGATTCAGCTGCATATCTGATTGTCTTTGCCTCAATGTGTGGATTGTGGGTGATTACACTCTGTTTCAGAGTACTGATACTGTGGTACCTCACGTGAAGTACTTAATTCGTTCTGGAGGTCCGTTCTTAACCTGAAACTGTTCTTAACCTGAAGCACCACTTTAGCTAATGGGGTCTCCCGCTGCCACCGCGCTGCCGCCGCACAATTTCTGTTCTCATCCTGAAGCAAAGTTCTTAACCTGAAGCACTATTTCTGGGTTAGCGCAGTCTGTAACCTGAAGCGTATGTAACCTGAAGCATACGTAACCCGAGGTACCACTGTACATCTTAAATTGTGAGGTGTGGAAGCATTCTACAAAAAGCAGCTGTGAGTTTTATGAAGAAGAACCTACATGGAATGGGGGTAGGCCAAGGTTTTGAAAATGGTATAGGTGCAATATATTCTGAACAAAAGGCCAAATTAATTGTAAATAATGTGGTCACGGAAGAATTTAAGACAGAAAAAGGGACACGACAGGGGTGCCCAATCTCCCCACTGCTTTTTATATCGGTCCTGGAGGTCTTGCTAAACATGATTAGAAGGGACCGGTTGGTTAAATGTATACAGGTCGGAGCCAAACAGTACAAACTGAGAGCATTTGCAGATGACTTAGTATTGACGTTACAGGAGCCAGAATCTAGTACTAAAAGGGTTTTAGAATTAATTCAAGAATTTGGTCAAGTGGCAGGTTTTAAATTGAACAAGTTAAAAACTAAGGTTTTAGAGAAAAATTTAACACCGATTGAAAGAGATAGGTTTCAGAATGAGACAGGATTGACTGTGGTAAAGAAAGTGAAATACTTGGGGATTAATATGACAGCCAAAAATGGGAACTTATTTAAAGATAATTATGAAAAATGTTGGACGGAAGTGAAAAAAAGACTTAGAAATTTGGTCAAATTTGAAACTTTCATTGTTGGGCCGCATTGCTGTGATAAAAATGAATGTATTGCCGAGAATGTTGTTTTTATTTCAGACATTGCAAATTGTGGACAAGATGGACTGTTTTAAGAAGTGGCAGAGAGATATTTCTAGATTTGTCTGGCAGGGCAAGAAGCCCAGAATAAAATTTAAGATACTAACAGATGCAAAGGAAAGGGGTGGATTTGCCCTGCCAGACCTTAAACTTTACTATGAATCAGCAGCTTTTTGCTGGTTGAAAGAATGGCTACTTCTTGAAAACACAGACATTTTGGATTTAGAAGGTTTTAACAATGTATTTGGATGGCATGCATATTTATGGTATGATAAGGTCAAAGCACACAAAGCATTCAAAAATCATATTGTCAGGAAAGCATTGTTTAATGTCTGGATAAGATATAAAGATTTATTGGAAAATAAAACCCCAAGGTGGCTGTCACCAATGGAAGCAAAAGCTCTGAAAAGGCTCAATATGGAGGCCAAATGGCCGACATATTGGGAAATTTTGGAACAAGAAGGAGATAAATTGAGATTGCAGAGTTTCGAAAAACTAAAAACAAAGTGAGAGATTGGCTTCATTACTATCAGATAATGGAGGCATATAATTTGGATAAGAAAATTGGCTTCCAGGTGGAAAAGTCAAAATTAGAAACAGAACTGCTAGAACCCAAAACTAAGAATCTGTCAAGAATGTATAACTTGCTGTTGAAATGGAATACTCAGGATGAAACGGTGAAATCTGCTATGATTAAATGGGCACAAGATGTTGGACATAATATTATGTTTGCTGACTGGGAACAGTTATGGACCACAGGTATGAAGTTTACGGCATGTAATGCCTTAAGAGAGAATATTATGAAAATGATATACAGGTGGTACATGACCCCAGTCAAGCTTGCAAAAATCTATCATTTGCCCGATAATAAATGCTGGAAATGTAAAGAAACTGAAGGTACATTCTTTCACCTTTGGTGGACGTGCCCAAAGATTAAGGCTTTCTGGGAAATGATATATAATGAATTGAAAAAGGTATTTAAATATACCTTCCTGAAGAAACCAGAGGCCTTTCTTTTGGGCATTGTCGGCCAATTGGTGCCAAAGAAGGACAGAACTTTTTTTATGTATGCTACAACAGCAGCAAGAATACTCATTGCAAAGTATTGGAAGACACAAGATCTACCCACTCTGGAAGAATGGCAGATGAAGGTGATTGACTACATGGAATTGGCAGAAATGACTGGCAGAATCCGAGACCAGGGAGAAGAGTCGGTGAAAGAAGACTGGAAGAAATTTAAAGACTATTTACAGAAATATTGTAAAATTAATGAATCTTAGAAGGATGTTGGATAGAAACTAAGTGGTTTCCAGCTGTAATGCTTTAAGAGATATGAAAAAGGTTTACAAATGGGTAAAAGCTTAATGGTAAGGATTTGCTGAACTAACAAACTGAACTGGAATACAAAAAAGGGAGGTACGAGGAGGTCCGGGGAAATAAGTGTAAGGAAGATATGCTATGGAAAATTAATGTGTTTTTAACTGTTTTTATTTTGTATGTTTCTTTTTATTTTTCATTTCTTTGTTATACCTTAAAAACTTTAATAAATATCTCTTAAAAAAAAAAGCAGCTGTGATGAGGAACCCTAAGATAATAGATCTCTAAGACAGTAACTCTCTCCTATGAGATTTACTTGCTGTACTGCTACCAGCTTTGTGGTCATCCTTATTCTTCCTTTAAAGTGAAGTGCAATTTGTATTGTGATGAATACAGAGAAATTGGCTTGTATTCTGCAACACAATATTATTGCTTCCACACTTGATAGTGACCAGTGCTTTTTTTCTAGAAAAATAGGTGCTGGTACTGTAAAAGAGAGAGAGAGAGAGAGAGAGAGAGAGAGAGAGAGAGAGAGAGAGAGAGAGAGAGAGATGCCGGTACTGCATCCTTCCAGCTCAGCTTTTCATTTCCAGCTCCCTTATTCATTCTGTCCCATTCAAGTGAAGCTCCATCCCAAAGTGTTTGTGTCCTTATAAAATGTTGGAGGAAGAAAGCACCTGGTAAGCACAGCCCTGCTTGAGAAATATTCAGAGGAAGGAGATCAGACCATTTGCAGAAGAGGTCATCCTCACAGGGGATTCATAGGCATAGCATAGAAAGTAGATGAGAAATTCCTGACCATGGGAATTTCTGGTGGGAAATGTAAGATATTAAGATATCTTCCTCAAAGATATCCATAGTTTTGTAGCTACTACTTTACAGTACTCAAGCACAAGGTAGTGCTCACAAAATCTCTCTGTGTGTGCAGCAGAAGTTAGACAGCTGGGGGAACCTGCATGGCTTTTGGGATTTGCAGTGTTTCCACCAGAAATAAAAGTTCTCAGTTGGGGAGGGGAGAGAAAATCAAGCAGTTCCTTCCAGGGAAATTTCCATTTTTCAAATCTCTTCCACTCATTTTCTCATCATTCTCCTCCAAACTGTTATTATCAGCAACATTTCTAAAACATAAATAAATTGAATAAATCTCAACAATTCCATTGACTTTAATGGATAATTTTGGCACAATCTATAAACAGAAGTGCCCTGAAGTCAGTATCTAAAGAGGTTCCATTTTCAATAGGATATTTGTTCACACACTGGCATGCATGTAAATGGCTTTCATTTCCTTGGCGTATAAATGTATGGACAATGGGCATATCTGAGCACCTATTGTTTGTCCCTCGAGGCAAATTCAATAATGGGCATCATTCAGATGCTCCAAAGGCAAGGCCCTGCCTGCCAAGCCCTTACATCACAATCGAGTGCAATATTCCAAAGGCTCATCATCGCTATTGTTAAGAGCCTCATCTCCTGCTGCTGCCATTGCTTCCGTTTCAGCTTCAAAAGCTGGATTGAACCTCCCAGGTGTGTAGTCGTTCCTTTTCAGATCTGTGGAGAAAACAGTGAAAACTCTGATCATAATTCCTTAGCATATACAAAGTGTTAAATCGATCCATTACATGGTAGAGAACAGGAAAGAAACCACATTTATATTATTGTCTTTCCCAAGTCCCACTACACAAGTCCTGGTTTCAAAGAAGTGAAAGGGAAGCGAATCAAATCACTCAGCAAGCGTAATAACTTTTCTGCTTTTAAACCTTCTGTGCCTTCTGCTGTGTACCTGGGCTCAAACTGACCCCTCATCAGGAATGGGCTTTATTGTGAACTCCTGATGCGCCCAAGAAACAGAATAAGAGGTAGAGGATTCAGAAGGGCAATAGAGACGAGTGGAGAGTTGGGCTGACCAAGTTGTGGGTAGCAAAGTAATGGGGTAATGGCTGATGGACCAGCTTAAGAAAAAATAATTTGTAAAATCCTTATGAACATAGATTTATAAGATACCCTGTGGTATCTGTTCAAGAAGTATTTGACATTTGTTTGCAATCATTAACAAATGTCATCTTGTATAAAAATCAACAGATGTTTATGGATTATGCTCAGTGATCACAAAGATAAAAAGTGAGTTGAGTTATTGGGTTGGTTGCCCCATCTTGCTAAGCTCTTACTGCATCTCCATACTTTCCTCTTTTAGACAAAAACCCAGTTTCTCCCAAGCAAACCCGATTGGAAGCTGAGAACAAACCTTGACTTTCTGACTGTGGTTTGTTTGGCCGAAACAACTGCCTGCTGGTTCACACATAATGTGAAGTCAGCCTCTAGTTTGTTCCCTCCCTGCAGGACAAAGTGCTAGGAAGGAGCAGAGAGAGTTGGGAGCTTTTGAGCAGCATGCTCAAGCTTGGTGCACACTGCCTTACGAGACAACTTTAAAATAAACTATGTTTGAATGTGACATGTCAAGCAAGCCATAGTGAGCATATGGAAGTGCAATCACAGCCATTATTATGGCCTTTTCCCATCTCCAAGCATGTGAAAAGTGCTTGCAGGCACAGGGTCTGAGAACTAGGAGATCAGAAGCTAGGAAGAGGCTAGAATTTAGGCAACAGATGAGCATAATTCACCATCCATCCTAGACTCAGAGACAGCTGTTCTCCAGACTGTTTGTTTCTGTAATGGCCACCATAGCTCCACCATGGTGATATCGGCCTGTGTTGCCCTGATTTGGTGTGTATCACAGGGCGAGATGTAACCTTGGTTAACCTTGCAAAATAATCAACCAGCAGGTGGGTTGGTTGATCCAGGATTCACACTCAGTGCCTACACCATAACTTGTTGACATTTCTAATCAATGAAATCATGGCCTGTTTAAATCCAAAGTGGTTGTACTGTGTTTATTGAAATTTCACCATGCTTTGGCTCCACCACCTTCATGGCGCCTGGAGCTAGCAAAATGCAGAGCTTTTCTATTGCTTACCGGGAAGTCTGAGTTTCCTACAACAAGAGTTGCAGCAATGCTTTGAAATGAAGTTTTTGATTGCTTCTTCTCCAAGGTTTGCTGGTCCAAATACCATCCCTCTAGATCTGGAAGAAACAACAGTACAAATGAATTTTTAGCTCATGTTTTTATCTATTTCCCAAAATACTGCAAAGCAAAGCAGTGGTATGACAGCAGTTTGTTTAAATTAAAAAGCTTCAAAATGAGAGACTTTACTCCCCAGATGCTGCTAGATTGCAAATTCTGGCATCCCTAGGATTAGCTATGCTGGATGGGGAGATGGGAATTGGAGCCCAGCAACATGTGGGGGTCACAGGTTCCCCACCCTGATATAGATATATAATGGCTGCTTACCCAGTCACAGGTTGCCGCCTGTCATGGCTGGCTCAGATCTCCCAGGCCGGCTGCTTTTATTGGCAGGCTTTCCCACCATTAAACCAGGGCGGAGGAAGGGGGTGCGGTGGGGGCAGGTCACCTGGGGTGTCACCACTGAGGGGGGTGACAAAATGCTGGGCAGCACTCACTGCAGGGCCTGCAGCGCACCCAAGCCACACGTCTCTCCTGGGACTGACACGGTGGCTTGGGTGCCCACAGGCTCCACACTGCCCCAAACGGTCCACCCGCTGCCTCCCCCCCAGCTGTAGGGAGGCTGAGTGGGAGGAGGCAGTCAGAAACCTCGGAGGCACCGCAGAGCATCCTGCCCTGGCTGGCCCTGCCCCAGCGGGCAGCTGGCCCTGTTCTTGGGGCGCAGGGCACACGTGCCGCCCCAGGCACCCTATCAGCTTGCTCCGCCTCTGTTGGTGGCACTGGGCTTAGTCATCTCCAACTAAGCAGTTCTTTATTCTGTCCTTGTTTCAGAATGAGGGGGCTTTCCTTCCAAAGCAACCACAGCAAAGCACACACAACTTTAGTTAGGAAATAAGCACCACCTAACACCAGCCACGTTTGGAACAAGATTGGGATTGTTGGATATTTTCAGTCCCACATTTTATAAGGGAAGGAATGCCCACGAGTATGTTCAGAAAAAGCCTCTGTAGAAGACTGATAAATCTACAAACAAATATTATGAGTCCTTAGCACATGAAGATCAGCGAATCTCAAGAGAGTCATCTACCCGGGAACCAACACAGTGACTGTAGGGAGAATTGATATTTGGGTGACCAGGAAAGCAACCAATGAGCTGGGAAACCTCTGATTCAAAGATCCCCGTCATCATGAATTTACAAAGTGGCCCTAACTTAAGCAAGAAATTATTTCACAGTACGAGATGTCTCCACACCTCTGCCAGACTGTAATATGGAGATAATACTGGCCTGCCCCCTTAGAGTTTTTATAAAGCTTTTCATTTTTAGAAAAGGTATACTGGACTAGTCAGATCCACCAGTGCTACTGAATAAAGTTGCTGTATTTCAAAGTGGTGTTCAAACCCAATGGAAACAACTAAATATTTGTTTATTTGTGTATTTGTTTATTTCAAATCTTGCTTGCTCATTCCTTTGGAACTGGCAGCTGGGGTGTTTATTTCCACATTTTGCATCCAATCTAAGCTTACATCTAACAAAAAAGTATCTTTTAAAAGTTGCAGAATCACACTGGTATTCAAATGCATACTGCCTCCAAGCAGTTGCCAAATATTCCAAACGACCAGGACCCTGGAGTTATGATTGTGTTCTTCCGAGCGTTCAAAGCAAGCTGCATTCTAAACTGCCTCAGAACTCCAAGGAGCAGTTGCTCCAGTGACCAGCTCAGACCAGCCTCACTCTTTCAGGTCTTCTTAGGTCAGACACTGGAAGAGAAAGACCTGAAAAAAGCCCTTGCCCTGGAAAAAAGACTGGTTGAGGAACTGATTTCACGTAGGTGCATATATGCAGCGCTCCTCAGTTCCCCAACAACATAGCGGTGTTTTCTGAGATAGGAACAAATTGACTTTTTAAAATTTCCTTTTGCCCTGTCTGAGAGGCTTTTCACATTGTGTGGGTGTGGGTGTGGGAGAGGGGGAGAGAGAGAGGGAGAGAGAATGAGGTCTAAAGTCAGAAAGGATTCTTTCCTGAACAGTAGCTGTATTGGTCTGTTGCACCAAACTTTCTTTCAAGGGTAAAATGCATAACTTTGGTGGGATCATGCCTGACATTTTAACAATGGAGAGGAAAGGGAGGGGAGCAGAGAAATGCAGAGTGGACAAGACAAGAGCCCAATTATCTGCATGGAGGGTGTCCATAGAACAAAAGGGGTTGTGCGGTTGTGCAATTTCTTCACCCCTGGGGAAATCTAACATTATGTGCATACCGTTAAACGATGAAGTGTCCCTACCAGGACTTCATGCATTTGGCCTCAGTTGCCAATGTGGTGACCGTTCTTTGTATGGCCTTTGCGCTATATAACATCTTTGAACCAGGAAAACACGACAATTTCATTGCTACGTTCTTTTCAATTGGAGCAATGATGGAGTTGGCAGCAGGTACATGTGTACTTATTTCCATTTTCGTGGAATCTTCATTCTATATTAACAAATGAAGGAATTCCGCTTCCTGAGGTTTTGGGAGTGCCTCCCATTCCAACAGAACAACGTACTGGAATTTCAAAATAATTTGGGTTTATTGCTGCAGCTTCACAGCTTTTAAGTGGAACACTGGTTCTGGGTGAAAAATATTTTTGGAAAATGAGTGAAATAAACACTTCCAAGCAAAAATTTGTAAAGAAGAAAGTGTTACAGACACTGAAAACCCAGAGCTCAGGATGAAATGCAGGCAGTACTACTCTTCTGTGACACTTGAGTGTGAAGAAGCAAAACCCACTATTGGCAGAGATATCAAAGTCATATTAAAATGGAAACCATGCCAGGCTCATTAGGAATATGGCTAAGGAATGGTTCCAGTCCTGTGACTGGCTTTTTTTAAATGGTAGCATGGGACGTTGTGTATATTTACTACCAAATTTGTTGATTTTATCTTTTCTTATGCATACCCGTATTTTTCACCCTACAGGGTGCACCGGCCCATAGGGTGCACCTAGGTTTTTTTGGGGGGGGGGATAAAGAAAATTTAAAGAAAATTTTAATTTAAAGAAATTTTAATTTAATTTAATTTAATTTAATTTAATTTAATTTAATTTTAATTTAAAGAAAATTTAAAGAAAAAGAAAAAAAAATCCTCCCCTAGGCGCGGGGCTGGGGCAGGGGAAGCCCGAGCTTCCCCCGACCCCAGCCCCCAGAACAGGCTGCTATCCGCAAGCCTTGGGAGCCCAGCGGGAGTTTCCGCAGGTCTCCCCAGGCTTGCGGATATCTGCCCGAAGCCCGGGGCACGCTCCGCTGCACCCCCCGGGTTTCGGGCTGCAGGCTGCTGTCCACAAGCCTTGGGAGCCCGGCGGAAACTCCCGCCAGGCTCCCAAGGATTGCGGATAGCTTCCTGAAGCCTGGAGAGTGAGATGGGTCAGTGCGCACAGACCCCTCTCGCTCTCCAGGCTTCAGCGAAAGCCTGCATTCGCCCATAGGATGCACACACATTTCCCCTTCATTTTTGGAGGGGGAAAAGTGCGTCCTATAGGGTGAAAAATACGGTATTCTGTTTGGTTTTTTATCTGAGTGCTTCTATATCCCACCCTGGGATGCTTACAACATAGGGTTAACTATAAATGGGGGGGATGAAAAGTATAAAACTGTTATATTTAGATATTTATTTTATGCTATATCTCTTTTAGCAATAAAAAGAATGTTATCTCATCGCACACTTATGCTGGAGTGCTTATTTCGCTGCAGACTCTCCTGTCTATGGTGCTTTTCGAATTTTCTGCATTTCAGAAACACTGCAAATTGCAAAAGGTTCTGGGGCATGCTGTGTGTGTGTGTGTGTGTGTGTGTGTGTGTGTGTGTGTTTGCAGTCCGTTTTACAGAGAATACTGGCCAAGCCTTTGAGTGCCTGTGTGCTGCTCCCAGCCCTGGCCAGCAAGAACAATGATCAGGGACGCCCGGCTTCCAGTGGTCCAGAGAGACCTAGGCCACTTCCAGCTTTAGGCAGAATAAAAAAATTAAAATGAAGGAACACAAAACAAAATAGCGCCACACACCAAAGAAGTGAGATGTAATTAAATATGACGAAATATCTGCGAACAAAAAAGGGAACCAACGTCTTTTACCAAATCATACCTCTCATTTGCTTAGGTTTGCAGCTCTAGGCTGAGAGTGGGTGTAGAAACAAGTTGAGAGAAGAATCAAATACCCCAAAAATTAAGAAGGGACTAAATCTGAGGCCCACTTGGAGGTTGTGCACCAGGCCAAATGCCCCCCTGCAACCCCTCCCCCAAACTGGCCCTGCTTACCGGTTTACTTCAAAAACTCCTGCTGCTTCTGAACACCAAACAAGACAGTAGAATGGGCCCTAAGGTACAAATTCTGTGCTATTTTTCTAGAAAAAGAGGTGCTGGAGCTCACCCTGAATGCCTTCCTTGTTCTCTTACAATGGCAACAGTGCCAACCTGAGAGGTGCCGGAACTGAGATCCAGCGAGTTCCAGCTGAAAAAAAGCCCTGTACAAACTATAATTTTGAACGGATCCATGATATTCTTAAGAATCCTGTAAACATTTCAGTTTTTTAGGCATCCAGAAGGTTGGGTTCCATTTTTTGCCAAATTGCACCAGGTCTTATTTTATTGCTGCCGTAAATACAATTCTGCTCCTTACAGCTTTCCCACAGTGATTTACAGCTAGGAATGACTTTGACAGAAGACCACGGGTATTTAGGAACAGATTTCCCTGTACAACATGGCAAAATTATTATCTATACAGATGGTGCTCTCTGTGTCTATAATCCATACTGTAAAATAATAATAATACATTACACATTTGTAAAAGTCAACAGTTTCATAACGAAATCTTGGACGTAGTAATCTTTGACCTGTGTATCCAGCCTCGGCCACTGCTTTCCTGATAACTCCTGGTGTCATTGTTCTCCATCTCAATCAACTTGCTCACTTCATCCTTTGGTTTCTCAAAATTTGTTCTGGAGTAAGTTATAATGATTACCTGTCAGGGTCACCTGGTCCCTATGCAGGGGCGGAGGAAGGGGGCGGTGGGGGTGGGTCACCCCAGGTGTCACCACTGAGGGGGGGGGTGACAAAATGCCGGGCAGCACTCACCGCAGGGCCTGCCGCGCGCCCAAGCCATGTGTCTCTCCTGGGAGTGATGTGGTGGCTTGGGCGCCTGCACGCTCCGCGCTGCCCAAACGGTCCATCCGCCGCCTCCCCCCAGCTGTAGGGCGGCTGAGTGGGAGGAAGCAGGCAGACTCCTGGGAGGCCCTGCCGAACGTCCTGCCCTGGCTGGCCCCACCCCAGACGACCGATTGGCTTCCACTGCTGCTGCATCTAACCACTTGAATGCTGGACCAATCCAGCCAAGGTGAGTGGGTCTGCAATGTACCTTCTTTCTGTTTCATAGATGCCAACTCTACAGGGATGAGGCATCTTCAGCCCTCCAGTGTCTGTTGGGACAGGGCTAAGCAATGGAGGGACAAAGGAGGCTGAGCCCTTCCTTGCCTGCCCTCCCCCTCCCTCCTACTTTTGTCTGCTGTCCTCTGCCTCCTTGGGAGATGCCGTGCGGCCTGGCTGGAGGCTGCCCCACGGGGGGGGGGGATGCCACACGGCCTGGCACAGCCTGGCTGGAGGCTGCGCTGGGCTACGTAGCATCAAGATACACCAAACCAGCACTGAGAAGGTCTGTGACAATTGCGCAACATCACAATGCGCATGACATCACATATGCACGCTGCATGTGTGACATCACACATGCACAACAGACCCCTCCCATGCTGAGTGAAACTCAGGGCCTCTGCTCTGCTTCATTGAGAAATAGCAGTTCTCCAACAAAATTTAGAAAATTCAGTAGTGTGACAACCTAGCAGTTACTCAGGGCTATGATTTTTATGAAAACCACCCTCAGATTATGCATATTACATGGAAAATGTACATTACATGCACACATTAGTTTGTGATTACATATTTCTTGTTGTTTCCTGAATAAAAATGAGAACTAACTTAACTAATAAGACCCAAGGCTGATCTTGAGAATAAGGTAAAGGAAAGGTAAAGGACCCCTAGATGGTTAAGTTCAGTCAAAGGTAATCTATTTCTGCAATTTGGCACCTAGGATCAATGCTCATTAAATAGCAGTATTACTTACCCACCATTTTTCTTGAGAACGTAATTAACCCTCTAGATCTCATATAAGAGGATGTACACAAAATGCTGCCCATAGTCAGTGCATTTTATTTCTATATGTTAAAACAGCAAAGGGGAAAAGCAAATTCTCCCTTGCCTTCTCCGCATATAAGCACTGTCTCCAGAGACAGAGAATTTTGCAAACAAGCAAAACAGGACAAAGAGGTAGAAGGTATTTAAGGTTCAAATCTTTTATAAAATATCTTTCGCTAATATAGCAATATGCAAGCTTTTGAATTCTCTGACCAAAGATTTGGGCACAACCTAGAGAGTCCTTTTGCAACTAGAACTTTTCCCCGGTTAAAATATTGTGGGACAAGTCCCAGACTGATTGTAAACTTTCAGAGACACCGTGCATTAAAGAAACTAGCATCTCCGACTGAATTTTTACAAGCAGAGGGGATTGACATGATTACCCTCTCCATGGATTTACTTTATGTAATTACCCAAATGCTTTTCTTAACTGATGCTTTGGGCAATCACTTCAACCCTTATATGGAAAATTACTACCAGGAAAGCTTTCTTACAGAGAAGGGTGGGTGGAGCAGAGAGTATAGGAGGAATGGTAGAATACCTAAGCACAGAACATGGAGCAAAGCCACTATTGTTTTGAATCAGGGATAGTATCATACAGAGACGGCCCTGAGAATGTACAGAGAGCCCTTCCTGCGCAGCTGAATAACCCATGGCATCCTGCACACATAATGGCAGAAGACAGGACTTCCAAGGATATTTAAACATGAATATATTTTCTTTGCAAAACTAAGCACTGGTTGCTTCTATGTCGTTATGTCAGGCTAGTCAGTCACACAAGTAGATTTCCAAAACACCAATGGCGTTGCATCCTTCACTGGCACCTTGGGGGTGCGTACACACATGCCCCAGGCAGGACCAGGAGCTGGGCACAGAGGGCAAAGAAAACCCACTGTGCCTGCCCAAGCCTCTCTGCCGCTACTGGGCGGGGTGGGACACTGAGGGGTCACAGGGCTGGGCTGTGCCCCCTGCCCACCCACACAGGGGAAGCCCAGCCAGCCAACGCAGCCCTTGGCAAGCAAGTCTAGCTGACGTTTCTTAGTCAGCCTGAGGCAAGATTGTCCCATTTTTGTCAGTCTAGAAACAATTTGGGGCAATAACCTGGAGTTGCTCAACAAATAATCCCTTTAAACTAGTGTCATGGAAGCTCAGATTAGACACCACTTCGTTCTTGGAACTATTCTCAGTTTCACCACTCTAAGAGTTTTGGGGTCCTGTTTTGGCAAGCCTGACCCGTGAATGTGAAGACATTCAATACCTAGTTTCAAAACAAAAGGTGTCCATGACTCCTGGAGCTTATAGCTCCACATTCAACTTTTCATATCTGTCTTGCACTGTCATTCAGTTCAGGAAGATATATGTGAAAGCATTCTAAGGTAAGCAAGGCCTAAGTGATCCTCCAAGACACTGTATATTAAAATTAGCACTTTCAACTGTATTTGCAGTAAAACTGGAAAACCAGGTCTGATAATTCAATATAAATACTACATGCACCCAGCCTGTAGCCAATGTTTTCCAGTAGATAAGCATCTGCATTTGGCACTATATGAAGTTTGTCCAGTGGCCTTTAAGCTTAGTTGCAAGTACAGGGCATCACAGTATTCTATTTGGTCCATTAGAAATATACAAGCATTTAACTGCAATGATAGCAAAAACACAAATAGTGCCCCTGTCAGCAGTGTGACAAATATGCATATGCACATCACAGCTAATATGGAATATTAATTGAATCACATGAAAGATGTCACATTTGGTATGATAAAGTGACGCTAGATACTCACCGCTTGTCTTCAGGTTTAATAACGGATGGGTCTGTAAGATTCTCTCCAACCCCTGTAGAAGTCAAATTTATCAAGTATATTAGAAGGAAACTGCATTTTAAAAAATCATTTTTGAGACTGTAGCCTATGCAACCATTTTACAGCTATCTAATCTTCCACTTTATAGGGCAGAAACTGAAAAAACAACATTACAACAAATGTTGCATGCTCATTTCATTTTTGAAGATAATTTTTATTTTATTTTTCAATTTTAATGCACCACTACCACAACAACAACATCAGTCTAAAGTGTTTTGTAGATCCAAATGGACACCTGAAATATATGTGAGCAAGAACTATATATCAATGTCAGGAAAAATTGAGTTCAAGAGATGCCCTTTGGTGTGCATTGAGACTTCTGTGATACTGAAAGAAATAGACCAGTCTCTATAGAGACAGAGGTGGAATCTACACACATATAAAACTGTTTTGAAAATGCTTTTTTTAAAAGCGTTTTTAAAACTACATTGAATTTTCTGTAAGGCTCGCCATCCGTCTAGTGTCACATTGTACATTGCACTTAAAACACATTTTAAAACATTTTATTTGCAGCTGGCTAGCTGAGTGCAGAGCTGCACATGTGCTCTTGGATCTCCATGCGCAGACCGCAGCTATTGGATCGGGGTGGGGGGGATCTTGTGTGCTCAAACTTAGACTACTGATTAATTCAACTTTGCCATGGATAAAAATAATTACATTTTGTGTATATTAAGTGCTGTACCTGGTTCCTTATAAACCCATCTGTGCATATGAATATTTTGCAGCTGTGTTGTTATCAGATGGAGATAGATAGATAGATAGATAGATAGATAGATAGATAGATAGATATGGATATTAATATCAATATATACACATATGTATAGAATCTCCAGTACAAGACTAGGCTTATCTAAGAAGCTAATGACAAACATTTTTCACTGCGCCTACTTCACAGTTTGCCTAAATTCCAACCTTCCTAGATTGTGATGGCATAAATTGAAATTGGGTGTAGGTAAAATTGAGGAGTGGTGCAGAAGTGAAATTCCCACTTAATGGGTGACATTTGTGTCCAGCGGTGCTTCTCTTGCTGAGATTCAGATTTTCCAAGAATTCAGTGGCACAGCTCATAGCCACATGGAGCTCTGTGCATTGTACTGTGGTTCCCATTTTGTGGAACTTCCTTCTAGTTGAGATCAGAGGTCCCTTCACTGTTGAATGTCTGGTGCTTACTGAATACTTCTTCCTCCTCCTCCTCCTCCAGCAGGCTTTTTAATTGAATTCTGATATTATAGTTAGGTGGGTTCCCACGAGGCAAGACACAGTGATAACAGCAAGAACCTTTATTGAACTACATAACTGGGAAACAGGGGCAAAGCAACTGCTTATATACATTCCTGAAAGCCTAGGCCACTCCCACTCCCAACATGATTGGCTGTCTAAACTTCCAAGCTGCGAATCACAACTCAGAGTTCAAGGGCCAATGGCAGAGACCCAAATCCTGAAATGTTCTGTGATTGGACATCATGTAGTGAATCAGAACACAGGAGCTCAGAATCCATAGTCCAGACTCAAGCTCAGGCAAAAACACAGACCACTGAATACATAACAATAGTTTCAACTCATTTTTTACTATTATTGTGTTGGGTCCCCTGTACACTTCTTAGAGATTACTAGGAACAGTGGCAGATCTTGGGGTCCCAAATTTCAGCAGTGTCCTGTGCAATGCCAAAATTTGCCACCCCTCCACCTCTCGCACTCTGCTGTAAATCATAGTTGTGGCATCCCCAGCAGTGCCCCCCAGTCTCCGCGCCCAGTGCAGCCGAACTGGTCGTGCTCCCCTAAATCTGTCTTTGCTGGGGTTAAGCAGTCTGCAATTCTTTGAAATAAATATATTAATCTTAAACTTATTACCCACCTTCACCAGCCAGTCCCAGAGCAGGTTACAATATGTAATACTACAGAGCCATGCGGAAAACCACATCATTCTGCACCCCATCCCCTCTGACCAAGGCAGCCGTGATTTTCACTCTCTGAACAGCACATTAATTGCTTATTATGCTTTTAGGAGCAGGCAACTATATTGTGCTACGGACAAAGGGATGCTTGGAGCACCACGGCCTGAATATGAATTTTAAGAATATCACAATATTGAAATCCAAACCTTTTCTGAAAGCTGAACTGAATATGTCAGAGTTTGTTGTTATCTTTTATTGATATGCACAAACTTCCCCACAAGTCTTCCATGGCTCTGTGCAAAGACCTTCACATGCACTTAAGCTTTCAAAAGAAGCCACCCACACAGCAGTGTAAATCACTTGACTCTTAAATTTTGAATGTGAAGATAACAATAAATGAGGTTAGGGGACTGGAAGGTTTATTTTGTTTGAAAAATGTGTCTCGGTGTAATTCAGGCCTTTTGCACACTGTAAATAAATTAAACCTTTCTCTTCCAGTACACATTTCCTTTGACACAATAACAGACAATTATATTGCTACTGCTTTATAGGTGGTTGTTCATCTTTTCAAAACTGTCTACTATTTCCCTTAAAACACCCTAGTCCCAATCCAGCGCCTTGATTTGCATGTGAAGCTGCTGTTTGAACAGGAGTGTCCCTAGTCACTTCTGTGCCTGGGTCTGCACTGGGTGTTTAGTGTGGGATGGGCCTGTGGAATGGACCCTTCTGTTTTATGTAGGGCCCATTTGTGCCCATTTTGCTACCCCCCCAATGCTTCTTGCCCCAATGCTTCTTCCATGTGAGGGTTGTACCCAGTGTCACTCACAGAATAGACCTATGTAGGTCCATCAACTTCAACAGGTTTACTCTGAGCAGAACTTAGTTCACTTCAGGCCTGGCTTTTTTGTGTTAGAAGGACAGAAGAGAGCGCGGTCTTCATAGGTGTTGAGTGTGCTTATTCCTTCTGTAGATGAAACTCATTTGTCTTTTTGGAAGTGCTGTTTTCCCACAAGGGCAGTGGTGCATTGGGCAGGTGAACCGAGCACAGCTCAGCCCACAATTACTGAAACATTTGTGTTGTATAACCCTGCTAATTTTTAAAAAACCAATTGCAGAAGTCAGGAGAGCACAACTGCACATTTCCCTAAAAGAAAGATAGCACTGAGAGGTTGTCACTTAAAGGGGCTACATTTCTCTTTAATGCTGCCCTGCCCCTAGCAGCCCTTCATCCATCTCCCTGTGGCTACTGGAAATCTTGTTCTGCCCTACAGCAGACAGAGGAAGAGGATGGCAACCAAATCAGTTTTCAAGCAGTGTAGGAGGCACAAGAGTTCCATTATCACTTCCTGTGAGAGAGTTCTTTAAAAAGACCAAGCCATCTAAATGATGAGGTGGCAATCCAAGGGGAGTCAGTAAGGAAACTGAATTGGGCCCCAAACTACTTGTCATAATTTCAACGAATTCTAGTCCTTGTTTTCATTTATGTTGTACGTAAGGGTTGAATGGCCTCCCTCAGTTTTACAGCAGAGTATTTTTGGTTCTCACTTACCTTGCAAATCTAACACAAGGAGCTCTCCTCGAGTATACTCATAAGTCCAGTGAGAAAAAGCCAGCATCATTTCTTCCAGCAAATTGCTAGGCGTGATCTCGTCCCCATTGTTGTTATTGTACTTGCGGAATTCTCCAGTCATGTACTTTTCTATTGTAAGCCACTGGTTGGCTGAATGGCAATATATTAAGAAGACTTCCAGGAACCTGAAAGAAGGATATTGTCAGTCAGGAAGTTATCTGAGTGGTGAACATCTTCCCATGAGCCACACCACTATTGCCAAATATGAGGGGGTGGGCAGATTTAGCAGAGGAGGGGCAGCAAATGTTCTTTTGGTGCATTTGATGAAAACAAAGAATAATTTGCATATCTGGCAAATGCCAAAGTGCAGTCACTACCTGTAACTTTGCCTCAGAACAGAGGTCACCCCATCTTGTTTTCTGAAGCTTTGGATGGGTTTCCCATTGACTTAAAGTGGGAAATCAACTAACACCTATATACCTTTTTGTGGCTTTTTGGCAGAATTGGGTTTAATCCTAGAAGCCCTCCCAAGACCCTGAAGTGGTGGCAAAGTCTCAGAGCTTTCCTGCTTTGCCATGAACTTCTAGACAGTCCTAATATCTCTGAGGTGGAGATTCTTGCCTCAGAATCATGCCTTCATCCAAGGCAAATGCACAGCCCTACTATTTAACAAAAAAACAATAAATTTATATAAATAACATTTTCTTTCAAGTCAAAAGGGAACACATTTGTCTTTAAACTCCTGTGCACAACTAAGTTCCTTTTAATTCCCTTGAGTCATGAAAACACTCCTGTTTAAAGCTATAACAAAAAGGCAATCACAGCATGATCAAAAGTATCTATTTCTGTACCGGAGCCATCCAGTGAGATAGAAAATAGCAACTTTACTGGTCTAGTTGCAGATCTCCAAACAAGTGTGGTCAAAGTCCTTAAAAATCAGATAGGCTCATCCCTTCTAATAAAAACCAGGTTAAAAACTCTTCTGAAATGGAACACTGGTTTTCACTTTGATAAAGCGTTCAGATTTTTTTATGAGGAAAAGGCCAATATTACTCTTGATACTCTATAAAATTGCTTGTAAAACAAACTGTAAAATTTTATTCTAAGTATTCAGAACCAAGTTATGAGATCTCTCATCAAATAAGTATGGCTAGATGGAGAAATCTGAAATTGAGCTGCACAGGTGGGTGTTTAAATATATTACCTCTACATGGTACAGAAAATTAAAACATAAACTCAAATGGGTTTTCTTTTTCTGCTACAGCTTTGAAACTGAGCTGAGAACTATGAAAGGCTGAAGAGCTGAGATGAGTCTGGCCTTAGCCAGGCCACCGCTTGAATCTAGAGGTGCCGCTTTCTTTCAGAAGCCTTCTCTAGTTCTTCACCAGCTGTCAGCCACCTCCACATAATGAAGGGCCGTTTGGGGCTAGCTGTCCAAAGTTTACCCATCAGTGACCTGGCCTGGCCTGGCCTCTATATTTTATTTCATGGCAGAACGAGTTCTGAGCTCTGATACTCTGATGAATGAATGCTTGCTAGTGAGGGTGGAGGGGTGCTTCCATTTACACTGAAGCCATCCCACATTTAACCACAAGCTATTAGCAAGGTGCTGTCTTCTAAGGACAAATTACATGATTGCGCAGAGCATAAAGCTAGTATCCTACCCTGGTACTTCAGTGTTGAAGCTGACAATTGTATTGATTCTTCTGAAATAAACCAGTGACATGGCACCCCAAAGGTTCTGGTGGTCACCCTCTACAACACATTTTACAAAGACCTTTTCATGAACACAGACAAATTATCATTTAAAGGTCATTGATTGAGAGTTGTCTGACCACCAGCCAAGTTAAAAGTACAGATACAACTGGGGTATGTCAATGATCCCAAAAGCTGGAATAGTACATTTCATGCAAAATGATAGGGTGAAAAAAATGTTTTGCAGGATCACAAGGAAGCTTCTAATTGGACTTTTAAAATATAAAATTCAAGTTTGTAAATAGATTTTGTGGGGTACTCACAAAACTTCCTGATTTGGAGTGCCAGTAGTCATTATGTGCTGGCACACAAGAACTTTTTTTGTGGGTGCCAAAAACCTCCACCACTGATTATGAGAAAAACTGGGGTATTTTTTTCCTCTCTATGCTCCTTTCTCACACAAAATAGACAGAATGGGTTCTGGTCTATCCGTAGAGTTGCTGAGTTCTAATAACTTTAAACAGAGTTTTGCAGGGTTCCTTTCACCCCAATGAGCTTGGGTCAATGCCTTTATTTCTTTGTGTTCCTCATTCAATCCAAAAGGAGTAGAATTGACCACACAACTTAAGAGGAAAAGCACTGATTGATCACTCGGTTAAGGAGTGAAGCGCCTGAAACAACCATACACCTCATCACACTTGAGGACAACCTGAAACATGGAATTGTAGAAAATTATCCCCCCAAAATTGTGGAATTTTCCGTGCTGTTGGAGTGCATTTGACCCTACCTGTCAGTGGAGGGTTAAAGAAGCACATCTCAGCTGCAAGTACTGCTTTGTTTATTACCCAACCCATCAGAAAATTGTGAAAATATCTGTTATGGCAACATAAACAACTTTGACAAAAGTCCATATTCTATTTTAATGCTGCTGCTATTATTTTGTTAGCCACCTTAAGTGCTATTTTATGGTGGAATAGTGCGGCAAAACTGTATGTTACCTTGATAAATAATTCATAAAATAAATATTGGTTTGTTTGTCTAATACTTGTCTTAGTTTTGAACCAGGATTCTGCCTGCCTGGTAATACTGACTTTCGTCATTGACTGATTATCTGCTTAAGCAAGGCATCTTATACAGAACCTAGATAGGTTTCACCTCTTCCATGTTATGCCTGAAAACAGCTTCCCTACCTTGGGGTGTAGGGAATGGTATGTGGCTTCACTTGATTGAAGGTGTATATCAACTTCTGAGCAGCTCTTTGCTGCTGTATTTCCTAGGAATAACAACAATCCATAGTATTTAGTGTTTTTCAACAACAACAAAAATAGTACAAAAGTCACTACAGCTACATTATTGCAACAGTTCTTACAACAGCTCTTGAAATAAGACAGCCAGTATTATCATCATCCCCATTATTTACACTTTGGGGCAAGATCCTGCAGCTTGCAGGCCACCCAGTAAGTCTTTTTATGGCTGAAGAAAGAGCTGCACTGGGGGCTTCCAGCTGAGAGATCCTACTCCTAACCACTATCTGTGGCTTAGATGGAGAACACAAACATCAGTTATAAACAGTTTTAAGACATAAGATACAGTCTTAACTGTTAAATGCTAAGAATGCCTGACCGTGGTTTGTTTTCTAGCATACATCAAAGATACAAAGCACCCTATTGTCTGACCTCCTCAGTTCCTACAGCAGATATTAAAACATCCTTGGGGTGCCTTCTATGCAGTGCCCCCCCAAGCAGTGCAGGCAGCTTGCAAACTGGGTTTCATTGACTTTTATAGTTACATTGTCATTTTTGGTTTGTCCCAGCCTAATGTGTCCAATATATTTTATGTGCAATGTTTGAATATAATTTCAACACATTTTCTGGTACAAAAGAAGGGGGCAGAAATGGCGACATTTCCCATTTATGCCACCAGGGTCATCCCAGGTAGTCAGGCATTCAACTTCAGGAAAGACTTCTGTTAAATAATTCTTCACAGGGGTTCAACGATCACATGGAGTCAGTATAGATTTCTAGCCAAGTCATACGCACTCTAAGGCAGAGATTGAGCACGGTGCCATCATGGAAGATCTTTTGCCATGACTGAACTACTTCGGGAAGGAAAGATTTCACAATGAAGACTTGACCCAACTTCAGCACTTCATTCTCAGACCAGGTGCAAATGACCTTCATGGCCCTCCTTAGGCCTCCACCCATTTCCTCCCGAGACAACACTTGAATCATGGCCGCCGTCCCATGCTGTGACCAGGTGGACATGCTTTTATCAAGATTCAGTGGGGAACTCTCTTCCAGTCTATAGACGGTCACTTCTTCTCCAGCTAAGATAAAATAAATTGGAAATATTATCTGGAAAGGACACAGTCGCATTGACTTATACAAGTAGAACAGCATACTCTATGTTGAATTTGTTTTCTTAAAACTATTTATATACAAAGCAGTTGTTTCTTGGTACCACAATGAAGAGGTAAGATGTAATATATATTGATGCCGTATGATTTCATCCAGTAATGGTGCACTCCTATGCTTGTCTACTCAGAAGTAAGTCTCCCCAATTTCAGTGGGGCTTACTCCCCTCTTTGTGCATTCATAGAGAAGCTGGTACTCACCAAAGAGCTGGACTGGTGTGAAAGGTATTGTATGAGCCAATCTCATTAAATTGTTCCTTTCGACAGCTGCAAAGAAATAGGGCAGGTAGGTCATACTTGAGCAGTGCATGATTTACTCCTATTTTCTGCCCAGAAACATTTGATGATACTTCTCAACATATGCATGTGGACAAGGCCCTTGGCTCCCAAGCATCAAATCCTCATTATTTCTTATCTTTCCAAGTACTGGGTTTCCACTGCCCATCTTCACAGCACACATCACCCTACTCTGCACTGCAACATTATATGAAAAATATGCAGTACAGCTGGGGCAGCCAATAATATTAATATTAATACTACTACTACTTATAATAATAATAATACATTAGTTTTTACCCAACATAGCAACCCATCCATCTTCCCTACCACTGCAATCTTTGGCTCAAGCTCAAGCAGTCAAGATTAGGGACAATGCAGGAATTATTTATTAGGTTTATGTGCTTAGTTCCTGGTTTGTTTGGTGGTGTCGCCTAAACTATTATGTCTTCCGTTTGAGACCAGGTGAAGATGGTGTTTAGCATGAATTAAGTAGCATGTCTGTATGCAGCTGCTGTCATAATTTATGTTAAGAACTGTGTAGGCTGGGAAGAAAGAACATGAGTTGTGCTGACAAGTACGTAAAAGGCTATGCAACATGTTGTATGTAGTCACAAGAATAACTTTTCTTCTCTCTTTATTAAGAAAGACAGACATTAGAGACTGTAATCTTGAGCAGAGTTGTGACAGGCAGTGGGTGATAAATCTCCTTTGCTTTCAGCCATTTCACCAGCTCAAAATCACACACACCCCAGTTGGTTTTCTCCTTAAAGGTGAAAAGATAAGTGACATGTTTTTATCATTATCCTTGCAGGGACAAAAGCAGTCAGGAGATTGAGGGGGGGGGGAGTACTAAGAGAAGTAGCCTGTTCCTGCTATCCTGCTATAGGTTCTAAAGAAGAAGAAGAAGAAGAAGAAGAAGAAGAAGAAGAAGAAGAAGAAGAAGAAGAAGAAGAAAAAGGAGAAAGTTACATGCATCTGTGTGTGATTTGGCTGCAGGCATCTTTCCTGGAAATAAGAGTGCCTTTACAGCAGCTCACCAGAGATGGAGTGGTTTGGGAATATCCTAGAACTGAGCTTACCTTGAACAGCCACCACCCCCCAAAAAGGAATTTATGGCCACACTGCAGGTTGCAAAGTGGAAGTGGAAGTCTGGTGACTTTCAGTGAGGAGGGCAAAACTGCTTCATTTTCAGCAAGGGGCTGTTTAGGGTTGGTTACTGTAGTGGTTTAAAAATAAAGGAACTACTTTTTTCAACAAAGAGACACTGCTCTAGAAAGCCCTAGCCTAGAATGACATTTGCTCCAATTGCCTCAAGTAGCATTTTTTTAAAGTTGTAAGGAAAAACAGTGCCACAGCTGCCTCCAAAGTAAAGTGAACAGTTGCCCTCAACTCTCTCTCCCCCATTTGTTCCCCTATTCTAAGCAGAACATCAATGGTGAGGGGCAGGGGGTGGGATCTCAGCCCCACAGCCAGTAAGATTTTAGCATCCCTGGTTGATATGCTTAGAAGCCTATTTCAGCATTAAGTGGCATGTAAATTAAATAATCGACAACATTTGGGGTGTTGTGTGATGCTGAAGTCTTCTATTTTGGGTATGGTTGAGATTATTATATTATTTTTAAATTTTTTATACTGTGCTTCATCTGGAGTTCACAGGTGGTTCACAACTAAAGATACAAAATGGAATCACAAAATACATAATAAAACAAAAACACAACAAACCAATAACCTCCTTCCCAAAGACACATTTAAAAGGTCATAGAATGTTAAATCAGCCCAACACCTGTTTGAAGAGAAACATGTTTGCCTGGTACCTAAAGACAGGCATTCCACAAATGGGGAGCCACCACAGAAAAGGCCTGTTCTCCTGCTCCCAACCTCCAGACCTCTCGAAGGGGAGGCACCCAAAGAAGAGCCTCAGGTGAGAAATGATGTTTTACCTAACATAGGAAGATACTATCCCTTCCCTTCGGGAGAGCAAGGAAAATTAACTATTGCGCAACATAGGGCAATATGTGTTAGGTTCTTTTCTGTAGAGAATGTTTAAAAAGCTTGCCTCAAGTCAAACAAGCCATCTGTGGTACAGGCTGGAACTGAAGTGGGCGAGGCTGTCTCTCCAACCCAGAATCTTAAAATTATTCAGAGTCCTAACTAGTCAACCTAACTAGTAGCCATTCTTCAGGAATCTGCATTTGAAGAAATATTCCAGTGGTAGAAAGCAAATGAGGGTTAAGATTCAGAAATAAATAATAATAAATAGGTCTAAATAAGGATAATATTATATTTGGGGAAACATAGTTCTCCAACTCAATTTTGCAGTGGAAATCTTCCCAACCAATTTTCCCAAAAGAAATGCTCTCTTTTGTTTCATACCAGGTTGCCATGGCGTTCTTAGCCACAACTCACCCATTGCAGGTGTGTTTGATTTTTGTTGATACATTCATTGGACTTATGATGTAATAGCTAGATAGGAGGGGAAATTGGCCATTATTGACTGAAAATCTGACACAACTTTGGAATTTCATTTAACTGTGCTCTTCTCAATTGAATTGTGCAAAGATTTTCAGATTCTAAAGTAAGTGTGGACTATAGAGACATCTACTGGCATGTTCTACACATTTCTCACTATCCTCACAGAAAAAAAAACACCCAGTTTTGTGGCATTCTACTGACTGGTACCAGTTCAGATGGAGAATGTAAAACAGAGCTCTGGCTGAGCAGTGTTCAAATGGTTGAATTGGCAATTGATCAGTTTAAGGTGGAAATCAGAAGCTATGAAGGCTTTTTTGTTACATTTGATCTGATACATCAGTTGTGGCCCACTAGCGACAAGGCAGGCTTCCTAAGATTTGGAGACTTTTCCTTTTACTTCTTGTTTATTTAGAAGAAAATATAAATCACTTAACAAAATATGAACTCTAAGCAGTGTACATAAAACTGAGAGGCTGCAACCGAGACTCTGACACAATCAGCCTGACCTATTTGCTAAAATTACAATAAAAAATAGCCTCTCCCTGTTTACAGACATACAAGGCAGGTGCTCATCCCTGATCACTGCTTATAACACATGATGAAGTGGGTGACATGCATTACTTTTTCCCAAGTTAATGCAGCATATGGGTAAATGATCAGTAGCTGCTCCGGATGCTCCTCAGATTCCTTCCATGTGAGCAATTTTACTTTAGAAATTCCCAGTTTGAAAACAAACAAAACCTGAAGATAATCCACTTATGGTAGGAACAAGAATATGCAGCAAACATTGCATTTTTATGACAAGTACAAATTAATAGAGATTAACAAGCTGTTGCTTCTGTATGTTCCTCTATTATTTCCTTGTGTTGTCTTTGGCTATGAAACTGCCATTTCTTCCCTGCCAGTAGTTTTTAAAAACTCTGAACTTGGTTCACCAACAACTACAGTACTTGCTATGTAGAAGCTAGTGTTAAAGTGATAAATAATCTTCCCACTCACTTCTGTGTTACAAATCACATTAATATCTTGCTTTTGATAACAAATTACTTCCAAGTGACACTATCAAAAAATGGCAGGGGAAAAGAATTAATATGCTTATCAACTACTACAATAGTTCAGCTATCACTTAGATAATTAATACTTACCTGAGTAATGATGGTGCAGATCTTGAGTCTTTAAGGAGGATGAGATTTCTAACAACAACAACAACAACAACAACAACAACAACAACAACAACAACAGGTTTTTGTTTTAACGAAAGCAAGCAGAGATAAATGTGCTGTTTAAGTTTAAGAAGGTTATGAAATAATATGACTGGCTTAGCATTCTATGGAAGGGAATTAATTTTACTGTGTTGTAAAGTACAAAATGTAGCCTGTGTAAACTGTCAATAAAACAACACGTAATTATGCTGGAGAACACAGAATGACAGGCAATAGTCAACTCAAGGACACTCAGCTTCTCCAAAGCTGAAGAGCTGGAAATTGCACTTTAGGGACGATAAAAACCCCTTTACTCTCCACTGTGCTTCATGGGATCCCAAAGGTCTGATCTCCTCAATTCCATCCTCAGTCATTATGCATTCCATTAACTACATGATGACAATAATGTTATAGTAATACTGCTTCATTAACTCATGACATCTAAGATGTTGTAAAATTTAAAACAGACAAATAATAAAGAAACAAAACTAATATAAAGAGACATTTATAAAGTGGACTAGATTCTATAATGTACAAAGCAAACTCTGATCTTTCTTGAAAAGGTAAAGGTAAAGGAACCCCTGACCATTAGGTCCAGTCATGGCCGACTCTGGGGTTGCGTCACTCATCTCACTTTACTGGCTGAGGGAGCCGGCGTACAGCTCAGTCATGTGGCCAGCATGACTAAGCCGCTTCTGGCGAACCAGAGCAGCACACGGAAACGCCGTTTACCTTCCCGTCGGAGCGGTACCTATTTATCTACTTGCACTTTGACGTGCTTTCTAACTGCTAGGTTGGCAGGAGCTGGGACCAAGCAACGGGAGCTCACCCCATCGCGGGGATTTGAACCGCCAACCTTCTGATCGGCAAGTCCTAGGCTCTGTGGTTTAACCCACAGTGCCACCCGTGTACCATAATCTTACTTGAAACAGAGGCTCAATTCAAACATCATCAGTGGCAGAGCATGGTTTGGGATGCCTAACTATGGTTAGGTGTGATGCAGTTTGAACTGACAATACATGGTTAGCTTCTCTGACAAACCAGAATCAGACACATGGTGTGCAAACCATGGCTTGTGCTAACTATACTTTGGAGTGATGTCTAAACTGACTTCATGTATGGTGGCACACAAGCAACTATATGCTATGCTTTGTGCATGTATTTGTAAGCTTTTACCATGGTTTGGGTTCTACTGTTGGCTCGTGTTAAGCTTGTGGTCTACTAAGACCCCTAGATCCTTTTCACAAGTACTACTGGCAAGCCAGGTGTCCCTCATCTTATATTTGTGCATCTGGTTCTTTCTGCCTAAATGCATAACCTTACATTTGTCCCTATTGAAATTCATTTTGTTAGTTTGAGCACAGGTCTCCAATCTGTTAGGCTGATACATATGTGACCTTTCAGGTTTCACAGACATTCACCATCAGATATCTAGCAAAGCATGGCCTCATCTTTTCTAGGACTCCTCTGAAGACAGTTTATCTGAAGCATTAACTTTAAAAAAGTCATAAATGGAAGTGTATTTTCATTGCAGAAGTCTCCAAGTCAACCTCTGAATTATGTACCACAACTATAGGAAGGTCTAAAAATGGTGAGCTGATATTAATAGACTTTTGAAAAGACCAAGGTCTATTCTAATTATACATTTTATAACTATGCAATTTACAAATAAGAAAAATGCTTACCATGAGTTCCATCTGAACTACTCAACCTGTTCAAAAGAAAATACTGAAGTTAGTTTTAGGTGCTTGGAAAAAAAAATCCATATTAAGTATATAATAAATGCAGGAGGGGAAACAATTTTTCATCTTTACACATAATGATAACAAAAAACTTATGTGCAGTACCACATGTAGAAACAAATAATGCTACAGACATTGGAAGGGAACATAAAATTATGCCCACGTTAAGAAGATGTGCAGGACAATATGGGGCTGTTAGAATTGTTCATCTTGAAAAGTACTGACACTAGATTGGCGGCCCCAGGCACACAGGCCAGGAAGCCTATGGCAACCTAAAACAGCCGTTAGACTGTCCTCAATACAGCCAGAATGACTGCCTTCTCTGTGGTGACATGAAGGTAGTGTCTATGTTGATGGGACAGCTGAGCAAAGACTGGCCTCAGAGAAAATATCTGAAGGTTGGAGAGAAGAATGTGAAATACCCAGCACTGGCAGAAACACACAAAATCCTACTACCACCTCTACACATCAAACTTGGTCTGGTGAAAAAAACCATAAAAGCCATGGACTGGACTGGACTGGATCACCTTTCAAGTACCTGGCTGCAAAATTCCCTCAGCTCAGTGAAGCGAAAATTAAAGAGGGCTTTTTTTGTGGGTCCTCAGATCTGTGTGGTGTAGTGGAGATTGTGAGCCGCTTTGAGACTCCTTAGGGGAGAGATAAAGTGGGATATCAAATCCAAACTCCTCCTCTTCTTCTTCAAAGACAGTATGTTTTACAACCTGCTTCAGGGTGACAGGAAAAAAGCCTGGGATGTGTTTTGTCTGGTGTTAACTAACTTCCTCAGGAATGTCAGGACAGAAAACTGCAACAAACTGGTTGAGAACATGTTGTCTCTGTATTATAAACTTGGCTGCTATATGTCCTTAAAGATCCACTTTTTCCATTCCCACTTGGATTTATTCCCTGGCAACTACAGGTATGGGAAGTCATGAACATGGTGAACATTTTCATCAGGAAATTGCAACAATGGAGAAAGAAATACCAGGGAAAGTGGTCTGTTTCCATGTTGGCTGACTACTGTTGGACGTTTGCCAGAGATGATCCTGAGGAACAGGCAGAGTGGCATCAGACAAAGAACCTGGCTCTCACTGGTCCTTGTTGTATGTACATATTCCTTGATTATGTAATAAACTATTGCAGATCTCTAAGAAACAGTAGCCAATTTTGCATTTTCATTGTCATATTCGGGTTCAGCTCCTCAACTCATCTACAAGAAACGGCTACTTTTATCTCAGAGGTGCTACTTTTCTCAAAATTTGTCGTGCAGTGATATTAGCAATGCTGCATATCCAAAGTGAACCAAGGAAGACAGATGTACCTGCTGATACAAACAGGACTACTTACGAATGGCTCCGGCTCAAATTATTCTTCCTATTTTTCCTAGTCCAAGTCATGCTGTTATTTAAATCCTGAAAGGGGAGGGAAATGGCAAACACATTTTCTCAATTAAAACATGTCCTGACTTCATGGCTGCTTGGGCATGTTGTCCTCAAGTCTGCAGCCATGTTTATCCAGGAATCATCATCATCATTTTATCTGTATGCCACCTTTCCACTGTTAAAATTATGCTCAAGGCGGCTTACTACATTAAAATATTTACATAATTACAAATGTAAAACAGGTAGTCATAAAAAATAAATAAAACACACCAAAAAGTACACAACCAAATTGAACTATTTCCACATAGATCATAAGATCTAAAAATAAAGATACAAAAAAATAACATCAACAACAGTAGGAATACCGCAGCCCATGGATGTAGCCAGGAATTATGTTTGGGGAGCAGGATCTATGTTAGGTATGGCAGAACCAAGCTATCTGTGACACAATTGGTCAATTAGTGAAGTATTTATATTTATTCACTTGATTTAGAGGCAGGCAGCTGACCCACTGACCTCTCCTGACTATGCCCATGCCCCAGCCAAATATTCTGTTTAGCCTCAGCTTCTGCCATTGCCATCAGTCAGGGCCCTGACCTCCCAGGCCAGGTGGAAAAGACCTGCAAGGCAAGGAACCACCAAGATGGCAATGTTTGACCTAAGCTGGGAGGTTACTCTACTTTGGTTCAGTATGTTTATAAAGACTTTTGTGGTATCAAGAGAAGCAGTTAAAATGCCCTACCAATTCTATTCCCAAGTCTGTTTTGATCAGCAAGCTAGTCTACTTAAGTCAATGGCAAAAACATCATTGACTAGAATTGCCCTTGACATTCTGGTTTTCACTACTTTAGTTTGCACAAATTAGTTCAAATGGAAAGGAAAAAATCTAAAGGTAAATGCATAATCCAAAATACAAATAGCAGGATGAGTTTAATCCCCAAATTGCAAGGAATAATTATATCACGAAACAGCTAAGAAGTTTGCTTAGTATCGTTCTTCAATAGAGCCGACCCCACTCACTCTATTTTCTTAATGGCCTAAAGAATTACCATATAAAACCTTGGTTTCAAAAAAAGTATCTTCTTCATATAGACTCCCATTTCATGATTCAATAGTTTAATGGCTTTTTTATTAATCTTTTCTGAAGGTTAAGTGGTTAATTACTTATTTCTTACCCCGAGTCTACTCTGCCTGCTGCATAAAATGAAATTTCTCAAGAAAAGTTTCTTCCTAGTGCTCAGCCGTGAATTCAGACCAAGATATAGCACAAGAATCAGTGGGTTGGGCATAGATTTATAGAAGGTAAAGAGCTGACTAGCAATATTTTATGTCTTCAAGCCTTACCTCTTGTGATTGCCTCAGGTAGTCACAAATCTGTTCCGTGTGTCTTGCCGTTTCTTGGTTTTTCATTCTCTGGCGCATACAACCAATATGGTCCAAACCTAGCCAAGTAAGCAAACGCAGCAAGAGCACATGTGAACTTTTTTAAAAAGACAGACAAATGCAAGCATGTATCTGAACAGGATGTTCTGTGCCTCTGAGAAATGTGCAGGCTACTGCAATATGGAAACACTGCATTTCTGATGGGCTGCTTGAACCTTTGCAACCTGGTGCATTGCTTCTCACCCTAGAAGCCAACTCTTAGGGGCCAAGGTCCCTTCGCTGCCACCACCCCCACAAATAAAAGTTGATGGGAGGCTTACTTGCTGCCCCCAATATTTGCCCCCATCACCGCAGCAGACAGTGGGCAAGAGGAGGAGAAGGAGAAGTCCCTTCCCATCTCTTTTCCCAATGGTATGCTGTCACCACAGCACAGGCACCTGCTGTGACACTGAAGGGAACAGGAAACAAGGAGAGGGAATTTGAGCAGCCCATGGACCACATTCAGATCAGCTTGGCAATGAGGTGAGCATTTTCCATTTTGGGAGGAAGAAGGTCAGCTTATTCTGGAGACACTCCAAGGTGGGAAGGTGGGAAGGTCCATCACGACTTTCCTGTTCAGAATCTATGGAAAGTTTCCAGCAGATCTGCAAAATCAAGTTGTATGCAAGCTCTTGATGCTATCATGCCCTCTAAAGCAATAGAACTGGAAGCATACCCTGTCACCTCACCCAGGTCAGTATTTCAAATGTAGTGTTGATGCTCAGGGAGTAGAAATAAAACAACTTCCTATTCATTAAGGTAATTACTGTGCCACAAATGGAGTATAATACATAGGCAATCAAATCAAAACACATTTTTCTACCAGTATGTATTGAGGGATATCATTAACTCTGTAGAAGAGAAGTATGTACTATACTGTTCGCAGGTTTCCTATTTTCTTGGAAGCTGACCTGTAATCTGTCACTGATTAGTCTATAAGTGTGAGAGGGAGGTTTGGGGAAGGGTCAGGGGGATTTGGTGACACGAGTGGTGCTGTGGGTTAAACCACAGAGCCTAGGACTTGCCGATCAGAAGGTCAGCGGTTCGAATCCCGCGACGGGGTGAGCTCCCGTTGCTCAGTCCCTGCTCCTGCCAACCTAGCAGTTCGAAAGCACATCAAAGTACAAGTAGATAGCAGGTAAATGGCGTTTCCATGCACTGCTCTGGTTTGCCAGAAGTGGCTTAGTCATGCTGGCCACATGACCTGGAAGCTGTATGTCGGCTCCCTCGGCCAATAAAGCAAGATGAGCGCCGCAACCCCCGAGTCGTCCGTGACTGGACCTGATGGTCAGGGGTCCCTTTACCTTTACCTTTATTTGGCACCTGTCTCAACGGTTTTTCAACCTTGCAGCTTGCTGGTATAAGCTAAACTGAAGGGCTCTTGGCTTGAGACAAACAGCCAATAAACTAACAGAAAAGTGTGAAATTTCTGGAAGTCAATCCAGACCCAGATGATACAGCAGGAGAGATACTTCACAAGAAATTTAACAGCCTATCCCCACAATTTGTTCTCTTAAGAAGGCTATTGTGGGTGGTATTTATGGGTCCTGGCTGCCACCAAACGTTTCATATTCTACCTATCATTTGCTTTGGATAACATACTTAGCTGATTGAAGCGAGGTGAAGTTAGCTCATTTGTTGTGTGTTCCCATTTGTCTCCCACAGGTCGGCTTTCAAGTGGCTCTGAACTAACTTGGGTGCTCTGGGGACAACCATCAACTGTAATCATCTGCCAAAAGAAAAGAAAAACAGTAATCAGCCAAAGATGACAGGTAGTTGAGCTTAAGTTGCCAGTAGCATAATCCTTTCAAACCACTCTAGCAGGAAAGTCCCTTATACATAATGGGGAGGGCAAATCATTGTTTGCAAATGCCACATGAATAAAGCATTAGCAGTAACAAAGAGGAAGTACGTACAGCTATTCACTAACACTTGTCAGAAGTTTTAGCCAAGATGTTTTTACTCAGAGTAAAAGGGGGGGTATTGGACAGCTGGATTTCATTCAGAGCTACTTGCTTCCCCCCCCCAATAATGTGAGCATGAGCCAAGCAGTTTCCAAATATGCAATGATTAATCAGCCAGGCCAGTAACAGTTTTAATAATCACATTGAAAGCAGAGCTGAGCTTTCATAACTATGTAATTCTATATTTATTCAGCTTGTTAAAAAACAGAAAAAGGACATACAATTCTAATTCCACCTTCACCTACCGGCACCTGAAGAGTTTTCTGTTTCTTCCTTGATGATTTCCTTTCTTTGTTTCCAAGTTTTGCCTTTGCCAATACTGGCTGATGTGACTCTGCAGATTTGGATAGCTCTGAGAGTAAAAAGGCAGGGGGTGGGGAAGAGGCAACTAAATTCATATTTCAAAGAAAACTCAATAAAGTTTCACACCTACCTGCTATTAAGTCTAATTGAACTAATTCATTGAGACTTTCTGAGCAGTCACACAAAGGATTGGAATGTTACAGTATTAACAGTTTTCATATCTAACCATTTTACTACTGTGTATAAGGGTGTGCATGTCACATTTAAACAAACTTAAATTTTAAAACTGTGCAGCGTAATATATTGTTTGCTTTGATAGTGCACTGGTGGAAATTGAAACTAATGCAAAGAATTCTGGACACTTTCCTCTGTTACACTGCCTCCCTTCCCTTAGACTACATGTTTGCAGCCATCACATTGCGGTCAATATTTATCATTTATGTTGTGCTTGCAAAATGTAAGCCTATGGTTATTTACTCAGAGAGAAGTCCTACACTGTTCAATTGACATTACTCTCAGGTAAGTAATGCCTGCAGATTGCATTTTATTTTTAATGTGGCATTTTAATGCATTTTTACTGCATTTTATGACATTGTCATTTTAAACTGTTGCAAGCCACCCTGGTGGACTAGAAGTGTAGAAAAGAAATCTCAGTATATAGAAAATGATTAATGTTTATAGACTCATCTGCAGTCTTAGGGCTCATCCACCCTTACCTTTTGCCCCAAGCTTTCTAGGCTCATGTTTTAAAGCTCAGTGTCTGAGTGCTTCCGCCCCCCACCCCCGCTACAGTCCCCAGGAAAACCTGCTCTTAATGCAAAATTGGAACAAACAACAATTAGGGTTTTCTGCAGATTGATGTTTGCTCCAATTCAGTGGTAAAGAGAGGGTTTTCGCAAGGAAAGCGTCTGGGCAAAAAATTAAAAAGTGCTCAGACACTGAGTTTTAAAGCAGAAGAAGAAGAGTTTGGATTTGATATCCCGCTTTATCACTACCCGAAGGAGTCTCAAAGCAGCTACCATTCTCCTTTCCCTTCCTCCCCCACAACAAACACTCTGTGAGGTGAGTGGGGCTGAGAGACTTCAGAGAAGTGTGACTGGCCCAAGGTCACCCAGCAGCTGCATGTGGAGGAGCAGGGAATCAAACCCGGTTCACCAGATTGCAAGACTACCGCTCTGGATGAGGCCTTAATGCACAGCACTAATTACAATCGTTACTTTGTTCCAGTCACCACAACTCTAAGATGCAGGTTGCTGTAACACACAATTAGAAATTCCATGAATGCCTTCTCGTCTACTTTTGCCCTTTCTCTTATTTACAAATAGAGAACTGCGAATCTAGTGTAGTCACTTGCCCAGACCAAACAAGTTCATGACAGAGAATCCAGATTCATTGAATCCAAAGTAAGTTAATAAAACAAACTTATCAATTCCTTGGATCACATTCAGGATACAGGTTTGGAGTTTTGTTTTGTAAGGTTTAAATTTTTGATCAGATATATCAATTAAATTTTTGATTACTTTATGAGGCCCAGTTCTAATTAGTGAAAGGAAATGTAAAATATGAGGCTAAAAATTAACAGCACACTCTTTATTGAGTGTGCATTGGCTATGGTGTGTCATGGCAAGAGAGTACGTGAAAGCTGATTTTTCTTCTAATAATGTGATAAGTGTTCTTTATTAAATTATGAATGCTCATGTTTCTATACTTTTAAAAAAGGAAGGTTTTTATAATGTGCTAATGTAGGTAAATATAATCTACTGATTACTTGATTGATCTTTAAAATCATTTATTAGTCAACAGCTCCATCTGCCGCTGTTTGATAGTAAGCATATATCCTTTATTTCTGAGAAGTGGATGGAAAAGGCAGCAGATCTAGGGTAGTCCAATACTGAAGCAGAGGACAACCACCATCCCACAGCTATCACTCAACAATGACCCCTAAACAGCTGGGAAGAGCTTGTAACTTCTTTGTGGAAAGTGGTTTAAAGCAATGTAACATTTATTTGTTTACTCAAAACATTTATATATTGTCTTTCATAATAGTGTTCAAGGTATGCTTTTAAAAATCCTTATTAAAAACAAAGCAAAACAGGAGACCACCAGAAGATTAATGCATAAGAACAGCAGTAAAAGCAATCAAACAGCAATAACAATGTGTAGCCATTACCTTTTATTCTGAAGGTCTTTCCCACTTTCTCTGCTTTGCGGGACCAGAATCCACTTCCCTTGCCGAAAGGCCAGTTTTTCCTGCGTGGATTGATCCAGACTGACATGCTGCGCTGGAATGGGAGAGGAGACTGGGAGCTGTCACTACTGTAGCCTGATCTGTCAGAAACGCAGGAAAACGATTTGGATTCATTTATCTGTGCATGTTGAGGATTACGGCAGCCTTTATTGTAGGTAAAATGTGTGCATGACAACTGCCTTGACTTGTTGCTAAAATAACTCTTTTCATCATCTCCCAAGAAGCCCCAGTTCACATAACCTCCTTCAGGTTCCTCACTGTGTTGATGAGAACGGATAGAGACCTCATTGGCAATTCTAGGTTCTTGGAAGTTCAAATAGGGTTCAGTGATATTTTCACTATCCTCTTTGTCTGATGAAAATTCCAGTTCCCATTTTTCATTGATAACTGGATTTCTTTCTGGAGCCTTGTGCACATCCAGGTGAGCAGTGATGCTGCCATGCTTGGTTTGGGGTTGAGCTTGCAGTTCATCTTCTCTGAGCAGACTACTTGAGAAGGCTGAACTTAAGGTGGCATTTTCAGATAAAGAGGCTCCTTGCTGACCAGAAGGAACCAAGAGGAATTGTCCATATCTAGGGGCTGATTTACACTCTGACGATACCCCAGAGGTCAGTGTGTCATTTTCAATTTCTTGCTCCTGGTGTTTGCTTATTGATTTGATCTCTTTGTAGTCCAGGGCACCAAGAATGCCGCGACAAGCCCCTGGGGGCCAATGTGTCCTGGCCAAGCTTTTCTGAAGAGAAGGTGGCATGCTGTGGTAATTATACTTCTTATCACACACACTTTCCATGCTGCCCAAAGCCTTAGAGCACATGGAATTGCTCCAGCTGTGGGGAAGCTTCCTGTAGGTTTGATGCTTCTTGTGAGCAAGAAGGGCTTCCTCTACTTGCAAAGTGTCCACAGCTGAAATGACTTTAAGCGTATCGACGGTTAAAGCAGAGAGGTCTTGTAAGTGTCCGAGCTGGCTATCCAGGGCAAGCAAAGCGTCTTTGACATAAAATACTTTCTCATGTACCTCCTTCAGTTGTGAAAACATCTCTTCCACTCTAAGAGAAAATAATAGATGTATTAGAAACTGCATTTATATATTCTTCAGTATATATAATTCTTCAGTATATATATATTCTTCAGTTAAATTAATAACATTTCATTTTTCAAATAGTGAATGGAACCATTGTTTTGGCTAAAGAGGCCCTGTATAGCGCAGGATCAGATTCCCTGAGAGAACCCAAGAGCGTGTTGGATCTGGCCAACTCCTTCTCCCATGTACTATGACCTGAACGCATCTGGCTCAAAGTGGTGTGGAGAATTGCTTTCTCCATGGTGGCTCCCATCCTGTGGAGAGATTTCCTGTTGGAAATCAGGCAGACACCAACTGTGGGATGCTTCTGCTGGCTAGTAAAAAATTATTTATTTATCTGGATGTTTCATAACAATTAATGTTGGATCCCAGCATTTCCTGGCTACTGTAATTGAGATTGATGTTTCTGCTTCATTGGCATGGTTTTTATTGTTGTATTTTGTTGTTGCCTTATTGCCTTGTGAACTGCCTTGGTGTTTCTTTTGAAATGAAAGTTAGTATATAAATTACAAATAAATATGACACTAATGTGACAAATCAATCAATAATTTAATTGTAGAATTAATATACTCTTCTCCCGAGAACTAGAGTGTGCTACAGAATAACAAATTATGTTGTATACTTTCATAAAAATTTGATACCTGATAACTATAAAGAAACTATAAGTCCAACTCTACAGTTCTATGATTCTAAGTGGAAACTGGTAGCTATGTTTGAAATGAGTGTGTAAAATGTTGCCTGAAGTATTGCTCTTTTATAATTGAAAAATCTTCAAATCTGCAAGTGTTGCTGAATGCAACACTTTCACTTAGATCCATTTAGATTATGACAGGGCCCATAATGGAGTTGTATAAACCCTTGTCTGTTAGCTTATTTTAGCTAAATAACTTCAGGTAATCTTTCTAAGCCTTCACCTTAAAAAACTGTTTAAGTTTTGATACTATTTGGAAATATAATCTTGTTGAAAGACATTTTGAGAAGTGAAATAGATTTGGTAGACTTGAAATCCACTATAAGTGGGTTTTTTAGGTATAGAAACCATGAGAAAAATTAAAAGAGGCTAGCAAATATAAAATCTTTTTCTCCCTAATATATTATTGCTTTTTACATTCAGCAACACTTGAATCAGTAGAAGGTGGCACTCCATGTGGCCTTAAATAATGAAAAGCATTGCTGCATTTAACATACTAAGGGAACTCAAAGAGTTTAGCTGCATTTTGGCTGACATTCAATACAAACGTCCATATGCACAACCCCACTTTTTCTCAGTATATTAGCTATACCTTTCTGAACATATCTGATTCTGCATAGACAACAAGAATTACATGAACCTGTGTATTTAGGACTGCGGTCCTGCACTCCAGCTTCTTTTGGTACTATCGTCTATGAATTGCAGTACAACTAACATTGTCAGGGGAAAAGTTATCTTACCTTTCAGTTGTCACACGAATCCTTTCACTGTCACTGGAATGCAAGCTTCCATTCTTCTCATGCAGGTACTTTTCCACACACTGCTCTTCAAAATCATGAAGTTTTTTCAATTCCTCATCACTCAGATACAACTCTGGATAATGGTGATTAGAAGAAAGTTTAAACACAGTGACGTAAACATGTCACTTGCAAAGGGCTGGCTGGAAATATTTTGCTGCCTAAGGTGAAATGCAAGGTGCCCACCCCATGTACAGAAGCTGATTGGAGAGCAGCTTGATCTTATTTTAACACCAGAGATGTTGTCCCTGCTGTCCACCTAGAATCTACTGCCTGAGGCAGTTACCTCACTCTGCCTAACGCACTTCCAGTGGCATGAATCTCCAAAGAATATTAGACAGTATGTGTGAAGGGCAGTGCAACCAAGTTTGAGACCAGGACATGTGGCGCCACAGTATGTCACAGGTAAACAAATTCACCATTGAGGGGACAACTTTGATGTGGCACTTGAAAGGGCAAAATTAATCACTTGACCAGGTAAGAGATTTCAAGCAATTTTGTACACATTGAGACTCTGTTCACACCTTCACATAAACATATGGACATTGGCAGCAGGGGCAGCGGGTACAATTCCCAGCTCTTTCCTCCTCAAAGGACACATTCCTTGAATATCTGCCCAGGGCTCCAGCAAACCACTTTTGAAACTAAGGAAACTTCAGAATACAATTTGAGACAGGGCACGGACTGTTCAAAGAAGAAAAAATTAAAATATCCTATTTGGTGCACCTAGTTGGATCCTTGCCCATAGAATCTACTTGTATTATTTTTGTTCTACAGCACTAATTCCTGTTTTGTTTGTTCCTTAAGCCCCAACCCAAAATGAGAATTTCACATTTCAATTTCATTTCCATTTCTTGCTTTTTGGTTTCATGAACTATACCATGAATAACTACAATGCATCTAGAAAGCACCTTCCTCACAATTTCCAAACTGTTCCTATGCTGAAAATACCAGTGGCAACTGCATAAGTGAGACTGACAAATAAACGTTGAATTCAGGTGTGTATTTGTAATAGAGTGCATGCTTCCCAAACATGGCTTTCAATCTACTTTGGAACTGTACCATGATTTGTTGAGGAATGATCAAGTCACTACAGCTAAGTTTTGGCAGTCAGATTCCACTGGATGGTGCTGTTTTCCTATGTCTTAGTTGTTATATGGTTCCAGAAAACATATTAAGGAGCAATGCACCTGCCACTGAAATGGAAACAGCTCCGAGGTGCAAATATTGTTTAACTGCTCTAAGTACATGGAACAGTCCTTATGTTTATGATGAACAGAAACAAAGTTAAGGTCCCATGGAAAGTTAAGGTCTATGGATTTACTGAATATAAGGAGCACCAGAAAGAACAGGCTCTGCTTACTCAGTTCAACATGCCCCTCTTCTTGGTCCAGCTCATTTGGCAGCCGGCGATGGCAAAGGCAGTTTATGAGGATGCCAATATGGCTCAGTATGATAAAAGGCGGTGGTAGCCATGGCTTTTCATGATACATCATGATGTACCGATACCGGTTGTATTTCCAGAGTTTGTTCGATATGGACTTCATATCAAAATAAACATTACTGTGGATGCAGAGGTAAAGGGGTGTGGGAAAGAGAGAGATCCATAGGACTTTTTTTAAAAACAATGTTAAAATACGTAGTACAATATATAAGTTAAGATAATGAACAAAAGGTAAATATATTAACCAAGCAAAATATAGAGACCAGAGTTGCCCAGAGTGAGATTGACAAAACTTGCTGTGGGATCTAGACACATAATGCTTACTAATAATGGCAATACTGATTTGGTTTATTAAGCTTTTTACCGACAAAAATATTGTATTTTTCCATCTATAAGATGCCCCCATGTATAAGACGACCCCTATTTTGGAGGACTCAGATTTAAGAAAATGGGGGGAGATGTATCCATGTATAAGACGCCCCCTAATTTTTGACATTATTTTTAGGGGGGAAACCTAGACTTATACACAGAAAAATACGGTAATTTTTAAAATAAATATATTCAAACAGACAACATCAAAGCAGTTACTTATGACTTGTTCCTTTGAATTGCTCAGGGGATAAAAATAAATATATTCAAACAGACAACATCAACCTCATACAACTGAGAGGATTAAAAAAATGTGTCTGACATACAGGGAAATGCCAACATACCAAATACATGTGTCTTTTCATCCTTCACTTTATCTCACGGGTCTTACAAAATCATTCAGCACATTTGGAATTTTGAGAGGGTGTTGTGGGTCCACTCTGGTTACCTCTTCCACCACCTTCCCCCAGATTTCTCTCTCTCTTCTTCTTCTTTGTATGATTTTACACAGCCCCCCCCCCAACCTATCAAATTAAAGATTACAGTGGTAGACCATGCAAGTTAAAGAACAGATCCTGAGTTTGCCAGCACCACAAAAATATTGATCCACGGTGTACAGCTTCATGGTTTTTTACCCAGGAAGACAACAAGGGAGGGGCCATGGAAGCATTGCAGACATGAGGCTAAGTCTTTAAGACAGAGGATTTCAACCTTTTTGAGTCCAAGGCTTCCTTGACCAACTACCGGTATATTCTTTCTGTGACTCCCCTGTGGGACTCAGGAGCCCTGTTATGTCCCCCTCCCCTTGCCTGCAGAGCTGGCAGCCTCTCACCCTTTTTCGAACACCCTCCTTTGTGGCGTGTTCCCTCAGCCTTCTATCCTCTCCCATGTCCTTGGGAGTCCTCTAGGCAGCTGCTGCTGCCACCCCTGGTCTCTGAGCTGCCCTCTGCCCCAAAGAGAGGTGCCTCTTCACACTGCCCCACAGGGATCTGGGCAGAGGATGCCCCCCACCTTAGTGGCCCAATGGAGATTGGCGAAAGGTGAACGTGAGGCCAGCACCTTACCTTGGGAGGCAGTAGTGGCAGCAGCAGGGCTGCTGCAACGAACAGCTGTGGAAAGCTTTGGGAGGCAGAGATGTGAGAGGGCATTCAAGGAAAGAGGGACAGAGGCGAGTGATGCCTGCGGCACCCTGGCCAACATTCAAGGCACCCCAGGGTGCCATGGCATACTGGTTGAAAACCACTGCATTAAGGGGCACCACAGTGTCTGCAGATGATGTTGGCAATCTTAGCACTAACAAATTTAGTGGTGGTTGTTAACTTGTATAAAAGTATCACTTTGTCGTCAGGCATCTGAAAATGAAGCTTAAAGTTGTGTAATCTACTAAAGATGAGCAGAAAGTAAACCACTCTGCTCATTTATCATGGCAGTCCAGAATGCTGCTTCTCCTCTGTTACTCCTTTTGGTGGAGCCCTAGGCAGGCTGGGTCCACTTAATGTAGAAATAGCACCAATAAACCCAACGGGAAATATGACAGGCACTTACTTGAAGAAAGCAATCAGCAGGTTGACCATGATGATGTACTGTACAAAGAGATAGACAGCTTGAAGGAATGGCGTGAGGAAGGAACCAGGAGGACAGTTGGGGTCTGCTTCACAAGCTGTAAATTATAAAGGAAAGCTTCTGTATGCAACTCTAGCATAGGAATGGTCAGCTAATTAATGATAGATTTCTCATTCATAGGCCAAGAAGGCTTGTTCTTTTCCCCCAACCAAGGGTATTGGGCCATGGCATGCTTTTGTGACCCAGGAAGTGGAAGAGGAGGGTGATACCTGGCAGCCACTCCCAGTCACTAGTCTAGCTGCCGCATTCTGGATTATTTTTAGTTTCTGAGTCACCTTCAAAGGTAGCCCCCTATAGAGCGCATTGCAGTAGTCCAAGCAAGAGATAACTAGAGGATGCACCACTCTGGCAAGGCAGTCCACGGGCAGGGAGGGCCTCAGCCTGCGTACCAGATGGAGCTGGTAAACAGCTGCCCTGGACACAGAATTGACCTGCGCCTCCATGGACAGCTGTGAGTCCAAAATGACTCCCAGGCTGCGCACCTGGTCCTTCAGGGGCACAATTACCACATTCAGGACCAGGAGTCCCCACACCTGCCCGCCCCCTGTCCCCCAAGAACAGTACTTCTGTCTTGTCAGGATTCAACCTCAATCTGTTAGCCGCCATCCATCCTCCAACCGCCTCCAGGCCAGAGTGGCATGAAGCACAAATTTCAAAAGAACTGTTGTGAATGCCAAAATATCAGAGGACAAATTTGAGAATTTGAGAACTGAACTGTAACCAAGACCTGCAGGTGAACTACAAATTGATATATGCTCACTTTTGCTTCTGCAAAACTATGGCATTTGTGGGTTTAAGTGTCATACCTATGCTGAGTAGCTCAACCGCTCAACTTTATATTCTATGTTATACGTGATACATTTTGTGCCGTTAAAGCAGAAAAAGAAGTAATATATAATTATCTATATCTATATATCTATATTATAATATATATAATAAAGACTTTCTCCTGGAAAAAATGAAGGGGATGGGGAATCTGGCTTTTCCCACAGCTGCAAAATTTCTGAAAATGCTACCTTTTCTAGTGGCTGTGTTAAGTGATAGATATGCTACATAATTGTTCACATTTTGTTGGACGCAGCATTTCAGTGAAATCAGACCTACCATCAATTTCTCCTGCATATACTTCACCAAACATCATCCAATAAGGCTGAAATACAATATCTCGTGCAAGGCTCCATGAAGGCTGCTCATGTGGAGAGAGTATTGCTTTTCGAGAAACTCCAAAACTTAACAATACTATGGCCATCATAATTACAATATAAAACATGTTTGCTGTCTGCACAAAAAAAAGAAAACACAGTGATCAGAGTGGTGTGATTTTGCAAGGTGAAAAAAATTGTTTCCTGTGGCTACAGCACATTATTTTGTTATTTTAAACAACTTATGGAGAAACGCTGTATCAGTACTGCATCTTATTGGATGTATTGATGTTCAGTTATTCAGAATGGCAGCAGTCCTGTACTTACTTATGTACAAGTTCCTGTCAAGTCAATCAAATGCACTTAATCTAAAAGGGCAGCACCCGGAATAAGTATCTGGCATAGTACAAAGAATAGCAAAAGGAATAGCAAAAGACTAGGGCTGGTGCTTTATGCAAGACTTCATTCTAGAAGTAGGGCTACTAAATAATTCAGATATATAAGAATTATTTTCCTCCTCTTATACTTCCAAGAACACAGATAGGGCAAAGACAGGCAACGACCTAGTCTGCAAATGTGCATGCTCCCAGATAAAACATCATGGCTGATTTGCTCTTCCTCCATTCCCTCTGCAGTTGTGCTGCTGTAGGTGAAGCCATGAACCTAGGTTTGAATGTGTCTCACCCCAGGAAAACCACAGCCTGTAGCCAAAGTTTGTTCTATGGCTTACCACTCAGCGGTTTGTCTGGGGGAGATAAACCACAAGTCTGGGTGTGGACAGGAGGCTAAGGACTGCATCCATGGTCTAGCTCACAGCAGCATGGTGACACGTTTGGCTTAGCATGCTGACTAGGCCAGTGTGTGATGGTGCTTTGCATTTCTCTCTACTTCATATATAATGGGCAAAATTTTCATAGGTGAAGATTCAAACTTCATTAGCTGAAATTCTGCCTCTCATGCAGCTCTATAAGAAAAAGTGGTATCCTTATTTGGAGGAAGTGCTCTGTATCTAAATGCTTACCATTTTCCCGATCATTGTCAGATATGGACCTGCACGCTGGTTCACAGCAAAGAAGTCAAGAAGCCGAGTATACCAGAATATTATATCCAGACAGTAAATTAACCTTCCTGCTGTGTGAAGGGGAGGATCTGCCCAGCGCAAGCCAAAACCAGTCATGAACAAGATAATGGCGATAGAATCTGTAAAGTTCCAGTACTCATAAATCCACACTTTCACCTTTTGGCTGAACTTTCCCGGCTCTGAAATAAATACCTAACAGAAAAATGGAACATCCCTTGAATTTATATGAGGCATGTAAAGAACATGACGTATCTCTGCAGATGATCTTCCTACATAAGTCAGAGGCCACTGGGTCACCCTGGGCAAGCTGTCACCTTTCATCATCAGTTTCCTTGCCCTTAAAATAGTAATGTTAATGCCCTTTGTGATGCGGATGCAAATGAATCAGATAGAAATGATGGCATGGCTTACATATTAAATATTCTTTTCAAATGATTGGTTATTAACAAGAATATTCTCATGGACAAATGGTTTAGAAAGAAGCAAGAATGTACGCTTCACTTATTCTTCTCTCATTTTAACTCCTTAATTATTCAAGGCAACAATTCCCTTATGTGCTCCTATCTGCTGCAAACAGAAAGGAGACTGTCTCTACACTCATTAGCCCTTGTCAAGAAACGTTTGGCTTCTGTCCTTTCTTGTTTTTCTGTATATGCTTAGTAACTCTCTCTCTAAGAATGTGTTTCACCAGTTTTTATGGAGCAGGCACTAAGCTAACTACTGGTAGTCTGTAATTCTCAGGATCCCCATTCTTGATCCCTTCTTAAAAATTGGTGTAACATGTTCCAGTCCTCAGATCAGAGGCTGATCTTAGGCACAAGTTAAAATTTTAGTCAGAAGAGGGCTGTTCAGGCACTAGGTTCAAAATAACCATTGGATTGTGTCCTATCATTTTTGTCTTGTTCCTGGATGTAGAATGGAATAGTATGATGCTATTGGAGCTCTGAGTGTGTGATTTTCTATTGAAGCTATTGGAGCTCTGAGTGTGTGATTTTCACAAAAAAGCCATTTTGTGATTTTGAAAAATACATCAAATTTTGTTGTTGTAAGCTGTTTTGCACATACATATTTTAAAACAAAATATAAGTAAAAATTTGCAGGCCTGGGCACAGAGAAGCTGCAGGGAACAGCCCAAGGCACGGGGAAGTTGCAATAAGCACGGGACAACCACTTGGGATTTAAACAGGCCTCAACTTTATTGATTAAAGATGTCAGCAGGCTTTGGTGCAGGCATGGTTAACCAAGGTTAAGTATTGCCCTATGACATAAATCAAATTGGGAGGACAGAAGCACCTTTCCTGGATCCCTTTAAGAGGATACCCTGATTCCTTGGACTGAGGGTGGGGTGAAGTGGGGGGGGCCTCCTGAACTGCCTTCCACCTAGACTAAGGATCCAACTTTATCCGCAGTCAAGTTGAGACAATTGCTATGAGGAAGGCAAATTCCTCTGTGGTCCCACATATGGTGACTGAAGACTTCCATAGCAAGGTCTTACGCAGGGCTTGCCCACTTCTCTTGGCCAGGCCTACACATGAGTGGGAACTGAGGCTGAGGCCTGGGTGTGGCTGGCTTTTACAGCCAGGAAGAGAACCAGAGAGAAGTTTTCCCTCTGGCCTGCTCCCTGAACAGCACCCCCAGGCTCACCCACAATTGGCTGCAACCATGGGCCAGCCCCAACAGCCAGTGAAGCCATTGGAGAAGTGATGCCCCTCCTCCCAGCAGGGTCAAAACCAGAAGATCGCCTGGCAGCTGCTACCAGTGGACCACAAATACCACTCCCTGCAGTTGGCAGGTTAGCAGTTGTTTCCCACACAGTCCAAAAAGACTTGGGCTGTTTTTTTCTTCTTCATGCTTTTTATCTGGTTTCAGAATATTTCATTCTTTTTCTATTTAGAACACCATGTGATACCATCCTTGGTTTTCACCCTACACGTACTCCTGCCACTCATAATAACTAGATCAGGGACACACATTGGGAGTGTCTTGGGGGTCTGTGAAGAGTCAGGATGGTGGTAAGCAAGTATTTAATGGAGGTTTTTGAACATTGGGAGGAAGCTTGCTGGGTTGCCAAGTTCGGAAATTGGAAAAAGCTCTGGTTGGCTCCATGTTTCCATGACATATAAACAGCTGAGAAAGAGAAAGACTTGAGTTTTTATATTACAAAGTCACAACACAAGCCGCAATGTCACAGCTTCTTAAAGTTTGAAATGAAACACTGCATTGCTTCTCAAAGACTCTGCACCCTCAATACATCTCTATTCTTCCTTCTGAAATGTATTTCTGTTTGCTCATTATTTCACGGAGTGAGTGCAGGGGTACAATTGTTAGACGTATGTTGTTGTTCTTTAAAAGAAACAAATCAGAGGTTTGGTGAAATGGAAAGAAAGGGTTGTAAAATGACAATAAATATTGCATAAGCCCCAGGAGGCATGGAAAAAAAGCAGAACAGACTTTATAAGTGAAGTAACAAATTAGTTTTACTTTGGTGCAAACAGAAAGAAACAAATCTTTGTCATTTATCAAGGACATGGCAGTCTTGAAAAGGCAAGTTTTCAAAATTAGGAAGGTGGAAAATGAGATGTTTATTTCTTGAACAACAAGGGTTTGCCAGAGGGCCTTTTCAGTTTTGCTAAGCAAATGGTGAAAAGAGTCTTTGAATGGTTATAAACAAGATTCCTCACATTATATAGCAAAGTCCAGTTACATACTGCTAAGATCAAACTGATAAGCAGCAAGTGAAAGGGTGATGTCAAAGTGTTAGCCAAACCTTAGAACAAAGACATGTATAAATAACTTTATGTATATGAGTACCACTGAGCTGAATGATGTTATTAGCATGTGTAACAACATATTAGAGGAATGAAAGCCAAAGGGTGCAATTACCTGATAAAATCTAAAGAAAAACGATTTCCAGGACTACACACAGCAAACCCCGGAGAAGTTAATGAAGCGTGTATGTAACACAGAGTCCTGCCCCATTTTATCCAGTGGACCACAACCACCACATAAGTGAAGAAATTGCTTCATGTAGGGGTAGCTGTCCTATAATGACAAAGGGGCAGTGACCCACCAGTGGCAGCCCCTCGCCCCTCTTTAACCCTAGGGCTTGAGCCCTCTCCCTCTCCTTGTCTTCCACATTACAGTCACTCAATCCCTGCATGGCATCTGCAGGAACTGTGGTCCAACCCTGCCCCATAACTCTTCACAAGGAGAGAGATAAATGGCTATTTTCAAATTGCAGAAAAGAACTGCAAACAAAATCCTAAAGATGTAATTTTATGCAAGTTTCTGCATTTAAATGTATATAATACATAAAAGGGTTTTGTTGTTGTTGTTGTTGTTGTTTTAAAAAAAGCTTTACACCCAAATATTTTTATCCCCTGTGTGTGTCATTCAAAAGTGGAAACTTAACTCCAGGCTCCTATTTTTGAAAACTACAATTATTATTATGAAATTGTACATTGATTCAATTTCATGGAGATTTCTTTTTTGTAGCTTACCCCATAGATAATTGCTTGTCTTAATTCCTATGACAGGCATGGACAGCAGAAACATCAGAATGAAATAAAGGACCTACCTCTCTGACTTTCTCAATGGAGGTGGTGAAAATGTAAATGATCACAAGCCATTCTGGCACACTGGGTGTTGGTTCCATCTCCACCAAGACAGTGTAAGTGAACAGCATGAGAAATGCTAAATAGGCCATCTACAAAACACACGAACACAATGCGTAGTCCTTATAAACACACATTTGTGGCAAAAAAGAGGAAACGAATAGGTCACACAACACCATCCCCACCACCATTTGTGTAAGCTCTGCAGGGTGGGTGTGCATCATCATCATTACCAATTTATAAACTGTTTCACAGCCTGAAGCCATCAAAGTGGTGTAGAAAAAGATAAAAGTAATAATACAAATTCTAAAAATAACAATTAGTCTTACAAACTCTAAAAATAATAAAACCATCCCTACATTTGTACACTTACTGTTTCATAAATGACTGGGTGATCTCTAAGGAATCCTTAACACCTTTTGTAGGTGCCTAAATATCATGACAAGCCTGCTTTCTAGGACAAACTAGGGCATGCAGTCCTCTCAGCAGTGCTGCATCCCAGGGACACATTTGCCAGGCAGCCATGTGTGGGGCCAGACAGTCCCTTAGGTAACCTGACCACAAATTGTTTGGGATCATGAGCAACCATAGCAGGCAGGTCAGGAGCTCCAAGACTATGGCAACATAGGATCCAAGGGAGCATAAGATTATGCTCCAAGACTGTGGAAGTTGCCACAGCTAAGAACCATGAGCCCTCACACAGAAGGAGGGGCAACCAGTCATAAACAATGACTGACCGTGTGAAACCAGAACTTCACAATTGGAGCATTGTAGAATTCATACACTTTCCTAGTTGCAGGAAGGCTTCCCTGCTCATTATTGCCGGGGAAATTCTGGCTTTCCTCTTGCTTCTCAACTCCTTTCTCTAAATCATAATGGCTCTGTATAAGAAAACAAAGTGCTCGTGTTAGTGGTTATCCAACTCCATAAGAAACTACTATTATGCAGATTCTGTACATCAGGAAAAAGGAAAAGAAATCTGGAGTAGTGACGTTGGAATACACTGTGCTGGGTAAATATATTTTTATATTATTATATAAATATTATAATTGCTATTTTCTGTTCACAAAGCAAGAATAATTAGGTTATTTTCCATAAACAAATACATGAGTTAAGCATTCAAGCTTAAACTATAATTGTAAACAGTAATGTTGAGATTATTGTTCTGAATTTGAACTGAACCTGAAGACCTTTTGCAGTTCCAACACCTTAAGAAGAGAAATTAACATTCAGCCCAGAAAGATGTTCAAAGTTTCTTTAAAAAAGAGAGAGAGAGATTGCCGATATATCTGCACACCATAAAAATATACATAGTTTGTTTATCATCCATAGGCTCTTGTGCATCTAATTATAACATTCCTTTAGTGGGTCATTTGAGATGGAAAACAGAAAATATTCTCATGGAACTCACATTTTTAGCGAGAAGTTATAGAGAATTTGTATTTTTCTAAAGTAAATTTTCCTTCTAGCATCCTATCCCAGGGAAAGAGCATATGCTGTCCATGCAGAGAGTCCCAGGATCTATTCCCAGCCCTTTCCAAAACCCTAGAGAACTATTGTCAGTCTTCCTAAATAGCACCAAGCTATATCAGTTAATGGTCTAAAATAGTCTAGCACAGTACTTGTAACGTCAATGATATATATGGGAAAGCAAATGCTTAGCCCTGCCTAACAGCATCAGAATCTAGTTCTGCACTTTTCTAGCATCTACCACAGTATAGAACTAAACGTTTAGAAATAAAAAGATATATGTTCCACATTTAAGAAAAATGAAATCTAAACCTGGTACCATACTAACCAATGAGACGTTATCTTTAACACTGGAAGCGTTAGGATCACCATGATACCGTGTGAACTGGTGGAACTCCTGTGACTGAGGTACATGAGACATTTCAGCCTTGCTTTTAAACTCCAGCATCAAGATGGTAGGAGGCAGAAGAATGCTTAGGATCACCTGCAGGAGAATGATGCAGTTAGTATCACTGCATTTGATCCTATCACTAGCCTTTGTATGAAACTAACAAAGAGGAAGGCAGCGGTGGCTGATGCCTACAAAAAGTGAGTCTCTCTCTCATCCTGCCCAACCATTCCCTCTGCTTCACTGCCCAAAGTTCCTCCTAGTTGCTCTAAACCAAAACAAGAAAAAAAGAAATTCAAGCCATTGATGCAAAAGAGGAATCAAGAGTGCAGTTAGAGTGTCTTCCCTATTCTACCCTCTGAATTGAGTGCCTTACTCTGTTGTCCTGTTTTTGGAAGTGGCTGGGTGCACTCAGGAGTAATCAGGACCTCCCAAGTAAGCCCAACCCCTGGTGAACGTAGCATGGAAAGGTGTCAAATTTAACCCACAGCTGCAAAAGACCAGCTGGAAGCCACAGCTTTATCTGCCCTGCACCTATGCCTGGCATCACATAGCATCAAGTGATGGACAGGTGAGCATACTTTGGCCCAAGTTCCCAGCGCTGTTGGATAGCTTCCAGGGCAACCAGTGGCCTATGAAACACTGCCCTCTTGCCAAGGCAGATACACGGAGAATATTTGGGAGGGATTGGGAGTTTTTGGAGGGTCCTGGTCCTGATTTTTTTTTTAAAGCCAGAACATATGCTTACTTCTTGAGATTTCTGCTGGGGGGGGGGGGGAATCGGAAGCATCCACACCATTATGTTGGTATCATCCCAAATCTTGGGTCCAACCTCTCTACTATAGTCAGGAATCAATCTGTGATTCCCAAATCTTTTTCACCCTGAGCTTGACCCATTTGACTTCCAGAGAAGGAAAATGTGCAGGCAATAGCATGGTGAAGCCAAAGGCCCACCAACCGCTCCTGGTCCCCACAGCTGCCACACACAGATGTGAGCAGGGAAAGCATGATCAGGAAGTATGAGAGCCGCAGAAACAAGGGGCATGGCTCCTCATCCATGGGGAAACTCTCCTTGTATTTAGTAAGAAGACTCCACAATTCATCAGTAGCTTTCGCCTAAATTCTCATTTTAAACCAGCCATATGATGTGCAGAATTGTTGCTGTTACCAGGGCAGGAATAAATGCCACTAAACAACAAGTAGACCATATAGCAAGATCCAAAACACAATATTCCTTCAGTCAGCACAATATCGACAGTGAAAGTACAATCCACTTCTGTGGTAAAATGTGCAACTGTTAACACTACACTTGCGCATGCCAGGTCCAATAAAGTCATAAGCAGTGCATGCATACATGTGCACTCATGCCAATACTTAGAAAATTCAGGGCATCGTAGAGGAGATTCAGAGAAATATAATCCATATGTGTGGCAAACAGAAAGAGCTTCCAAATGGAGAGTAGCATAAGCAATAAGCAGGCAAAAGTGGGGCAAGCAGCCAAGGGGAGAGTTGCTAGGTCAAATTAAGTCACAAACAACACACACACACGCAATCTTGCTTGCACGTCCCTCAGCCAGAACAACCTTTTCCCTCTGCTGGCCAGTCAGCCAGCCATTTTCTCTTTCCCAGCAGACTGACATGATGATGCAGCTCCCTTGAAAACTATGGCTTGGGAAAGAAAACTATTCTAAATCTCTACCTCCTTGTACTGCACCCAAATATGGAAGACACAGGAGCAACTGTTGACTTTGAAAGCTATTACAATGTAATTAAAGGTAGGAGACTTTAAATCTGTGTTTGCTTTGGCAGAAAAGGAACTAAGGTGCTTCCGTGGGAAGGAATATACCGTACTCCTTTTTATGGGTTTCAAGAGTGCAAGGTACACTGTCTTCCCTACAGCAGGCCTAGTAGGTAACACTTGCAGAGATAATAAGCAGCTGACTTCTTGAGAAACAGAGGAGTGTCTTCTAGGAGCTATTCAAGGAGGAGTTTGCTTCCTCTGCCTTAGCAATTCTCTTCCCTCATCCTCAGTAATCCTTATCCATCTGTTTGTTGTGACAGATGGATTACGCAGTTTCTGTCCTATAATTTTTTTCTCTTTTGTGACCAGAGATATGACACAATTTTCTACAACTATTTGACAAAGCATATCTATATGGGACTCTGGAAGGATATGACTGCTTAACTAAGATTTCTTTATTTAATGATACCTTCAATAGGTATTTCCGGGGGGGGGGGGGTTCACAAAGATGCATTCACTTCCGGTGCATCCTGTCTGTGATTCATGTACTGCCCTCATATCCTGAGTTCAACAGTGCTGATCTCCAACTCACTCAACAGACTCTGTTGCATTGTGCTAAATGAGCTTTCCCAGGGGACAGAAAGTGGGGTGGCTGGGAAAGTGCGGAAGTGCTCTCAGGAACTGCTTCTGGTCGTGTTCTTGCTCCCACAGTTCATCAGTTGCATTTGCCATGCATGAATACACTCAGTGGCGAACAAGAGCGATGGTGGAGAGAGCACAACATCTTTTGTGACTGGAGCACAGGACAACAGCAGACCTAATGCAGGCTATTTGCACAATCCAAGCCAGGACAGTGCACCTAAGTTATCCTCACGCCTGATCTTTGAGAGTCTCCTCTCAACAAGCCCATTGAACTTGAATGAGATGAGCCGTCATGCAGTGACAGCACAAGATGACTATAAAACCACCCAGCCCCGCTATTGGCACACAGGATAAGGGGCTGCTGAGAGATGCTGTACCTTAAACCAGGAGTTCTTTCTCATTTTCAGGCGTCCCATCCACATATCAGTCAACAGCATCTGTGTGCACGTGTGAGATACAAAGGGTCGCAATACCACTGACACGGCCAGCTTCAGGCATGTGGAGTTACTCCAGTTCTTCAGCTCGTATGTTAGCAGTTTCATGGCCATCTGCTCATTCTGTTTGAAAGCATTATCCAGCACATCTAGAGCCAGCTGCCCAAACTCACTACGACAGCAAAAGAAAAGCCAGGTAGGGGGCAAATGTTGCCAGCCTTAGAGTACGGACTGAGCACAAATAACAGAGGCAAGCAGTATGACTTGTATTAAGCGCCTCTCATAGGAACAGCCTGGTCCAAACCGTGGACTCCCTAGGAATTTCTCCAAGCAAATGTGTGCTTAGGAGTACAGCCATCGTGTTTTTCCTATTGTTTCAAATAAGCCCATCATTCTGAGAAATTCTTCTGGTAATCCAGAAATTCTTCCACTTATCTTAGACCCACATCTATAGCATAACGCCTGTTGATTTTAATGGATTTTGGTTTTAATGGATTTGGGCTATGAAACCTGCTGAACTCCTTACAGCACAATTCTGTAAGCACAATTCTATGCCTGCTTACTTAGAAGTAATTTCCACTGTTCAATGGTGCTTACAGTATTTTGACTTTGGCACTAAAACAAATGACATACATTCTAAAAAGAACTTTAAAATGAATGTAAAATATACTGAAATCATAAATAGCTGACCTTCAAGCAGAAGACATAAATGAAATAAATAAAATAATATTGTAAAAATAATTCAAAAATATATTGGCCAATATTTATGCAACAGTATTTAGCTGATAACATCTATATTTCTGAAAATGGAATAATGAGCATTGATAAGCAACTTTAACAATATTTATCTCAGCTCAGTTATGTCAAGGTTACTACCTACAATAGAGTTAAAAAACTTACTAAAAATATTTTTCTAATGTAACACACACACAATATCAGGAATCAAAATAATAAGATACAAACCCCATAAAAAAAAATCAAAAATGCATGACAAAAATTCTATTGCTTCAAATGGACTATGTTCTTAAACTGGAAAGCATACAAGATCCTTCTTGGGAATGTTCCGTGTCAGCTACATGGAATTTCTGTTAAACTAAAAGTTCTGTTTGGGATTTCTGCCTTTTCTTGATGTGCCCAATGGGGCAAAGAATGGCATAAAAATAGATAAGACAAAGGTGATAGACGCGAGGATCCTGGCAGTAGAAGTAGATCATCATTGGAATAAATCACCTGATAATACAGGACTAATGAACTTGATAACAAAATGATGGAAACTGGAGATGTTGAAATAAAGGTGTTTTTTCTAATAAAAAATGGAGGCACAGAAAATTATACATTAGATGGAATACTGGCTTGTCAGTATTTCTCACCAATTTTCTTTTCATTACTGGGAAACCCAGCCAGATGGGCGGGGTATAACTATTATTATTATTATTATTATTATTATTATTAGGAAATGTACTCCTTTAAGAAAATGTACCTTTCAGCTCAGATCAGCCTTTTAAAAACTATTCTCCTCCTTTGCCTGCTAAGCTAAAGGATACCCTTCAGCTGTCACCAGCTCTAATGTTAAGAAGAGAAGAAGAGTCCTGCTGTCTTTTCTGGCGGTGGTCAACTAAATGCCCATGGGAAGCCCATTATATAATCTTAGGTGATGGAGAGAAAATGTCTAACCATTCTAAGCACTGTAGATCTGTATTATCTGAAGTGAAGGGAGAATCCCTACTTTGAATACTTCTTCAGCTCTTCTGATGTGTCATCCTCCATGTTGCTTTGCTTAGCTTCATGTGCCATCGCTCTGTAGAGTTTGCAAGCCACCACAGCCTTGACCATGGCTTCCTTTCCATGCTGCCAGAAGAACATGGCCATCTTCTGCCTTTTCATCAATACTGCCCATACCAAGAGATCATTATATGGGTATATAAACCCAACTGATTGTTGGTCATCAGAGACAGTAAATTCATCCCTTAGCTTCTTTCTAGTCTTGTGAAGAACAGCTGTTTTTTGCTGCAAGTTAATAAATAAAAAGTTACTCAAAGTCTATCACCTCTACGAACAATTTGCTTACTTCAAATCAAATTTCTGAGTTATAGGGTTATTATCCACAAGAATTATAAACTATATTAAATGACAGCTATGATAAATACAGAATCACAAATCCACAAAAGGAACCACATTCCATATGAAATAATATGCTCAAAGCTCCATATAACAGAATGCAACTATTAATATCAATTTTGTGTTCTATTATGTAGAAAAGCAGAAAATTCTGACAAGATTTAATAGGTCAGATCCTTGATCCAGATAGCTCAATATTGTCCACACTGACTGACAAGAGCTTCAGACAGCAGTCTCTCAAGCCCTACCTCAAGATGCCAGGAGTTGAACTCATATGTGCTCTACCAGTGAGCCATGGCCTTTCCCATCGCCATTGGCCAGAATGGCTCTCCATTTGAATTTCTTTTAAAATGTTTGTTCAATTGCCTTGGGTCCAAAACTGACTGAACATGCTGCCTTATTGGGAACAAGGAGGAGGAAGGTCTCTTTGCCCTTCCTTTAAAGAGGAACAAATCTAGAGATGTATGACACACATCTAGAGAAGATGCTGGGGACAAGTCTTTTCTGGATTGTTGGACAGTGGAGAATGGAGAAACTGGCCTCTCAGAATTTCTGAAAAACTCTAAGGAACACATATATAAATTTGTATTAGAAACCCATTGACCTACAGTAATTCACTTTCAATTTTTCCAACCACCCCTCATAACACAGAATAAACCATTATCTCCAAGGGAATTATAGGGAACCAACTGTGCTTCTTAATTTTTGTCTGATTCAAGCCCTGAAAAGGAAACGATTTACTTTAGCCATTGAATCTGCCTCTCACATGTGTATAAACCCACTGGAGTGAGCAAACATGATTTTTCAGCCTACTGGTTTTCAATCAAATTGCATAAGCAAGCAAAGATTCACAGTACTTTGTATCTGTATGGCTGTGCTGTTCGAATGAACTGGGAATGTGAGGTGTTTTCATCAGATCCATTTCTACTCCTCATATTATTATTCTGATGAAGGGAGAAGTTCTGCGTCAAGCTGGAGACAACTCTCTGGTTCCATGAAACAAAGAGAAAGAGACAAATGAGATCCGGATCATCATGATCATATTTACCAAAACACAGTAACAGAGGTTTATAATTTTCTCTTCCACTTAAAGTAGATATGGGGAACCTGTGGCACTCCAGATATTGTTGGCTGATTGGCCATGCTGGCTTGGACTGTTGGTAGCTGGCATCCAACATATCAACACAACGGCTATTCTCTGCCTCCATGGTCAGAGGCAGCAATGCTTTTGAAGGCCAGTTGCTGGAAACTATAGCAGGCTCTGCTTGTGGGTTTTCCATAGGGATCTGGTTGGCCACTGTGAGAACAGAATGCTGGACTACATGGGCCACTGGTCTGATCCAGCAGGCTGTTACAATGTCAGGGGAACACAGGGTCGGCAGTCCCGCTGGTGTGTGCACACCTGCAGGGCTATTGCTGCCAATGCGACATGCCCCTGACCGCTCCATTGCCACGTCAACCTATCGCATCCTGATTCCTGACGAACACAGTACTACAAAGAGCCACCACTGCTCAGTAGCATGAGCTCAAAATGATAAATGGAAAAATAGGTTCCTCTAAATAGGAAGAAAGGGTCCTCAAGGGCCCTGAGCCAACATCCCACCTGATACTGAAAGGCTTTTCTGGGCTCACAAATGCACAAGGTGAGCAAATTGCATTCTATTAGACAGGCATCAAAATGTATTAAAATGATGTCAGAGATGAGAAGCAGAAAGTTCAAATACTGCCTTATTTTGTAAACAAGCATTTATCCAGTGAAGACACAATAAATATATATTGATCCCCACAATTCTATTTAACAATTACATCTCAAATCAAAAATAAATTGGCTAAATTATTGTTAAATTAGCTATATTTCTATTATTTATCATTCTAGTTTATTATCTATTAATATGATGCTTAACTGAATGTGGAAACACATTTTTTGTATTTCAATTCTGATTCCTTACTAAATACCCAAACTTTAATAACATATACACATTATACTATTTCCTTAAACCAGGCATCCCCAAACTCGGCCTTCCAGATGTTTTGGGACTACAATTCCCACCATCCCTGACCACTGGTCCTGTTAGCTAGGGGTGATGGGAGTTGTAGTCCCAAAGCAGTTGGAGTGCCGAGTTTGGGGATGCCTGCCCTAAACTCTATCTCCATAAGCTCTCACTGATGGAAGCAGCTGTGACCATTTTACTGAGTTTACCTCACGTTTCCTGTAAAGGCTATTGTACAGAACTCGGAAATGCTTTCTTGTGTAGCTGCTCTGATAAGCTCCACCAATCAAGTATTCTATTACCAATCCAATATCAATTAGAGATATTTTATAATCCACAGGAAGAGTACTCTGTAACACAAATATTTGACATTTTATATAACAATCATACGTAAGCATATTAATAGTGCTTTAGAGCATGTATCAAGAATCCTTCACAAACACTTTATAATCTGAGCTACTAAATAAATGTAGCCAATATCACATTCCTCAGATTGTCCATATTTAAACATATGATGTTTTTCCTTCAACATCTTTATCATATTGACTGGCTGTGCCCAGATGACATATATCCCACTGATAGCAGCTCTAATCAACTCCCTCCCGAAAACCTGTGTCCCCACTGTGGAAGGACGTGTGGATCCAGAATCGGCCTCCACAGTCCCTTACGGACTCACTATTAAGACTGTGTTCATGGAAGACAATCTTACTTAGCTACGAGTGATCACCAAAGAAGGAGAAAACAGTTCAAGTTCTACTTAGCATGGGTGTTTGTTGCTATTCCTAACATTTCTGAAGTTGCTGCTAGTCTGGTTGGGCCAATTGGATATGCACAGCTCCCAAGTTGATCATACAGGTTAGGACTATACTATAAAACAGCATAGAGCAAGTGGTGATTCAGTTGTGATCATGGCAAAAACCACCATCCAAAGGAGTTCTAGCTCATCATTCTTCAGAATGTAGATTACCTGTTTCACGTCACAAACAAGATGACGCAGAAGAAGATTTGTTGGCCCTTGTTTCTGGAATGTTAAAAGAGGAATGACAAGAATACAGTGACTAAATTAAAAGAAAGAAACTTTCACTATATATGAAAGAAAGATTCAGAAACAGGACAGCTAGTACATTAATATTTATTAACAACTAATTTTGTTTAAGACTTGGCCTGAAGAAAGCTGTATTTAAAAAGAGAAAGCACATTCTTCAGCTGCATTTCCGGCCCATGATCACAACAGAACTGTCAGATCAGTCTATCAACCAACGAATCACTATCTTCAAATGAGCCTCCTGCCTGCTAAACTGCTTCTTTTTTTGTTTATATACGGTAGATTGGGCAAGAGGTGGAGGCTGTGAGACTACAAGAGGAAATAGTCTCTCTTTTATCCTCGCTGTCTTATCCTGCATGCCTCCCTCATAGATTTTAAACTGGCCTTTGGGGCATTGCAACCTGCCCTTTACATTTTCTGCCATTCCTCTAATAGAAAATTAAACAGATTGTCTAGTTAGTGTTACACTTGTGGAAGGAAAAGCACTTTTTCATAATACATCCAATACATCCAAAAGAGCAAAACCCAAGGACCAAGGCACTGAAGGGTTATTTATTTTTAATATATTGTAGAATACTACATTACACTAATAGGGTGAAATTCCCAAACTGTTCTGGAATATGTTTGGTGCACTCAGATCTGTCCCCATCCCAATCTGTATCATTCCAAACTTTCAGAATGTATACTGACATCCATTTTAGATTTCAGGTGTCCCAGTTTTATGAGGGATGTGATGGGGAGCAGATTCTGAATGATTCATTGTTGCAGAAGCCTCAGCAAGGCCTCTGCTGTGATGATGAAGTAAGCTGCAAACAGTCTTGAATAACAAAACGAAAACAACATTATCTGCTCTCTTTTCAATGAAACAAATAGATCAACAGATAAAAGAGGAAGAACAGAAGATGACGTTACTTTGTAGCTTGATTCATCTGCCCATTCATCCATCTAGGATAAAGCCATCCTGACAGGCAGTTCTGCAGGAGTATATACAACTAGGCATGCACCTACACAACAGCCACTCACCAAAACCTATGACCAGAACTATGCAACGAGTTCGGGGGGGGGGGCGACCCAACTAGGCATACTTATAACAGCTTTTTGGATTCTGTGCTACAAGCTCAAACATGCATGCAAAAATGCAGAAACGACTTATTGTTCCATTGGAGCTACCTCTGAATATTAGCAAAGTAGATAAATATTTAAGCAAAATGTATTCAGCATTGGAATTCCAGGCACTCACAGTATTGTACAGTTCTTCCAATCGGGTTATGGTCAGAAAACGGTGCAGATTCACTCCATGTTCTATTAGCAACTTCACAAATTCTACCCGATCCATCACCAGAGCATCAAGCATTGCTTGTTCCAGGGACCCAACCTTCAAACAAGTGCAGGAAATGTAAAGAAAGGGCGAGAAATAATTGTTTTCTTCATAACTTTTGCAATTTCTCGGAGTTATTTGCATTTCAATGCTGGTGAGTAAACTCCAATATTCTCCTTAAACACAGTAAGACAAATAAGTACAGATAGCACAACTGTAAATGTTTGTCCATAATGTGTGGAAAATAAATGTGAAAACTACCTTCCAGTGCTGTCCATAAATCAATATATGCTTCTTAGCAATGTCCAGTCTGTTCCAGGCCAGTGCCAGATTTAGCTGATCTGGAGCGGACATATTTGTTCCTACAAAAAGGAAATTATTCTTTTAGATTTTATACAAAATGTTTTTCCTCTTCTACTTCAAAAGTAATTCTTATGCATTGCTATGACTTTGAAGAAAGAGGCAGAAATTATTATATGCATGTACCTTTTAAGAGTGCAGTCAGGATTGCCAAATCAATGTCCTGATGCTCATCCGACTCTGCATCAAATATGGTTATCTGTCAAAATAACAAAACATTTTACTGAGAGAAGAGAGAAAACCACCAGACAATTCAAGACTATTGCACATGGTGGGCAAAGGATAGGCAGTAAACTGTGACCTGCAATCATTTTTCTAAACATGATTAATTTAGTGGAACAGCTTCTGAACCCAAGTCAAAATTCAATGGCACTCTAGAGAATGAGATTAATGAAAAGAATTTCATGAATTTATCATACTTACAGAATCCCTGTGTTCCATGCACTCCATTAACATTTTAAATAAGTGGTGGGACTGTTTCTGCCCCAAACTGAAGGTGTTCTGAATCATTAATAATATCTCTTCCTTAAGCTGAGGGCTCAAATTCCTGAGAAAGAAACGTATGTACAAAAAGATAATTATTATTTCACCAATAGATACTTATTGTCTGTTACTGTAATACTGTAAATATTTTTCAACAAATTTGTAACACAAAAAGCTTCCCCCATCTCTTTATTTGTACTGCTTGTCCCCTACACAAGGGCAGCCAATGTATGTGCCCTCCAGACATTATTGGACTACAACTCCCATCAGCACCAACCTGTTGGACAATGGTCAGAGATTATGGGATCTGGAGTCCACCAAAATATGGAGGGCATCACTGAGTCTACCCTTGCACTATATAGTGACTGAAACATCACCCCTAAATAACTGAAGTCAAGGCATGTCCACAAAAAGAATAAAGCGTTCAATTTAGAATGGTTACTTTACACATACTTAGTTGGTTACAGGCATTCCACCTAAGTAACAGTCAATCAGCACTGTACAACTGTGATTGGCAACTAGTTTGGCTGATGGCCAAATTATGTTGCCTCTGTCCCACTTACTGTTGTTGACATATGCATAGTTTGTGGAGGAAGAAGAGTTTAAAAGGACCCATAGGATAAACCCAAGGTAATGATGGGTCAACTAGTGGTTGATCTGGATGATGGGCTGCCAGATTTCCACTGCAGAAGCACCAAAAGAATAAAAAAAGGTAAAGGTAAAGGACCCCTGACAGTTAAGTCCAGTCGCAGATGACCTGGGGTTGCAGAACTCATCTCGCTTTACAGGCCGAGGGAGCTGCGTTTGTCTGCAGACAGTTTTTCCATGTCATGTAGCCAGCATGACTAAGACATTTCTGGCGAAACCAGAGCAGCACACGGAAATGCCGTTTACCTTCCCGCTGGAGCAGTACCTATTTATCTACTTGCACTTTTTTTAGCATGCTTTCAAACTGCTAGGTTGGCAGGAGCTGGGACCAAGCAATGGGAGCTCACCCCGACATGGGGATTCAAACCACCGACCTTCTGATCGGCAAGCCCAAGAGGCTCAGTGGTTTAGAATAATGGCTTATAAATAGTACTGTCAAACGTTAATATGAGCAGTACAATTTCAACAGTGAAAATGTCCAATCTAGGTTAAGAGAAACATCTCTGAATGGTAAGAAATATGCTGAAGTTGGTGAAACTGGGCTGGAAGTATTAGACAGTTAAATCTTGAAAAATAGGGCTATTCAGAATATGTACCCTACAACACTTGTAGAGCATCAGAATCATAGTTTGACCACCATCCCAGTTTCACTACCAATTGGACCACTTCAGCTACTTCTCTAGAACCACCCTGTGAGGACACAAAAAAGAAAACGGTGGTGACCAGAAGCTTCATCATTTGCCAAGCACATATTCCCAGTACTACCCATCAGTCAATAAGTAAAATAAGGAAGTGACTAGCTAGCAGCACAGGAAGCAAATTGGGTAGGTATGATAAAGAGATAACAGGTGGTATCTAGTGAGTTTTACTCAGAGAAGACCCATTGAAATTAATTAACATGACTAAGTTAGGGCCTGAGTAATATTTTGTAGAATACTATGCTACAGCAGATGAAAGGACCAGCAGCAGGGCCAGAAAGGTCATGGGAAAAGGCCTAGAAAAAGGCTGAGCAATTCTTCTTTCCTTTCTCCAGAGTGAGAAGTTGAGATGCTCACCTGACACTCGATGAGGTTCAGAGACAATCTTACTAAACCATGTTTTTATTTTTTAAAAAACACCAAGATTTCTTAGCTATAGCCTTGTTTGATTAAAGGCATCTTTTGCAATGAAGCGGCAAGTGCAAGCAAATGCTGCAAGCTGCAAGTACTCACGTCATATCTGCTGTGTGCTTATGGGTGAAAGCAAGAAGGTCGGCCGCTCGCCCAGTTCCCTCATAAACTACTACAGGGACAGCCGGCTTGTCCCTCACATATTCCCACACGGTCAGGATCTCATTTGGACCACCTTCCACCAGCAGCCCAACTAAGGGCACTCCTTGTCCCATTCCTATTTCAAACCACATCGAAAATGTTAACAGGGCAGAGATCCACAGTGCATATAATAACCCACTTTTGTACCCATCAAGATTTTTTAAAATCACAAGACAAAAAGTAGGGCTATTGCCTGTTTTGTTTTTTAATAGTCAATTAAATAATGTTTTACTCAATTATTAATTTCACTGATTAAATTTGTATGAACATGCATGTGAGTAAAACATTGATAATTCTGAAGCAAAAAGCATTATTAGTTTTTCCTTTTTAGAAGGAGAACTTAGAAGATGGAAGTGTGACAGAGAAGAAATGATGTATTCTAAAAGCTACAGGTGGCTGGAACTAAGTATTAAAACTGCAGTATTATTTTTTTAATAAAAAATGTACTACTCAATGAATCGGGACATAAGAAAATCTAGCAAAACAATTGCTAATTGATTAAGCCTTATTTTTTAACTTTAATTTTAATTGGCAACAGTCACATATCACAATACACCGTGGTCAATGGTCACAGTAAATCATACTGAATGACAGTGCAAAAAGCTTCCACTGTGCTCCTCCCTAAAGATTTGTAAAACAGATCTAAGATTCGTTCCAAGCACCAATTTCCTGTAGGGAAACATGACATGCTGGTATCCATGAGAAGTTACTTCTCTTCTCTTCGTGCAAAGCCAGCTATCAGTGGTGCCTCAGATAAGAAGCTTCTTACAAAGTGAACCCAGAACAAGGAGAACTTACTAGAGTGTATTTTCTGGAGTGACAGGTATTTTTCTAGATTCCTCCTGAGTTTCATCTCATTGCCATATTTGCCCACGGTGCCATCATCAGCCAGTATGAAATGGGAATGCATGCTGTTCAGGGTGCTCAGCTTGCTGAGAGGGTTGCTCAGGGTCTGATACAGGCACACTACCTGAGGAGAATCCAGGTAAAAGCAAAACAAAACAGCCCCACCAAAATACTCTAGCATTCTCATTTGGGAAGGGGGTGGGACATCTGCCTGATTTAGACATTTTTATTGCCTAATAGAGAAATAATTTGCTTTATTTCACAAGAAGTCATGGCATCAGCTCTTGATATATTTGCATAGTATTCTCTAATAATCCTTGTACTCATAGATATTCTATAAGGCAGAAGACCTGAGATCCTTAGTCACTGCTATTTTAAAAACAACATTCTTTTACACAGTACTTTTTTTCTGGGGGTACACACACCCCTAAACATTTTGTGAATCTAAGTTTGGCCTCATTGAGGTGGAGTATTTCAATGTGAGTAGGAAAATGAGAGTACCCCTAAATATTTTTTTTTAGAAAAAGAGCACTGCTTCTACATCAGCACCAATCCAGTCTCCAAATAGCAGAATAATAGTATCCTTCCTGAAGTACAACAGGGTTATGGGTGGTATTTAACTACCTTTTGCTCAGAGTAGACTCACTGGAATTAATAAGAATGATTAAGTTAGGTCAATTAATTTCAATGGGTCTACAACAAATAAAAGTGGGCCAGATTCAACTAATGAGTGCCACTAGCGGAAGCCAGTGCAACAGAAGCACAGTGGGGGCTTCCCCCCCCCCCCGTCTCTCCCCCCCCCACTCCTCCAACTGGCTTGAGGAAACTTCCCCAAACACTACACAAGGATAGAAGAGGGGAGATCATTGCATGAAACGCTTGCGCTGATGAAACAATCTTCTCAGCACCATGTTGAATTCCCCCCTTGTGTTGAAGAGTACTTCCAAACAGGGGCTTAATTTTGAAAACAGGTCATTCAGCTATTGCAAACAGGTAACAAATAGGCTTTATTAAAGATTAGGTTGTTTTCAGGACAGGGTCAGTCTAGATGAAATGGGGGGAGGAATATAGGTTGGCATTTTGATGCTTATGTCATCATATAGATACTGTGAAAAAATTGCTTCGATTTCCACAATAAACACCCATCTAGGAAGCACCTTAGATATGAGGTAATCCATACAATAGTTTCTATCCCATTGCCACTAATATCCATATATATCAGCATTGCATAAATTACATATTTGCATCTGATGGCAAGTTACACAAGAATAATTGCATAAAACACCCTCTTTGCTGGAGATGCAAGTTTGTAGACGCGAAAGAGCTCTTCCCTACAGGCAAACCCCTACACTCTTTGGGACTGAGGGAAAGAGTGCACTTAAAACAAGAAAACAAAGAGCATTCATTAACTCACATCTTTTCCAATGAGGTCCCTCTGGTTCTCAATGATACCCCAAGGGGGGATTCCAACAGCCAAGATCTTTCTTAAGTACTGAGAGGCATGGAGTTTCAAGGCATCTCCCACATGCTTAGACACACCTAGAAATATTATCACCATCATCATTAATATTACAAAACAGTTGGCATCTTGCCCTCACAGCATATAATTCTTTGTGCATTGCCTTGTGATCTACTTAGATGAAAGGCGGTCTAGACATGAAATTGTCATGGATTCTACTCAGTATTGATCCAGAGCAGAACTCCAGTGTATAGTTAGCAGGTTAAAAACTTAAACATGTTGTGGGATTCCCAAACAATAGACCAGAGGCAATTGTGTTTCATCCAGCAGAGCTTTACTGCTACTGAAGGCAAATGAGCATAATGGTCACAAATTGACACCATCCATAAGAAGTCCAGTTGCAGCAGACTTAAACTTACAATAACTTATAATAAGACCAAAACTTCACACCTTATACAAAACACCACACCAGAAGAAAAGACACAGAGAGAGTAAAACCCAGGCTCCTTCTGGCCTTACTATTATAGTCAGCATGACCTTGTCAGAAGAGAACAAAACCAGTTTAAGCCAGCTGTACTCAGCTTCTCTGAAGGAATAACCCAAACATCAGGAACTTTCTGCTTGTTTCTTTGACACAGAGAAGCTTCCAGAACCCTCTTGAATTAATTAGAATAGGAAAGATCTCTAAACATTAGATCAATACTTTCTGTACCAAGAAATGCAAACTGACAGAAATAAGTAAGAAATGTACATCACATCCAAACTGCAAAAAGGAAATACCGGTAGATCATAGCCTAAGAACATGGTGGAGTTACATACAACTACAGTACCATGGAAAAATGTTGAATTTGTGGGACTTCTCCACAAAATTGTGAACTGTATTTCTTGAATAACACAATATTTTTCAACCACATAGTTATTACATCCACACTATACATTTACACTATTAACAGTCATGGCTTCCCCCTAATAATTTTGTGAACTGTAGTTTGTTAAGGGTGCTGAGAGTTATTATTATATCATGATTATTTATTAAATTTATAAAATTTATATAGTAAGATCACAGGTTGTCAGGAGACCCCTCAGAAAGCAAAATTCCCAGAAACCATAACAAACTACACAGATCCAAATATTCCATATGACCAAGGCACAGAAGGGTCAAACTGCACACAGGCAGCTCTAACAAGCTAACCAGCCACAAACTGCCTGTCATCTAAGAAACCAAAGCTATGAGAGGAGGCCTAACTCAGTAGTAGAGCATCTGCTCTGCATACAAAGGATCCAGGCACAATTCTTGGCATCTTCATGCAGAATGGGGGGAAATCCTACCTGAAATCCTCAATAATCTAGACAATTCTAAGGCCCGACTCAGTATAAGGCAATTTTCTGTGTTTCTATGTTCCTCAGAGAGAACATTACATTTCAAAAGAGTTTACTGTACCAGTGTTGATGCCTTCTGTTAGTATCCATGCTCCTGTGGTCTCAGCAGCTTTGACCAAGCCTTTGCTCAAAAGCTGCTTAAGTTTAGATGGAAGTTTGAAGTTCTGGATGCCACCATGAACAGAAATGACCAGTTTGGGCAATTCCATCTGCCATTCTTTCACCATGAGTTGCAACAACTGGTCCACCTTGGTATCATAAGAAGTTCTAATATACTGAAAAAATAAACTGTAGTTGTTAGAATTACGCAGAGAGAAAAGGTAGCATATATTTTATAGAGAGAAGATATCATCTTAGTCCTAACCTCTTCAATTTGCTGAAAGCTCTAATAGTTCAAACATTTCCAACTTTTTAAATTGGCCTGTTTTCAAAATCATCACAGTGAAACACACACACACACACACCTAATGGGTTAGCATAATGTTCCTTTCAAACACAGGAACAGAAATCCATTGATTATGGTGAGGAACTAAAGTACACTATCACTTAATATATAGCTGAGTAACTCATGTGTGTTTATCTTTTTGTCTCATCATTCAGAGGTGAATATGTTCACTCCTTTAATTTCAAAAGTATTATGCCAGAGATGATGGAAGTTGTCAGAAGCACTCTATTATATGGGATGGTGGTACTTGATCTTTTAGACACATGCATGATATCTCTTGATATTGTAGTCATCAAATTATGAGATGGCATGGAACAAACTCATACCAACTTATACTGGATTTTTATCTAACACCAGCAGTTTTATGTTTAGCACTGTTGGTTGTTTTTATGCTAAATAACTGAGAAAATTATTTTATTACAGCTCTGTTTCAAAGTGTGTACGCACCTTGGCATGGTAAGTGTGATCACTGTCTTGAAAATTAATAGTACCAAATGCATCAGTTGGACTTGTCTTTGTGTCCCTTTGGACACACCATTCCCTGTTCTCTACTTCTTGTGCAGACCGACAGATGGGCCAGCAACAATCAATCCCATGATGGTCACCAATTAGCCGTCCACAACAACACCTTTTAAAAAAGACCAAAAAAAAAACTCATAACATTGGCATAAATTAATTAAATGCATTTCTGAACTACTACATATAAACAGTGACTAGCTCACATTAATGCATTGTACTAGAATGCTGTAAGCCATTTCTCAAGTTTTACACCTTGCACTGTACGAATATCTTGTTAAAATTATAAGCAAATTGCAGGTTAAGGCTCCTGTTAACATCTTAAATTATCAATCCAGAGATTTCTAACTGGAAAACTCAGATTGAATGGAAGGATAAGACAGAGAAAATATGGCAATTTTTCAAATATATATGCATAGAATAGCATAATCTGGATGCCTGCAGCTTTTCACAGCTGTTTTGTTATGAAGGACAGGTGGACAATATAACTAGATGTGAATAATATATCCTCCTGTTATTTTTAAGTGTTTATAGCAGGTGTGAGGATATTCCATTGGAATCAGGACCTCTGGAGGAGGAGTTTCAGGTTGGTGTCTCTCCCAAATTGACCAGAAGATACTGGGGATTAAACCTGGGACATTCTAAATGCACAGCTGATGCTCTAGCACTAAGCTATGGTTTGCAACATACAGCCTCCACCTGGAAGCACCAATGTTTTATCCCTCCACACCAAACTTTCTCTAATATGCAGGCGTAGCTCCCTGCTTGCACTCTCTTTTTGTTTCTTTGTCTTCCCATATCCAACAGGAGGCACCAGCTGTGCATGGAAGTCTCTGGATGCCACATCTAGTTTATTGACCGCAGCAGGATTTCTAGTACCGTAAATCCTCCAGCAGCTGACTGAAATGCTGTCAACCATTTATATTAGTAGGGGACACATCCTTGGTTAGGAATATTTCACACCCATTCTTTATTTTAAAAAATACAGTCCCAAATCGTATGAGGTCTTACCGAATTAAGTTCTGGCACACTTGGCATCTTGCGGGACATCTGAAAAAGAAGTTAAAAACAGCAGTATGTTGTACAGTTACATTTGTAAAAAAAAAAAAAGTTAGGCTTCAAAAAGGCAGACCATTCATCTGAAGCGTTTCATTGCACCACTGTCACAAAAAACCCGAGTAACACTTTTTACACAATGTCTTACCTGGACAACATTGTCGGTAACTTACTGAAAGGTTCAAATGCAAAAATGTAATGGCTCAAGAACAACTTCAAGGTTAGTAAAAAAAAACAAAAAACAGAGCCATTGTTTCTAACTTTGACTTCCTAAATATGCATGCTACACTGATTTAAATAATTAATAATCAATACTACATCTATCCCTGTCAAAATCACCTGTATTGTATATTTCAAAGCAGTCAAATAATTGATTGGGTGAAACTGGGTAAGGTGTAAAGGGAGGGGAAGTTGGCCAGGTGTGTGGGAAGGAGGGGTGGCAAAGGCATTGCTAGGCGGGGGGGGCGGTGAGCAGACTGGGCAGGGGTCGCAGCCCCTCTCTGGGTGGTTCTTATGATACTCCTGGGTTGTGGGTTCCACACTGGAAATATGTTGCCTGCAGTGCCGTGTATAAATGTTTGAAGCCACATGAGGCCAACACCTAACTGAAGCTGAGCAGGACTGGCTCTGTCAGAGAGGGTTCCATGATGCAAGAAAGGTAGGATAAACATGTCAGAAAACAAATAAATGATACTGTACAAAGTATGACTGCCATTTTAAGGGAAACATGATATAGAGCCTCAAATTCATAATGAAAATATGGCTGAAGTTAACTAGATTATGGTCATATTTGTAGCAGCTAGAAGGGCCTATATTTATTCAAGGAAAACCAACATTGTTAAAGAGTGAATTAGAAGTTTTTAATTGTATTTTTATCTTCTTGTTGTTTGTACAATTCAACCAAAACAAAGCAAAACAAAACAAAGTACCTGTGATGATCTTTGGAACTTGGCACGATTTTTGCACACTCTCTTTTACAGAAGACACCTTCAATCCAAGTTTTCTGGGACTGAAAAGAAATATTAAACCTCAAACAGATACTTTGGGAGGCAAAAATAATTATCTGCAATAACTAGTACCACACATAGGAGATACCTATGTGTAGCTATTAGCACATGTTGTAGGACTGAACACAGTTGGCATTAATATTGTGCATGAGATCAGTTTGCACAATTATTTCCTTCCTTATCTCAGAACATTGCAGATTAATCTGTGCTGACCTAAACTCTAGCGTTTAGAATTCACTCACACTAACCTATGCCTAGAGATAGGAAGAAAGTTCACAGCCTTCCTAATAGCAGATGAATTGAGTGAGATACGGAAGAAATGCTGAACTGACAGAACACATCTCCACTTGCTTGACACAATATTAATACCTGGCAGCTATTTTACATTTGTACAATGAACAGATGGTGCTGGCTATCACTTAATAGTGGTCATGTTCTTTTTTAAAAAGATTAAAAACCTTTGGTTCCAATTTAGTAATGACAATCATGGAGAGAAACTTATCAGAGAAATTCTACCCTATCAACAGGTGGAATTCTTGAAAATGAATGAAAGTTCAATATTACCCTCTGCCTACTATGGGGAATAACTTTATAATCCAGATAGCTTTAAAAAATCATTTAAAAATTCAAGGAACCCCTGACACACATACACCTTTGAGCCATGCCCCACCTGTAGGGCTGCTAGGTCACCTGAAATCTCCATAGGACCCACTGAAATATTTGCCGAGTGTCTGAAAAGTGAGGCAAATGACACAAATATGCAGATTGTTCCATACAGTTAGACTGGGGAAGGGCCACAGTGCAGTGGGTTCAGTCCCCAGCATCTCCAGGAAGGCCTGGGAGAGACGCCTGTCTGAAACCCAGTCAGTGAAGAGACAGATGGACCAGGGGCTCCTGTGTTGCCAAGCTCTATATTCCATTCTTCACCAAACCATGACAGGCATTTGTTTATTTCATAAAATTTATAGACTGCTTGATTGTAGAAAACCTCAAAGCAGTTTACAAAGGAATAAAACAGCAAGTTTATTGGTTTTTAAAAAACATTCGGAAAAAGTATAAGCTAGCAATAAACTAAAAACACATCAGCGTTCTAAATATCAGTTCATAAGTTTATTGTTCTAGCCAAAGGCCATGACAGACTTGCATTAGGCAATAGTAAGGTAAAAGCGACACAGGTGGCGCTGTGGACTAAACCACTGAGCCTCTTGGGCTTCCTAATCAGAAGGTCAGTGGTTCGAATCCCCGCGATGGGGTGAGCTCCCGTTGCTCTGTCCCAGCTCCTGCCAACCTAGCAGTTCAAAAGCATGCCAGTGCCAGTAGATAAACAGGTACCACTGCGGTGGGAAGGTAAACTGCATTTCTGTGCGCTCTGGTTTCTGTCATGATCCTGTGTGTGCTAGTAGCAGTTTAGTCATGCTGGCCACATGACCTGGAAAGCTGTCTGTGGACAAACGCTGGCTCCTTTGGCCTGAAAGCGAGATGAGCACCACAACCCCATAGTCGCCTCTGACTGGACTTAACTGTCCAGGGGTCCTTTACCTTTACCTTTACCCTTAGGCAATAGTGTTAATAAAAGACTTTGCCAGGTTCTTGAGCACTGAAATATTTTCCCTTGTGCATCTCTGACAACTCAAATTCTAATATTATTTTGCCTTTTAAAAATCCAATTTGCCAACATCCATGATGTAAGAGAGAGAAATCACCAGAGACACCAACCCAAATCTAGCTTGGTTTCAGATTAAGCCCCCAAAACACCACAACAATTTATAGCAAATTTATCTAACTCCTTCTTCCTGATTATTTTTTATTCAGTGCATAGAGGGCACAGTATGTGCTGAACACTTCCAAGAGATTTGTTTACAACAAAAGCCAAACTAATCTAAATAAAAATAGGTCAACTTTCAGGTTTTATGGTCTTGGTTCATGATCTAGATGCTTAGATTTGCCTAGCTGCACTTCAACTCTGTTTCAGGGAAACCAGCAGGGTGTGAGTGGAAACTCAGGGTGAGAAGGGGACAAGAGGTTCAGAGAAGTCTTGAATTATTTTAACAAATATTTTATAAGCGGTTTTGTAAATCCCATGTATTTAGACAACTCATGAACTACTTAGTAAAAATCAGTCAAGGGATGTGGAAAGCCTTGGCTGCATGCCTGATCTGGGTGTAAGTTATGCTCACACGCAAGTAGCAAAGTACTCCCCCCCCCCCGCCCCACTTATAACACTGCTGCGCCCGATATCAAGACTTGAATTAGTCTGATTGCCACAAGCCTGTCTCTGTAAGCATTACCCTGCAATCCAGAAAAACAACACTGCACTTTACCATACGCCTGATGCACTTCTTGATGGTGTGGATGACCAATGAAGGTTGCATTAGCATTATTTACATTTACATCCCATCTTTCTTCCAAGGAGCTGAAGATGGTGTACAGTGGTACCTCGGGTTAAGTACTTAATTCATTCCGGAGGTCCGTTCTTAACCTGAAACTGTTCTTAACCTGAAGCACCACTTTAGCTAATGGGGCCTCCTGCTGCTGCTGCGCTGCCGGAGCCTGATTTCTGTTCTCATCCTGAAGCAAAGTTCTTAACCTGAAGCACTATTTCTGGGTTAGCGGAGTCTGTAACCTGAAGAGTATGTAACCCGAGGTACCACTGTACTTAATCTCCTCCTCCCCATTTTACCCTCACAACAACCCTGTGATGTAGACTAGACTGACAGTGAGCAACTGGCCCAAGGTCACTCAATGAGCTTCATGGGTGAGGGGGGATTTGAACCCCAATGGTCCACGTCCTAGTCCAATACTCTAATCACTATGCCAGACTGGCTCTACTGCAAATACTACATGAAACAACCAGAAAACTATCATTAAAAGGTCAAGGATGGAGCATCTGTGGCCCTCCAAGTGTTGGGTTCCAACTGCCATCAGCCCCAGCCAGCATGCCCAATGGTCAGTGATGACGAGAGTTTGGGCCAACAGTATCTGGCAGGTTGGAAGCAGTAAGGCCTCTGAATAACAGTTACTGGAAACCACTGTGGAAACCACGCCTCTTTTGCTCAAGTCCTGCTGCAGGCTTCCCACGAGCATCTGGTTGGCCACTGTGAGAACAGGATGCTGGACGAGACGGTCCGTTGGCCTGGATCAGCAGACTCTGTACGTTCTTATGGACAGCCACAGGCTCCTGGTCCCTAAAAGTGCTTCTGTTTAGGATTCTAGCCAGTCTGTCAGAGGAGCCCTGTGGTGCTTCTCTGGCCAACTGAGATGGGAAAAGGAGAAGCAGAGGGCATTTTTCTTCCTTGCTGCTAGTTTATACCTGCTGTGCCCTATTCAGGTTTGAGACCATCTCCTGGTCCCAAACCTAAGCAGTGAGAGGGCTGCCTCTGTACCCCCTGGAAGGCATCCTTTACTTTGGTTGGTGATTAGCAAATACAGAAGTACCTCTAGTTACGAACTTAATTAGTTCCGGGGGTCCGTTCTTAATCTCAAACTGTTATTAAGTAGAGGCGTGCTTTCACTAATGGGGCCTCTTGCTGCCGCTGCGCTGCCTGCACATGATTTCCGTTCTCATCCTGGGGCAAAGTTCTCAACTCGAGGTAACTCTTCCAGGTTAGCGGAGTTTGTAACCGGAAGCGTTTCTAACCTGAGGCGTTTGTAACTCGATGTACCACTGTATAAGGAATTTAGCAAATCCCAAAGCGATTTGCAAAACGAATAATAAAAAGACATAACATATAAAATTATGGGTCCATTAAAACACTGCAAAATACATCTGCCACAGTGTTCCTAGGCACACCCTATGGCCCAGCCCTCACCATCCAACATAAAGTGCTGCACAAGGGAGATATACCGTATTTTGCACTTTTCCCCTCCTAAAAAGTAAGCGGAAATGTGTGTGAGTCTTATGGAGCGAATGCAGGCAGGAGGCTCTGCTCAGCGCTCCCTTTAAAGAGCCGCACACATGCTCCACGTGCTCTTTAAAGGGAGTGCGACTCTTGGGGGAGCCTTAGCTGCGCACAGCCTCTCCCGGGCAACAGGAGCCTTCATCCCGCTGCCAGGGAGAGGCTTCGTGCGGCTTTCCCATAAGCCAGGACACAAGCGGGATCGCTGTGCTGCAATCCCGCTTGCTGTCCTGGCTTCCTGGCTTAGCCGCGCGCAGCCTCTCCCAGGCACCTAGCAGAGCCAATGTAGCGGGCACAGTGTACTTGCCTCTCTGGCACTGATTGCTGCTGGCACAAGAACAGGCGAGTAGGAGCAAGGCAAACCCAGGCAGGACAACGCACAGGCCCTTGTCTGCTTCCTTTCCACGAGGAGCTTGCTCAGCCCCATGGCCAAGCGGGTCCCTTTTCTTTCTCCTACCCCAACTATTTCCAAGCACCAGCCCAGTGTCCTTTTCACAGGTGATGCCTCCGCCCTCCCCGCATGGCAGCAGCAGTTTTGCCAGTGGAGATCAGCCTGCCAACCACTTGTGCTCTTCCCTTTCCTCCTCTCCTCCTAGCTCAGGCCTTCAGGGCCTGCCTCCGCTATGTTTCAAGACGTTTATACCTGAAGTATTGCAATACTGGTTTTTATACTTTGTAAATCACTTTAAAAATCTATTTTGGCACTGGAGTACAGAAAATAATTATGATAATAATAGTAGCACTAGTAATAACAGCAGCATATATTAGTGAAAACCAGAATACAAAAGTGTGCTGTGTTATAGAAGATGGCTTGAAAGAATTTGCATGTTTGGAAAAATTCCCACTAAAATGCATCTTCATGAGGCCTTTAAATAAATAAATAATATTGCATAATGCAAATGCAGAAATCTCAGGAACCGAAGTTGACAACTGGAAAGAAAAAAGAGAAACAGAGACACTGCTACCTTAGAAACAAGTCCCTCAGCATTCAGTGGGATTTCGTCCCCTGTGACTTGTGCTGGATGTAGTCTAATGCATTGTTATACAGATGTTATGCAAACCTGTCTACTTAGAAGAAAACCCCACTTTTGATCCTAAATATTTGTTCAATGTTGTTTACTGGCAGCATTCTCTTTTTAAAATGCATTCTACGTCCCTTTGCTCATTTAGCAAAAAACAATTTCAGAATTACCAAATTATATAAACATAACCCACAAACAAAAGCCATCTCCTAGTCCCAAACCTAAGCAGCGGGAGGGCTGCCTCTGTACCCCCTGGAAGGTGTCCTTTACTTTGGTTGGTGATTAGCAAATACAGTGGTACCTCTACTTACGAACTTTACAAAGGATCCTGGTTTCAGTAATGATAGAACATTGCATTATAGTGTTTTCATGTGGTCCTTATCTTTTTTCCCCCAGCCTGATTTATAGCAATTTTAAAATGCAATTGCAATGAATCGACAAAGTACTGTTAAGGATCTTTACAGCTATAAAATCAGAGACTGGGACCCTGAGGGTCATCTAGTCCAAACCCCTGCCATACAGAAATCTCATCTAGATCCTACTTGACAGATGGCCACCTAACCTCTGCTTTAAAAGCTCCAAAGACGGATTCCATTACCATTGGGGTCCCTTCCAGCTCTGCAATTACATGATTCGTTATATACGGCTTGAGTGCAGGTGTTGCTACTGCTTCACTCCAACAGGTGTCCCAAATCCACTGCTCCACACCAGATTTCTAGGGAAGCCATCAGGAAGATCAGATTTCTGTCTGAGAGCTCCACCACTCTCAGTGCCTGTCTCTCAGTCTATACCTGCAGCTTCTTCACAAACAGCTTGGTGACATCATCCACCACAAGAAGGGGGAAAACTGAGGTAGATGAACATGCCCTATCTTGAGTGATGCAAAGGGTCACCAGCCAAGTGCATCAGATCTTCCCAACAGTAGGAAATCTGCCCCATTAAACTTGCCCAACTGCTTTGACCCACAAGCAGAGTTGTAAATGGGTGGTGGGAGATCCTTGAGACCAACTCTCATCTCATTACATTATTAAAATTAGACAGGTATGAATTATTAAGCCCTGCAGAAAACACCACAGAATTAATCACAAAATGCTGCCAGCAGTCTGACAGTCTAAACACATGAGGAAAAAGGAAGAACTGAGTAAGGCACTCAGACACACTAAGACACTATGTTAAAATCTCAGTGAATTGGAGAAGGCCTGGAAGAAAAACCAACAAATATGGGTTCCGTTGGAACTCTGCACGTGCATTTCTGTTTCACTCTGAACAAAGATCACAGCTCAAGTGTGTGTGATCAGAGACAGCTCAAGCAAACTATAAATTAAACTTTTGTGGGAGAAACTCTAGTTCTTCACACCAGGGGAATTTCTCCATGGAAACCAAATGCTAACCCAATTAATCCCAGAAATCTCTGCCATATCTAGTGCAAGTTCACATTTTCATCTAATTTTCATTTATTTTAGGATTTCTTAACCTGCCTTTCACCATTAAGTCTCATGGAAGATTACTACAAAACAATGATGCAACTTGAAAGCAAGTAAAACCAATACTTAACATAGCAAAAATACAGCGTAGGTCATCTCAGCTGTCAAAGGCCAGGGTCCAGAGGTGTGTGTTCAGCATATTACAAAGGCTGTACAATGAAGACACTATAGACACCTTTGTGGGGAGAGAATTTGGGAGGTGACACGGAACAGCTTTTCCTGGAACACCACCACCCAAATTTCCAAATAGTAATTAAGATGCATCCTCCTGCAAGCACCTACTCCTGGTAATTGGATTGTCTGAATATCCTGAGAAAGTGTCGACATCTTTTACAAGTAAGAAAAAAATTGTACCCAATGACTCTCTGGGGGAAGAATTATATTGTGTCATGGCATGACAAAGGGCACAAGTAATGTCCTCTTTACCAGTCCTTTACAGTATCATACTCTGACAGAGAGATGCATAGCAGGAAATTAATGTCTTGCAAATGGGCACATTAGTCTTTTCAATTTTTTTGGAAACTTCCAAAAGACTGCGCCGTGTCACTTTCTTCTAAGCTTGCTCCATGGGTATCTATGGCAGAAGAAATCCTTTTTGCTCAGCTAGACATCCTACCTTTGTTTCCCTTTGTTCTCTTTGTCACATCCTTTGTTGTAGAAGCACAACCCCACATCTACCAAAAGAAAAGCTTTTGCTATTTTTTGAACCATATGCTAAGGTTTCCAAGGAATCCAGAGTGGAATCAGATGTGGCCAAGCTAAGCCTGAGCCCATTGGGGGAGAATCTTAGAAACAGACTGAACAAAAGCGCCCCCCCCCACTAGAGATGTCTATGAATTCCAAGGAAAACACATATGGGAATTGCCCATATTCACTTATTGGTCCCATGTCTAGAACAGAAATCAATCCAGCAAATATTATTATTCACTCCTGTGAACAATACTCAAGCACTTACAGTCCCCCACAACCTATTCTCTCTCTCTCTCTCTCTCTCTCTCTCTCACACACACACACACACACACACACTCTGTGTGTGTGTGTGTGTGTGTGTGTGTGTTGAAATGAATGGAGCAGAACATAATCATGACGTAAGATACATAATTTCACAACAGACAATGAGATCAATAACATAGTTTATGGCAGAAGATGAACTGCTGCAGAACAGAACCAGTACTGCATACAATAAACGGAGAGTGAAAATAATACTGTCCTACCACATTCTCTCTCTCTCTCTCTCTCTCTTTCCCAGCCACTCCAGACCCATCTGGAGAATGCAATCTTGGATCCTTCAATCCCCGTGAAAATCCCCCAAATCGCTTTTCTTTGCTCCTCCTTCCACGAGGCAGGTAACTACCGTGCAGTTAAGGTTTTCACTTCTCTTTACCTTTCTTATTTTATGAATCTCACTCACCTGTAACCCTTGTGAGATTTGGATCACAGGCATTTTCATGTGATCTTTCCCCTTGCCAGTTCATTTAGTCTTTCCAAAGGTTTCTAAATGCCTGCCCCATATTCTGTAAAAGGCACTTCTCTGAAGTAATAGTTCTGTGAGCCTCTGTGTTAGACACAGGTTCGTGTGCTATATAGACAAGAGCATACCTGATAAAACACAAGGTGCTTCCTAAAGAGTGGTTGAGACTGCACCATGTGAACATCTGGTGGCTTTCTTCATGTGGCTAGGAAGGGGATAGAGATGCAAACCACCACCTACAGTCTGAAGTTGCCTAGTTCAGACATAGGCGTATCACTTCATATACAGCAACTGATCTTCAGCCCTCAGGAACCACCAACGCAGAAGGGAAATAAAGTATGTGCCACAAGCAGACCAGTCACATGCACCAAACCTTGGTATGCTCTTTGTTTTGCCCTAACTTGATCCCTGGACTGATTGTCTGGGCTTTCCATCTTAAACCATACTTGTTTTACAATTGACATAAAGCTGAACCTAGACTGGAAGTCAAATCTTTTTGATGAAGTACACTAATTAAACACCAATAAGCAAGGGATAACATGTATTTTAGGCAGCTCTGGAATTAATTTTACTAAATTGAAGTCTGTACAAGTGTGGACTCAGAAACTGTCTGCCGAACAGGGGGAAACTAGGTTACAGTATAAATATAAGCATTAGTACTGTATTCCAAGAGCATTATTATTCCAATACCATTATATGCCAAGCATTCTTTAAAAAAACAACAAAAAACCCTAGGGTGAAAACAGTTGCCAGTGAGCTGGCTATTAAGGCAGTCAGCAGAGCCATAGCTAGGTGATCTTGCGCCCCTGGCAGAACCGTCCAGATTGCGCTCCCTGGCCACGGACAAATTAGCTCTTCTTTCTCCTTCGCCTCCAACCCCCCCCCCACTCCACCCATTCAATTCACCCTCTACTTAAAACCATTGCTTATGAGGCAATTATTTATATTTATATTTATGTACACCGCCTGCACCCCTGGTGGGGGCCCACCTCACCACCCCTAGCTACGCCCCTGGCAGTCAGACCTGGTTTTCTTTGTTCCAGAAAAAATGTTATTAATGTCCCCAACAGGCAATTTAATTTTTTTGCACATATAAATTAGTTAACCTTGCCATGAAGCACAATATGTTCTCAGACAACTAATGTTGGTGTTATTTGCATATTGTTTTACTTGGGGAGGGGGCCCTGTAGGAATTTCTGCTGGAGATCTTGGCCCAGCCTAGCTGCCTGTTTGCACCACTCTGCAGGAGATGGTTGGGCATCCAGGGGCCCCGCAAAGGGTCCCTGCTCCCGCTCCCTCCTCTTCCTTACACAAAGGGACACAGCACCAGGAATGCTCAACTCAGTTGCTTTTATTAGGCATTGTATGTTACAGCATGGTCAGAATAACCCAGTTCATGCCCGTGATCCCATTCAAGAGCACTCTGGCAAACAGCCCTTACTTTATTTATCTACTTTATTTGTTTATTTAGTAAGATTTATACACCGCTTGATTATAAAAATTCTCAAAGTAGTTTAAAAAAGAAAAAAAGGGGGGATTATAACCCTACTTTAAAACATACAAAAGTTACAATACTAAATCAGATTAGGTAAAGGTAAAGGTACCCCTGACCGTTAGGTCCAGTTGCGGACGTCTCTGGGGTTGCGGCGCTCATCTTGCTTTATTGGCCAAGGGAGCCGGTGTACAGCTTCCGGGTCATGTGGCCAGCATGACTAAGCCGCTTCTGGAGAACCAGAGCAGCGCACGGAAACAACGTTTACCTTCCCGCTGGAGTGGTACCTATTTATTTACTTGCACTTGAGGTGCTTTCGAACTGCTGGGTTGGCAGGAGCAGGGACCGAGCAACGGGAGCTCACCCCATCGCGGGGAATCGAACTGCCGACCTTCTGATCGGCAAGTCTTAGGCTCTGTGGTTTAACCCACAGCGCCACCCACATCCCAAAATACTGCCTTACTTTCTTCCTATAGATTTCCACATTCTCCTTTTGCAACCCATAATATGGAAGTAATGCTAGTAAATGGACAATAATACTGTACTTAAGGAAGCTTATCCTACACTCCATGGGGTAACCTCCCCGCTCCTGCCAGCCCCTTCCCCCAATCAAACATAGGATAACAATTTTTATTATGCTCATCAAAATAAACCTAGAGAACCCATGATTCCACATGAACATTAGATGAGGCTGAAAGTTCATGAGGACATGGAAGATGCAGATCCCAAACTGAAGTCTGCCAGTTGTCTTTCATATTATATTACAATGTTTACTTACTTTAAAACAAAAGCAAAGCCTGTCACTGCAGTGTACATCATTGATGGCCAGCCAGCATAACAGGGTAAGACAATGGGTGCAAGAGCACTACCCACCAAGAAACAACCTAGAGCCTACAACAAGAAGGCCATGCAAAGCCATCCTTCTCAATCTATTTCCCTCTGCCCTGGAGTGACAGCTCCTAGCTGCAGAGAATGTTCTGCAGTAGAAGTCAAGGTAGAGTGGCATGAAATCTGTTCACATTTAACAGGTGAATTAAGGCCTTAAATACAATTCTGCGATAAAAAGCTCTAATTCTCTCACTTAACTGCACATTAAAGTGTTATGTGTTTATGATCCCAGTGAAAGTTCACTTTACATATAATTAGTATGCAGTGCACAACTTCTACAGGGCCAACCTAAACTGACAGTGCATACTTAATGTGAAGCATTGTTTCAGGGAGTGAATCAGTTCTAAAGCAATTAAAAAGACAGAAGGTGAGGCTTTCAGGGGGTACCTTAGGACAAGTCACTGATATAGTGTTGGCCGGGTGCCAGAATTAGTATCATGTCTTACCGTGTGACATTGTACCGACATAACAACTGATATGTGCATTTCCACTCTACCCTTACATGATTATACGCTGGCACAGCAAATCTTGCAGACTAATTCTAAGCAAAGTAAGGATTTCAAATTGGGTCTTTAATTATTATATCTAGGACAGGAGGCACTGAATTTTTTTTCTACTCCCAAACAAGGTGTGCAAGCAAGTAGACTTCCCAGTTACCTTTTAAATGATATGGAAAACAATGAACCACTGAGCTTCATCCCTGATCACTGGTTCCCATTTGCTGATACTCAGTTACCGGTATCTTTCCACAAGGGCCAACATTGATGCCGAAATCTAGCATTGCCTGAGCTCTGAGAGTGTGGCTTTCTCCCGATTGAAGTGCAGAGTGTTTGAGGACATTCGCAGGGAAACCCAAATATTTGTTTACAAAGCTACTGTACTACCAACCTTATTATATGCTTGTGAAACATGGACCACTTATACATGCCATCTCCAGCTCCTCAAAAGATTCCATCAACAGTGTCTCCGAAAAATTTTACACATCACTTGGGAAGACAGACAAACTAATATCAGTGTACAAAGCAAAGATCACCAGTGTTGAAGCAATGATTCTTCAACATCAGCTTCGTTGAACTGGTCATGTTGTGTGGATGCCTGATGATCGTCTTCCAAAGCAACTACTCTATTCCAAACTTAAAAGTGGAAAGCGTAATGCTGGTGGTCAACAAATGAGGTTTAAAGACTGTCTCAAGGCAAATCTAAAAAAATGTAGTATAAACACTGACAACTGGGAAACACTGGCCTGCAAGCACTCCATTTGGAGCACAGCCTTTACCAAAGGTGTCATGGGCTTTGAAAACACTCGAACTCAGGACGCAAGGGAGAAACGTGCTAAGAGGAAGGCATGCTTGGCAAATCCACACCGTGATCAACTCCTGCCTGGAAACCTATGTCCCCACTGTGGAAGGACGTGTAGATCCAGAATTGGCCTCCACAGTCACTTATGGACTCATTGTTAAAACTGTGTTTACGGAAGACAATCTTACTGGGCTATGAGTGATCGCCAAGGAAGAAAGAAGAATTTATTATTATTATTATTATTATTATTATTATTATTATTATTATTAAATTTGTATACTGGCCTTCATCCAAAGATCTCGGGGCAGTTTACAGAATAAAACCACAAAGTACATAATACAAACAATAACAAAACAAACGCATCCACCCTGAATCCTGCTTGCTATAGCAGAAAAAACTCATTAAGAGGAACAAAGGGCTTTAACTTCTTAAGTGTAAGGAATACACAGGACTCATAAGTAGGGTTGATGACACTTTTTCTGCAGGGCTCCTGTGCTTTTAACAATTTATTCAGAAAAAGTTAGCAGGTGAAGCTGCCTAGCACTGAGACACGGTACTGGCAAAAGCTTCACGATAAGTATATGACAATAATGCTGCTACTTAAATCAAAGTGAGGTACTTGGCAATCCTGTTGAAATTAATACTGCTGAAACTAAGGGTGCCAGGTGGCTTCTTTGAGAAGATTCTTCCTTCTTCTACCTACACAGAACAAACACCTAACCTCATTTTGCAACCCTAGAACACTGCCGTCTGCCCACTCAGTGAACACACTGGCAAGCCAGGAATGGTGTTATATAGCTCTCCTCCACACCTTACAAACAAGGACAAAAGTTTCAAAATATACAATCACCTCCTGAACTAATGATGCCACAGATCCCAAAACAAAGCAATGCACTCTCACACATATGCTGCAGATCATCTGTATTTCTTTCTTGCTTCAGTCTATTTTTGAATCAACAAGCTTAACAGAATGGCTGTGCAAATGAACCCTGGAAAGTTAACAGTGGTGGAGGAGAAGAGCGAGTTAGCAAATTTAAGCTGTGGTGATCAGCAGCTGCCAGGAGGCATTTATGCTCCAGTCCTAACTCATCTACCTGTCTATCTCTGTGTATAGTTTTACCTTCATTTGAACTTTCATTTGTCCCGCTTTGTCTCTTGCATCTTGTCAAGACTGCGCTCGTAAGTCAAACTATCTTCTGCTCCCCAAAGCTTCTGCAGCAACCAAAGTGTAGGCAGGAGGAAAGGAAGTCCATTCAGACCTCAAGGAGTACTACTTGATCCTTGGACCACACTAGAGAATGGTTAATGTTCCACTTTCCCCTATCAGCGATTGGCAGCTGTCTTTATGGCTGGATTCTTCCAGCTGCTCAGCAGGTTACATACCAAGTCGCTTTCTTGCACAACACTTAAGCAACAACCAGCCCAAGACGCCTGGCCAGCCTGGAGTCGCTTCACTCTATGAAGCTTATTCCACTGTAAACACCAATGTACTTCTCCACCCCGATGAGATACTCTGCGATTCCTCACTAGTCTTAGGTTAAATAATAATGGGAGGGAGTTAAACTTTTGAAGCTCTTATTAGGAACCTGTCAAGCAGGGCTGGGCCAACTAACCACACAATCTCGGCTTTCAGTTTGAAAGGGGGCTGGTGTGTAAGATAATATAGCTGCAGTCACATTTTCAAGATTTTCTGCAACGTGATTTAAAAGCCAGTTTGCATGCAATTCTAGTTTAGTTTGACTGATATCACTACCCGTGACATAAATGTAGCTTGCTTTATGTTTTCTTGGCATGCATTTTTCAAGGCGGAGAGGAGCTTAGCATTAAGGAAAACTAAAAGCAGTTCTGAAAAAGATAAATCACTTTGGCATTGTTGTTCTTTGATATTTGTCAGGACATCATTTGTGTGTAAGCACTTGGTAGTTTCTAAAGAATTAACTAATGCTTGACATTTCCTCTTGTACAGATCAACTTGCATCTTCAGCTCTAGGGTCTGAACTCAATGTGACACGCAGCTATGTATTTTGTAAAACTCTCCAAGCAGAAACCAGGAGATGGTGTGAGAGGGGGAACACTGGGAGAAAAGGGGACTTCTTACACATTTTTCTTTTGGTTGTTTGTCTGTTTAAAGTTTTTCCCTAGCTGCTTTTCCTCTCTATAAGGCCAAAGACATGAATAGACACATCTCATTCACCACCAGAGGAAGACGGGGGAGCATATTCACTGTGTATTTCTGAAGGGGGAAATGGCTAAAGGACACCAGCATACTTCTGCTACAAAACCCATCTTTTTAAACTGCCTTTTTATATAGCTCTCTTAGAAAATACAGTAAGACAACCAAACCAAGCTGAAACACTTCTAACTTACCTTTTTAATGTTAGTTACTGCTGCTGCATTTGTTATTTTTTAAAAATATTATTTTAGATTATTGCAATTGTTGTGCTTTTATGATATTGTGAGCCACCTTGGATGCTGTCCTGAGAAAGGTGGTATGCAAATAATTTTATTACACAAACAGTTTTTTGGTTTTCTAAAATACCATTGAGTATAAGATATATATAACTGCAGGTGTCACTTGGTTGTCAGACACATTTCAACAGAACATCTATAGTTATTACAGGTCCACCTTCTTTGGTACAACCAACATGGAAACTGACAAGTTCAACTACTTGCCAATCTGATCAACTGAAATTTTGCCAGGCTGTCATCTACAAAAGATAACCGATTTCTAAATTTGCACCCATTTTTAACTGGCTAGTAGACGTTTACATGCAGTTAAATTAGTTGCAGCAGCAACCCTCTTTTTAGCAACATGCAGAAAAATCCTTCACATATTTAATCAGAAGTTCCACTATGTTTAATGTGGCTTGCTCTCTTGTGCAGTCTGTTTCAGATTTCCAAAGGCTATCTTCCATATATACAGTATTTGAGAAATAATCTCTTGCCATATTTCCTCTTATTAGTTCCAAATGGTAGCCAGAGTTCAGGTACCCGCTCTATATTTTGTCTACTTTCCAGAATGTATGCTATTTTTGTTCCCCCCAAGAGGCGGATGAAGCAGTTTATATTTTCTTTCTAGAGAAGGGTTTTTCGTCACATATAAAAAACTGAGGCTGCTTCTGTTGGTTGACTATGCAGAGTGTGTGTGTTTAATACTATTAAACCATTTCATATATAAAAACAACATAAAATTGTTTTAATTGTCTTCATATATTGTTTTATATATGTTTTATTTGTGTCTTTATTAAGTCACTTTGAAATGTATAGGAAGCTATTAATATATTGAATTAAATAAATACTGTAATGCTAATTTATTTTTAAAAATCTAACAGAAGCATAATCTGTACTTTGTGTTCAGCGTGTAAAGCAAGGAGATAAGCTAGTTTATGAAATTAATGGACTGCAAACTTGTTATAAGGATACAAAAACATCATGAATTTTGAAGATTCAAGAATTTTTAAATAAAAAATTAGAAAGCAAGTCTTAATTGACACAATTCATGATTTAGAGCTATAATTTAATTTTTTCATCTTGCTTTATAGGCCCTTGTTTAGTAATTTATGCTGATGGACTATTCACAGAAACAAATCCAACATTTATTTACATTTGCCAAGCACTGCTGTTTTGCAAAGCTATTTCTATAGTCTTTTGAAGAGAATCATCAAACTGAACTGCAATTGCAAAAAGGCTGTCAATTTAAGGGTGCGTTCATTTCAACTTTTCCGTCTCCAGTCCTTAACTTTTCGTAAACAGTCTATTAGAAAAGTGTCTGAAATGAACTTCTACTGAAAAACAAACTACGCATTCCAAACTGAAGCTACTAAAATCATAATTTTCTTCCAAATTAAGTAATGCTTGTATCAAAATCTTAAACACTGCAACAGAAAAGTCAGCCTACTTACCTTCATTCTGATCACTAAAACATAACGTTTTTGTACCCTTCAGCCACTGGATCTCAGTCTGAAGTTTCCATCTCATTCCCAATCAGATAAAGCTTGCTTAGCACTAGCAACTAGTGGAAACAATGCCGAAAAGCAATGATTACAAATTTCCATGGGCTTGCACTTAAAAGCTTTAATGAGATGGAAAAGAGATGGCCTCTGAAAACTGGTGAAATGTTTGTACTGCAATTAAACTGAAGAGACTATCACCTGGTAATCAGAATCATGTGACACAATCTGGTTTCAAGTTTATATACCACATTAGGGAAATGATTAACATTCACGTCACTTGTTTCAAGTTTCAACAACAGTAGGGTTCAAAATAAAACCTTTCCAATGAAAACAAATTCAGATTTTTCAAGAGTTTATTGTGCATCTCTATTGCCATCTAAAGAGTCTGGTTTATAACTGTTTGCATTATGATGGCTACAGAGCAATTTAGGCTACACTAGTTTCTATTTTATCTCAACAGTACTTACGATAAATGTGATTGTTCTCAAATGGTACCAGTTGCCACAAAATAAAGTGGATGAAGTATCTTCAGGAAACTTGTTCATGTTTGTATGCAGCCAAATATGTCCTTACAACTATAAGCTCTGGGACCTTCGGGTAAATACTGGGTTGTAGTCAACAAACTGTTACTTCAGATTAGACTCCCTGAAATTACTGGATCTTATTTTGTCATGGGCCTGCTCTGAGTAAGTTAATAGATGACAAGTCACAGAAAATTAACAAATTCAATCTGTGTTCAGGTCTTGCTGTGTATTTGCAAAAACCAGCTTGCCAATGTACCTGTGAGTACATGTACCTGTGAGTACATGGAGACCAGCAAAGTTTCCGTCCCCAGTCTAAATTAAGGTATGTGCATATTTTCTCCTGCCCCAAACCTCATTGTCAGCTCAAATCTCCCTCTCCATTCCCATCCCAGCACTTGTTCCGGAACTTACATACACTGCAATATTCACAGCAGAAAAAGAGGCAAGCTTATTCTACACCTTTGGCTTTCCCACATAATTTCTAAATACTGCCTTACTTTCTTTCTATAGATTTCCACATTCTCCTTTTGCAACCCATAATATGGAAGTAATGCAAGTAAATGGACAATAATACTTAAGGACGCTTATCCTACACTCCATGGGGTAACCTCCCACCTCCTGCCAGCCCCTTCCCCCAATCATATGATAATCAGATTAACAGAAGGGGGGAGAATTAATGTATTCTCCTCGGCCAGCAGAAAGATGACAGGTACTTCAAAATCACAACAGCATACAGTGGTACCTCAGGTTAAGTACTTAATTTGTTCCAGAGGTCCGTACGTAACCTGAAACTGTTCTTAACCCGAAGCACCACTTTAGCTAATGGGGCCTCCCGCTGCCGCCGCGCTGCCGGAGCCCGATTTCTGTTCTCACCCTGAAGCAAAGTTCTTAACCTGAAGCACTATTTCTGGGTTAGCGGAGTCTGTAACCTGAAGCGTATGTAACCTGAGGTACCATTGTACTGAAATGAGAAAGGCTGCAAGATTATCTTTTTTTACACTGTGTGAGGGAGCAATCTACATGCACAGCCCTCCTCACCTGATCAAGCTGAGGTTGCAGTTCTGTTCCTCTTCATACTTGAACTCAATGGAACTTGCTTCTGAATAGACACGCATAGGAATTTAAAGCTATATAAAATGTGATGGAGAAAATAATAATTTCATACCGTATTATTTTGATTTAATTTTCTTTTGAGTCTATGGCCTCGCTAAACTGAAAAGGCCTGTACCTGCCTACCTTTTACAGTACAAAACTAGCCACTTTTAGGTACTGTAGGTAGTGAATGTCCGTTCCAGAACAATGAAAAGGATAAACTGTTAGACTCTATGGTGGCCATTGTATGCATGGAAAGAGAAATGGCTAGGCAAGAGACAGATGAAAGAGGATACTGGGAGACATTTAATGAATAGGAAAATTAGTCAATAAAGAAAGACACTGAAAATAGTTTGTGTGTAATCACATTATATTATGACAAGAACTGATCTGAAGAGCCAAATGATTTTGATTGGTTCAGGAAGATGACACTGGGTTGCATCTATTAAGATTGCTGTGATCCTTTGATTGGTGAATAGAAACCATGTGCGTAATCAGAAAGTGTATAAAAAACACCATTGCTTTCGAAGTGGTGTTTTACAGCCTATTGCTAATTGTTGAGGCTGTCCCTATGCATTATTTGCATTTCAATAAAGGCCTATCTTTTCACTTGGAGTCTGCATCCTTTTCTTTTGGGTCTCTACGAGGGATACCTCTAGTTTATCCAAGAAATGTACGCAAGTTTACATTTTGACTTAAAAGTACAGTGGTACCTCGGGTTAAGAACTTATTTCGTTCTGGAGGTCCGTTCTTAACCTGAAACTGTTCTTAACCTGAGGCACCACTTTAGCTAATGGGGCCTCCCGCTGCCGCCACGCTGCCACCGCCCAATTTCTGTTCTCATCCTGAAGTAAAGTTCTTAACCTGAGGTACTATTTATGGGTTAGGAGTCTGTAACCTGAAGCGCCTGTAACCCAAGGTACTACTGTAAAAGATGATGTGTGGAACAGTGGAAACAATAAAAACTTGGGCTGTGATAGTCTAATCATATTTTCCTTTCTACAGCTCAGGAAAAAGTACAATGTGTACACTGTTAACACTGAATGTACATTCTTAAAAGCCACCCCCAACCCCAGAAAAGCTTATCGACAAAGCATCCAGGCACACAGCGAAAGTAAAGTTTTGAAATGAGATAATCAGTATGAGCATTACTTCACAGGGTTTTGTTTTTTTAAAAAAAAATCTACTGGAGATTTTATTACATAGTGAAAAGTATTTCTACAAATATGCCAAAGTTATGGTGTATTAATAAAGAAATGTCATTTAACTTGAATAACACTATGAAACGATTAGCAGATCTGAAGTTGAAGTCTACTGGTAAACTCTTGTTTCACGTGGTCATTCCTAGCAAAGAATATTAAATGGTAACATTCATACTTAAGTCCAATATCTGACAAGCACATGATACAAAACACAAAGAATCAAACATATTAACTAGGTAGGATTGGAGCCTTCCATCAATAAGTCCCAAGAAATGTGCCCAATAGTCCCACATTGGGCTCAGCATGGTTCCTTTTCCTTGTCCATCGCAGTCCATGTATTTGACGGCTCAAGCAAAAACGCAATCATCCCTGACATCATTTTTACTCTCACACCACTCTCAGAAACGCTTAAAGAAACTTGTACCATGGCATTGGCAAAAAAAAATAAAAAATAAAAAAAATGATATCCATTGCCATCATTCTGCATAGAAGTGTGGATTTAAAAAATATATTTTTTGGTTAAGCAACAATATTTTTTTTCTAGCAACAAAGACAGCACAGATCTCAACTGAGTTATTTGACCAGGTTCAACTTAGAACACACCCTTCTGACTTTCTTTCAATGAAGTACCAACTACAGTATGTGTATTTTTTGTCAGCATACATCCATTTTCAAATGTTCCAATATTTCTCCAAGCTTCATGCTCCCTTCATTCTGTATACCATCAATTTTCTAGACAGTCCACTGATGGTTCTTTTGCCATTCTTTCTTTTTAAGAAGTTTTCCTTCCTTCAAAGCATATTTTTCTCCAACCGGCTATCATCTCTGCTTACTTTTCCAAGCAAAAGAAACAACCAACTTCAGCAAAGTAACTTGAGAATGAATCAGGTTTCAGGTTTCCATTTCTGAGAGGCAAACACTGCTGGACCGTCTTGCATCTATTGCATCGTCTTTTTCTAAATCCAGAATATCAGACAAATCAATAGCGGGCAATGGAGACCTCCAGTACTGGAAGGAGTTGTAGCGCCAAACATCATCTTCAGGCTAGGAAAATAAAGCGTAATTAACAGATATCACTGCAGCAGAAAAATGAACATTGACAAGCCAAATCTACAAACAGTTTTAGAATCCCTATTTTTGAAAAATTCCACAGTCTAGTGAAAATTAAGAGCTAGGATCTAAAGCAAAGAACATGTGCAAAGGAGAGAGAATCACACAGCCAAACATTTATCCTAAGAACACAAGGAGGGTCTGCTGGATCAGGCCAACGACCCAGCTAGTGCAGCATCACGTTCTCAGATGCCTCTGGGAAACCTGCAAGCGTGACCCCCCGTTTCCAGCAACTGTAATTCAGAAGCATACTGCCTTTGACTGTGGAGGCAGAGCAAAGCCATCATGGCTAGGAGCCATTGCTAGGCTTATCTTCCATGAATTTTTAAAATCCTTTTTCAAAGCCATCTAAGTTGGTGGTCACCAATGCCTCCTGTGGGAGAGAGTTCCATAGTTTAATTATGTGCTGCGTGACATACTTGTTTTGTCTGTCCACTATGAGGAAAGGATGCAGCGTTTGGGACTGTTTGGTTTAGAGAAAAGGTGAGTAGCCTATAGGGGAAGTTGCTCCAGCCCCTTGATCATTTTGGTTGCACTTACACTTGTTTACACTGAACTGCACTGGCCTTTTTACAGCCATCCACTCATATGGAGAGGTGTTTTTGGAACTCTTCACAATCCTTTTTGTTTTAACGATCCTGAACAAATTAATATCATCAGCAAATCTGGCCACCTCACTGCTCATAACTAACTCTAGATCATTTACAAATTAAAAAGCACAGGTCCCAATACCAACCCTTGGAGACACTCCAATTTCTTCATCGCTCTATTAGTAGAACTGTCGATTTATTTCTACTCTTCATGTCACTTAACCCTCAAGAGTCCCTCACCTCTTATTCCATGACTGCAAAACTTAATCAGGACTCTTGTTGAAAGCTTTTTGAAAGTTCAAGTACACAATGACAACTGGATCACCTTTATCTATAAGCTTTTCATACTCTTAAAAAACTCTTAACAGGTTAGAGAGACGGTCCATGACCTTGTACAAGCCATGCTTGTTTTCCTTCAGCAAGACCTGTTCTTTTGTATGTTTGGTTACTATATGTTTAACAGTATTTTCCATCAGTTTTCCCAGGACAGGCATTAAGCTAACTGGCCTGTAATATCCGGGATCTCCCATATTCTTCTTTGAAAAAATTGTGTAACATTGGCCACTTTCCACTCCTCAGGTATGGAGGCTAATTTTGGGACAAATTACATATTTTTGTTAACAGATCAGCAATTTTACATTTGAGTTCTTTCGGAACATGGGGATTGATACCATCCAGAACCAGTGATTTTTCAGTTTTTATTTTGTCCATTAGGCCTAGAACTAGTTGTTCTCATAGTGACAGTTATTGCTGCTAAAATAAGCTACTGTTCTCTATCTGCACAGTTCTCACCCTCACATGCATTTTTTTCTTTGAGTCTATCTAGCTGCATTACCTGCTAACAATCACAGAGAGAAAGAAATAAAGGAAAGAAAGAGCCTACCCTCACATCAAGCAAAATGGATTTAAGAAACAGTTTAACTTGCACCCCCTCTGGTGGATTGGCTGGAGAACAAAAAATAATATCCTGGGAAATAATTACTCGGAATTACAACACGGTCTTGTACTTAGCCTGCCAAAGATCTGCAGTTTTGCTGGCTTTGGTGGCCAACCCAAAATTTGTGGTTGGCAGGATCATGACTTCCCCCCCAAAAGGTGGTCTTATGCTGTGCTGCAGAAATGTCTGCACAACGTGGGGCACACTCCCCATATCCTCTCCCCAGCTCCAAAAATGAAGCTGGCAATGGAACTTGAGGATTCAGTGAAAAGCATAAACAAATGTCACCCTCCTCCAGCTTGGAACTTGACTTGAGGGAAGAAGGAAGCGGCTCACTTTGATTCTCTGCATGCCAGGCATTCGGAATGAGAAAGAAAAGTGGGAAGGCACCAATGACAGGGAAAAGGAAGACCAGTGAAGACCAGGAAGATTTGTGTTCTGCAAATGCTGAACAAAATACAGTGGTACCTCGGGTTAAGTACTTAATTCGTTCTGGAGGTCCGTTCTTAACCTGAAACTGTTCTTAACCTGAAGCACCACTTTAGCTAATGGGGCCTCCTGCTGCCGCCGCGCCACCAGAGCACGATTTGTGTTCTCATCCTGAAGCAAAGTTCTTATCCTGAAGTAATATTTCTGGGTTAGCGGAGTCAGTAACCTGAAGCATATGTAACCCGAGGTACCACTGTAGACCACTACCTTCAGCTGAACGTTTGAGACAAGGGAGAAGATGCGAATCATCCCCCTCCCTACAGATACTAGAAGCTGCAGTATGTATTATTACATTTTGAGGGGAAGAAATGTATAAAAAATTCAAATAGCAAGGATTATTTCTTTAAGGCAACAGTTTTCGATCTTTTAATCCAAACATGCATTTGAGGACCTTTGTGTAAAAGGGCCAATTCCACTGACTGAAGAGATCAATCATATGGAATCATATGGAACATAGAATTATAGAGCTGGAAGAGACCCCGGGGGTCATCTAGTCCAACCCCTTGAAATGCAGGAATGTAGGAATCATAACTAGATCATACAAGACATATTTTGTTTACTAAATAAAAGTAAGATAAACATGCTACATTCTATCACCTTCTAGGTCATCAGAAAATGTTCTAATGCAAATTCAAAATTTTCCAGAAACCCACTTCACTTGATTTTAGCAGCATGCACACTGCTTGCTCACTTTACACCATAGTTTATTTTAAACTGTGGTTTAAAGTAACACGCTAATGAAGCCAATAGAGATATATAAAATAATGAATGGTGCAAAAGGGAAATATTATCCTTTAGGTTATAATAGCAATAGTAGCATAACTCAAGAGCAGCTAATGAAACTGATTAACAATATATTAGAGAAACAAAGTAAAGTATTTCACAAATGCATAATTCATTAATAATATTTACTGTGGTGATGATAACCATTATGATATATAGCATTAAATTTACGTAAATTTATGAAAGGTTTACCAACTAGCCATGATATCCAAATATAACGTCGATTGAGAAACTGAATCAGTTGCTGACAGAGTGCCACCTTCATGGCTCTACCTATGGGCTACTCGTAGGTGTTTGTTGTGGGATCAGTGCTGCTCAGGGGTGCAAATTTTTCACAGCGTCTATACAGCGATGTCAGCATCAAAATGTCAACCCGTAATTTCTATTTACACATTTCACCACATAGTACCATGGCAGGTTACATTCCGCTCAATACAATTAAACCACATGCAATACATTTACATTAAATGGGAGGAATATTCCGATCGCATCCTCTGCTCCCCAAGGCACGTACAGAAAGGTATGTTAAAAAGTATATAATGACAAGGCCAGGTGCACTTGGGGGGCAAGAGGGCCCCCTCACGCCGTTTCCTCTCTTTCTGCAGAAACCCCGATGGCCCATTTCTGACATGTGAAACGGGGGGCGGGGGATGGGGCACCTGCCCGTGAATATCATCTGCTGCTGGACTCATTCGGACAGGGCGCCCCTTTTGCCAAGCTTGGGCTAAGCTTCGCGAAATAAGGGATTTACTTCAGAAGCCTTCCCCGCATTTACCCCTTTCCTCACTGGGGGGGGGGGGCGCTGTAACCTGGTTCTGCCCCAGACGCCGCCCCCCCCCCCAGGCATGCGGGGCTCTCCAGATGTTCGGGACCCCCGGGTGAGGCTCCGAGGGCGGCATCCTGCGCGGGTCCCCTCCGCCGGGCCTTCCTGGCCGGGCTGTTGTGCGGATTCAGGGAGCCCTCCCCTCCCCCCCCCCGCGGCCTCTTTACCTCCTCGAGAGGAGCCTTGGGGCGGCCGCCCCTCGCCGACGCGGAGCCCGGGGGCCGCGAGAGGGCCGTGGCGCCAGCGACGCCGCCGCCCCCCGGGGCCACCCAGGGCCTCTTGGCGGCCCGCGCCTCCCCCTCCTCCTCCTCCCTCTTGCGCGTCAGGCCGCCGCCTCCTCCTCCTCCTCCGCCTGGCGGCTCCTCCTTCCTCTCCGCCTCGGCCCGGCGGCGCTTCAGGAGCGGCGGCGCGGCAGCCGCGAAGCTCTCGCACCCGGGCGCGTGACACGCCAGCGCCGCCGCCAGCCGCCAACGCGCCGCGCTTCGCCATTGGGGCCGCCGCCGCCAAGCCCCGCGCCTCCAGTGCGCACGCGCGGGGAGCCCTCGCCGGCGCCCCCTGGCGGAGACGCGCCTCCAGAGCGGCCTGGCGAGTGGCGCTCCCCGCAAGCGCGGGCCGGCTAGAGCGCCTAATGCGCGTGTGAACGCGGCAACCCGAGACACGCTCAGAGGAAAGCAAGCTTCCTGGGATGATGCAGTGGGAGTTACTCCCGAGGGCACATTCTTAGGATCGCTCTTGGGTCTCAGCGCCTCTGCCCAAGCAACCCCCTCCCTCTGGGGGGCGCAAGGGGGGTGGGCAATGCCAGAAGCAAAAGCAGGCAGGCAGGGAGGGAATGAATGGCACCCTCGCAAAATTGTGGTTTCTACCCACCCACACTTTCCCTTCTTCATGCAGGCAGGGAAGAAACTTACCACGGTTCATGAACAAATTTCAGCCAGGCAAAAGCACTTGAACAGGGAAGGTGAAGCACGTGCATCTAATTAGATAGTTAATTAAGTAGTTGCTGAATTTTAATGTTCATTTGTCATCTATAAACAGTTCTTTGTTATATCAGCTGCATGTGGGTTGACTTTGTAAATTAAGAAATCAATGCTAAACATCTTTTCAAACTTATACATTGCATTTTAAGTTAAACCAGATAGAGGCGATCTTTCCCTTTAAAATGAAAAAAAAATAAATAGTAATTGGTCAATTCAGACTTTTGCTAGCACATAACCACAAACCTAACCATTCAACAAACTTGTGTTATTTGTTGTCCTCAGCAAAAGGTAGTCACACTTCCTAGATTTCACCTATTCCTCAGTACAGTATAACTTTAATAATTTAAAAGTATTTTTGAGAATGAAGCCATTGTGCTTAGTTGCCCCATCAGTTTGGATTGTATTTGTCAGGTCATCATACTTGGTATGCAGAAAAAGCACCCAGCACATCTCATGTCTTGCAATATCTGGATCTGATCATTAATTTAAGTTGTAAATCTAACTATAATTAATCTTAAAGAAAACCTGTACACAATTTGGAAACTCAGCCTATCGGACATCAATGGGGTATAACTCCAAAAAGAATTATGTGTGTGTAAATAAGGTGGGTGATTAGCATGACATTCAGTTAAGAATAGCTAACAAGCAGGTCACAAGCTGAATGGCAGTAGCTCATAAGCACAGATGTCAGCTGGCTTCTTCACATGTGCATAATGCAGGTGGATTCAGTAGAACTGCTAATACTAAAACAGTAACTGAGAAAGAAATTCAAACTGCTGGGAGGCAGCAACAGCAGTAGGGCTTAGGACCAACCACCTGGAGCCTTGCTGCTTGCACTTGGTAGGGCAAAAGGGGTGGGGGTGGGGGAGGAAGAAAACTCCTAATTTTTCTTTTCTTTTTGTTTGCATCAGCTCCAGGCCTGTTGATGCTGGATGGACAGGCTTAGGATCCCATGAATCTTTGGCATCCCAGCTCCAAAGCCATACAAATACTGCTAAGAGTGGCTTTCCCCTGTGGCTTAAGTGAGCTCCATTGGAAGTTCTGTACATCAGAATATGGACAGCTGGGTGAAGCAATACCGGCACCTAAAAAAACCCGCTACACTGTGGTGGATTGGGACTGCTTTGTGTAGTTAATGCCATCAAAAAATAATTTCTTAAAATAGTAAACCCACAGCTGACATTTAACCCATCAATTTCAGTCATAATTAGAACACCCTTAATGGGATCAAAGTACTAATGTACAAACATTACTGTCAAGTCTTAATTTAGTTCTTTTTTTAAGTGACTGCAGCCAGATATTACTTGAAATTACCCATCAAATGCTTAAAATGGCATAAGGAATAGTATAATTGTTTATATATATATTTTTAAAAAATCTAAAAATGCATCAGCCGCAAATATCAGTCAGATTCACGTTAAAATTTTCTTGTGAATGCACGTGTTATTTTTATAAACTCTTTACATTTTTACAAGTGTTTGATAAGTAGAAGACCAAGTTCACATGATGCTGCTTATCAGACTGCAGAAGATCAAAATTCCTGTGGGGAGTAAAGTCACCCAAATAGTATTTAAATATGCTAAGATGAGGAGTGGTCTTGTTTTCTGTACAACATGGGACCAAAAATGAATTGTGTATCCAATATGACGTTAGATATTATTTCAAAGAAAACTTAAAAATAGACCATTTTATACCTTACAGAGAACTGCAAGTGTTAATAATGGTATTTGCAAAGTATTACCCATCAGAAAAAAACATCAATCGGAATTTGAAGAAATGATACAGGAGTGTTTGCTCTCTATGTTCATTACGCAGATACAAATATCCAGAAGTACACATCTGGAGATTATAGGATAGATTAAAAAAATAGACAACAGAGCTACATTCTGCGATGAATAAAAAGGCACCACTGATATGAGGTTGTGTTCAGTCATAATTCCAGAAGCCACTGTGCATTTTTCTTCTTGGATAATCCACTTCAGACACTGCTTCCTGGTTTCCTAACCACAAACATCACACATTCATAGTAATATTTCATCATAGATAGCTCATTCACAGTATATGTGGTCAAAACAGATTCATTCTCCACCTGAAAATAAACAACACTTTCTTGAAAACCCTTGTAGGCATTTCATTCATATATGCTATTATTACTGCTATTATAGAAATTAATACAGTGAGGGGGGAAAGTATTTGATCCCCTGCTAAATTTGCCAATTTGCCCCCGACGAAGAAATGACCAGTCCATAATTTTAATGGTAAGTTTATTGTAGCTATGAGAGACAGAATAACAACAGGGAACCTCCAGAAACCCAGAGGACAAAAGTCAGAGATGGATGTGCATTATAATGAGTGAAATAAGTATTTGATCCCCTATCAACCAGCCAGATGTCAGGCTACCTGGTATCTTCACTGTATGTAATGAGCTGAGATTAGAAGCACCTGCTGTAAGGGAGAGGTCGTACCTGTAATCCCAGCTCATTACAGTACCTGTACAAAAGACACCTGTCAACAGAAGCAATCAATCCAGCAGATTCCAAAGTAGCCACCATGACCAAGATCAAAGGGCTGTCCAAGGATGCCAGGGACAAGATCTGCACAGGGCTGGACTGGGCTACAAGACTATTGCCAAGCAGCTTGATGAGAAGATGACAACAGTTGGTGCAATAATTCGCAAATGGAAGAAACACAAAATGTCAACCTCCCTCGGTCTGGGGCTCCATGCAAGATCAGGGGCAAATGGGCAAATTTAGCAGGGGATCAAATACTTTCTCCCCTCACTGTATACCTCCCTTCAATAGAATTTCCAATAGGTACAAAAACAAATGAAATATAAATATATAAAAAAGAAGTGTTTTCTTCAGCTCTTGTTTTGCTCCCTGATTTTGCACAAGTATCTGGTTGGCCAGTGTGAGAACAGGATACTGGACTAAATGGGCCTTTGGCCTGATCCAGCAGGCACTTCTTTAGGGCTGGGCAATGTCAGATTTTCAATATCGCATTGTATCACCAGCCAAATATCACGGATCTGGTGATACAGCACAGTGCTGAAACAAGAAGCTGCTTTGGCCCAGCCTGCGAGGTGTGGGGTGAAACTGCCGCAGCTCTCACTGCAGGAACAGAGGTGCTTCCACCCCAGCACCCTGAGGGCTGGGACAACACAACTTGTTTGCATTACTCAGCTGGGGGGCGAGTAAGTTCCCACTCCTCAGCTGGGCGAGGCTCAATGTCCCTGCTGTTTGCTCCTGAGTCCCTTTACTACCAGCAGCCCAATGTTGAAAGCAGAGTCCCTTTACTACCAGCAGCACGGGTAGCAGAGGGACACAGGAGCGACGTCAGTTTCACAGTCTGCCCCTCACACCAGCCCTGAGCAATGTATTGATACATTGCCCCGGCTTACTCTTCTTATGTTTGTATGGATCCAGACTTAGCCATGCTTAGCACAGACCCAATGAAATCAACAGGATTTAAGTTAGTAATTATAATTTTAAGTCCTATTGGTTTCAGTGGGTCCACCCTATGTGTGACTAAATTTGGATCTAACCCAAAGATTAAAAGGCAGCAATACATCAAAAGCCAAATTGTTTTATTGTTTTAAAACAACAAATAGCAGGGCAATAATAAGGATAAAAAAGATACGGGAACATTAATAAATCCTGGTCCCAAGTCTTTTTAGGACTTTAAATTTCTACAACAAAACCTGGAACTTGGCTTGGTAGCTAACAGGCAGCCAACCCAGATATTTCAACACCAGCATAATATGGATAAAGCAGCTGCATCCATTATGCAGAAAGCACTACCTTATTTTGGGCTGCGGTGTTTTGCGGCACTTGAACACCCAATACCAGCATTAGTATTTGTGATGACTGAAAGCGCATCTTAATGACACAGAGCTGACGGAAAGCAAAATTTGGTGGGGCACTATCTGAAATCTAATAGCGAATGTTTTAGATTATTCTTAGTGTGCTAATATAACAGAAAAATACTTACCTCTATATGGAATCCATATTGCAATATAACACTTTTTATATCTTCATAGCTTAACTCAATAGATAATTCATTTGCTAAATTTTCAAAATGGTAAAGAAGAGGACCTATGATACAATGAAAAGGTCGGTAAAATTAACTTGTCAAATGTATCTGATACTCACTCATAAATTCTGCCAACCCTAAAACAACTACTGTAGATCAAGGACAGAACTGAATGCATCTTAATACTACATTATAAATCTAGATTTTGTTTTTAATTGTTTTATTTATACTTATAAACTACTTAACATTTAAAAAAATTCCAAAGCAGGGTATAATTTTTTTAAGAAACACAGACTATGAACAGCTAGTGGAATCCACCAAGGTCAAAATAAAAAATGTGGCTGCTGTCACTCCTCTGGAAGACTTGTATAAACAAAGATGTTTATTTTAAAAAACCTGAAAATCATCAGTGAATGTCTAAAATGCAGAAGAAGAAGAAGAAGAAGAGTTTGGATTTGATATCCCGCCTTTCACTCCCTTTAAGGAGTCTCAAAGCGGCTAACGTTCTCCTTTCCCTTCCTCCCCCACAACAAACACTCTGTGAAGTGAGTGGGGCTGAGAGACTTCAGAGAAGTGTGACTAGCCCAAGGTCACCCAGCAGCTGCATGTGGAGGAGCGGAGACGCGAACCCGGTTCCCCAGATTACGAGACGACCGCTCTTAACCACTACACCACACTGGCTCTCGAAGGAATGTTTCCCACAGAGGGTGCCACCTTACTAAAGGCCCTGCTCTGAATAACCCCCAAAAAGACCCCAGGAGCATATAACAACACCTGGATGGTGGAAGAACTCTTCAGATGATCTCTGTGACCAGGCAGGTCAATAACAGAGAAGAAAGTCTCTCAAGTAGGCGGATTCCAATTTGCTTAGGGCTTCATATAGTAACAGCAGAACCTTTAAGCTTGGCCCACTCTATCCACCAAAAGAATCCCACAGAGCAATCAGAAATCCATTGGATTCCATTAGTCTCCAGGAGCAGACTATCTGAATGGGTCCCCAACCCCTGCGGGATGGAACAAACAAGTCCAAACCTCATATGCTCATTGGCATCCTTTTTGTTGAATCTGTGTGGGTCCAATTTTAGAGAAAATTTTGACGAAAAGGATTGGCATTAAAAGAGAAAAAGTCTAATATTTAAAATCCACTTAGTTCAAGAAGTACAGATCAAGCTGAGTTTTTCTCCTTAGTTGTACAAACTCTAGTTCTAACGTTAGTTTTTGCTGCTACAATTACTCAACAAAATAGCAAGTTACCTAAATTGATCCATATTCCTCCTGGTTTGAGTATTTTCCATATTGTGTCAATGTAGTCTATGACATTATGTGCCGTGTCTATGAAGAAGCAGGTTGCTATGCAGTCCCATATATCTGTATAAAGACAGAAAGTAATCTAGCTTTAAATATTTTATTGCTCATTGTTACCTGCACGTTTGGAACTGAGAGATACTTTCAGAAAAGCACTTCCCCTGGCTTAGTGGAGGTTCCTCCCTCTCCATCTTCCTTCCCCAGCTGCAACCCTTTGCAGTGCATCGGTGTTCCAGAGGAGCAGCTTTTTTGCAGGGAGTGGGGGAGTCACACATAACTGAACCATATATTCATGCCTCCAAAAGAAATTGAGGCGATCTCACATTATTACTCACTTTTTATTGCTTTTTGTTCCGTTGGGCCTAAGACAGAGATAGCCAACATGGTTGTCTTCCAGGTATTTTCAGCATTAACTCTCATCATCCCTGACCAATGGCCCATTAAACTGATGGGAACAGTAGTTCAAATCTTGGGGGGAAGGCATGTTGGCTAGCCCTGGCCAAAAAACTCCCTCTAGTTGTACAAAAATGCCACATTTGCACATCAAATTCATGGAGAGAAAGGCTATCAGAAAGGCTATCACTGCTGGGAACTGCAGGTGGGCAGAATGCTGTTGTTCCATGTCCAGGTTTCAGGTTTCGCACAGGCATCTGGTTGGCCACTGTGAGAATAGGGTGTTGGACTAGATTGGCCACTCGCCTGATCCAGAAGGCTCCTCTTACATTCTTAAGTTCAATGAGCCAAAAGGATTGGTAACCTCTACACTAAACCATGGTTTCAAATGATATGCTAATACTGCCAATGATACAGAAGTAAATCATATAGAAGTAATCTTGAAGCAAAGTCCCTTTTACAAAATATTAATTTGACTTCTAGACCTTGGTATTAGATGGACTTTGTATTCAGACAAGAGAGCTGGTCTAGGACATGAAAATGCACAGCAAGGGCAGCCCAAATTTTCTAAGATCAGCGGTGATTCTAGCTGCAGCCTCTCATCGAGAGGTTAAGCACAAGTGTTCACTGCTTACTGAATATGCCCTGCTTACTCTCAGTGAGGAATAGGTGACACCTAATCTTCAATTACAACCTCTGTAGCAAGTCAGTTAACTAAAAACAACAATCTGTGCATGTTTCTAGTAACTTCTAGTAAACAATTTCACCTTCTTAACTTTTGAATCAGCGGAAACAAACATTTAAAGAAGATAAACTTACAGGGGAAGGCATATTAAAGTTTTTTTAAAAAAAAATAAGAAGTAGAAAATTATTTTACAACATAAGGACTGATTTTTCTTTGCATTAAAATACTTAATAAAACACAGTAGTATCTGTCACATAATCAGTTTTGTTTTACAGTTTTTCTCTTAAGGATAGGCATATTAGTTATCTTTTTCTTACTTACTACACTCAGAGTAGATTTCTTGAAAATCTCCCGCTGTCATAGAAAAGTTTGCATCAGGAGGAAGACTGTGAGGATCAACATCAGGGAAATAAACTGGCTGTATCTGATCAGCAGATCTCTTGTTATTGCTAAACTGATGTATCCAGGGATATAGTTTGTATGAATTAGTTTCAGAGCATCTGTAACATATGATTATCAAACAACAATTTCACCTTTGCCACTCAGAAAAGAATCTTGTAAACATTGCAAAGCTTAAAATTTTTAGTTTGACTTTCAGTAACACAAGTTGATAGGAAGTGTCAATCTGCATTTTAGAGGTAGTTAATTTAACATCATCCTGAAGGTCCATTATTCATTAACAATATATTATAAAGAGTTACAAAAGAAGCAATCAGAGAAACCATTCACCATTTAAAAGTCGGGTTCTACTTCTCAAAATGTAGTAAATTCTAAGATTCTTAAAGCAATAGATTGAAGTTAGCTTTAATTTTTGTTAGTTGTTAATCCTATTAACATTTTTTTTAAATTAAGGTTTTGATAGCTTGCAGGTAATGCAGTTCTCCAATATGCTTCCTCCTCATGAACCTATCTTCAAATTATTCAAATTATTATAACTATGTGTGTACAGATTCATACCTGAAGTTATATGCCCTCCCCAAGATTTAACTTTACTTTCCCCTCCTCCCTCCTATTGCTTTTTCCTTATGTGTCATGTCTTTTTAGACTGTGAGCCTGAGGCCAGGGACCAAACTGGTATTTTTTTTAAGTCACAGTATAAATTATGTACATAAATGAATAAAGTATCAAATGTTTTTCCATTTCATGTTTTTAGCAGTTCCGTCTACTGATTTATAAACATGTACACACAGGAGCTTGATCCAGACATAATGAATTTTGACTGATAAATGGATGGACCCTAGAATGAACTACATGCCCATATCCTCCTCTCCTTGCACTCCCAGTTTTCACGCTGATATGGTGGGTTGCTTACACATTACATCGTTTCCAATTATTTTTCCAAGCTCTGGAGAACTGTAGTTTAACCTCTGCTTATTAACCTGGATAGGAAACCATTATCATTTTGTAGTTAATAAGCATGGATTGATCAACAGTTTCCCAATTCAAAAATAATGGGAAATTGTGAGTTTAAGAAGTCTGACATTGGCCAAAGCAGAGATATAAATACAGATCTACATGTATAAAGAAGCAACCAACAACTGAAAACAAGTTTAAGTACCTGTTGAGTACAAAATTAGAAGAAAAGAGCATAAAGAGGCTCCATTCATTTCCTTGGCAAGTATAACCAAGCATAGCTATTTCCCAGGCCAATCTACCTAGCCCAGCACCAGGTACCAGGATATTAACTTTGGAGAGATCCCTGTAACACAACAAAAATAATGGTTAATCCTTTAATAAATATATTTGATAGACTGAATAGCCCTGTCAAGGGTTTTTACATATTGCAGGTGTTTGATCACATTTATATGGATAATTTGTGCTGTTTCCCAAATTAGCACATTATTTAGCAGATAAATAATATTAAATTTGGTTTATATTTACCTAGTATATCCAGATCTCCTCCTACGTGAATTTCAATGCTTGCTTGCTTTCTGTTCTCTGTCCCACAAAGGACCTGAATGTTCTGACTACTGGCTTCATTTTCAAAAGGGGGAGAAGCCATTGTTTCTTTGATCACAGAATGTAGTAAAGCAGCCTTCAGCAACTTCTTGCCCTCCAGAGGTTTTGGACTACAACTATAAACTCTCAGCAGCCCCAGCATTATAGGGCTGCGCTGGCTGGAGTGATGGGAATTGTAGTCCAAAACATCTACACAGTACCCGGTTCAGTAAGGCTATACTAAAGTGTAGTGGGACCTTTGTCACTACATTATGACTTTCAGCTGATTACAGTAAATGTATTTTTACTGCTGCTGTTTGGATTTTACCTACACAATTAGCTCTGATGGATGACTTCTCAAATAATCATTCTCATTCTCTAAACCACCAAGACAAATCTTATTCAGTTGCAAGTCTTAACAATACAAATTTGCTAATCTGTTGCAAACACAAATACTTTACCTGTATCCCAAAGTCCTGAAAGTAGTTTAAACATTTGATTATTGTCTTTGGAAGCATGTTCTAAGTTACCTGCAGCCAACATGGTGTCCCCAAAATGTTGCAGGACTGCATCTCCATCATTCCTAACCACTGGCCATCCTGGCTGGTGCTGATAGTGACTGGAATTCAGCAACATCTAGGGAGGACCATGTCAGCTTTCCCTGTCCTAAGGCAAACATAGGCTTCCAGCATATTTTCTTTGTTGAACTATCCCAAACTGTATTTCAGATTTAATAAGTCAACCAAGTTCCTCCTTGTAATGCAACTCTCTTACTTCATTGTACGGGGGGTGGGGGTGACTGCAACATCTAACAGTGAAATAAATCTGAGACAGTTATTGTATTTTACATCATAAAACAGCCCCATAATGCCCAAATGCAGATGCTACTAATTATGTTTAACATGTGGGAAAAATTAGAACAGAACAAAACACTGGCAAAGGTGTTTGAAAATGTTTATATTGAAATTAGCTATGGACCCATCAGTTGCATGACTGATTTTCAGGACACAAGAAGAACTTATAATTATTAACTCTTCTTCAGGATTATGTAAAGCAATCTGATTCAGGTGCAGCTGTTTCCAGCTTCAGCACACAGGGAGCTCTCCAATCTTGAACAACTGGCTCATATATTTCAGTGAAAGGAAGCCAACTGGTGTACAGAACTCTTTACACTCAAAGTCAATGTGTGACTTTAAGATTTATCTTAGCTGAATAATAAACTTATATAGCTCCAATCTATTATTTTCAATTTCCTGAAAATTACAAACAAATCAAAAGGTAGTAGAAGTCGCATCAATTAATTCAACAGCAACACCCAAAAAGGCAGAAACAGATAAGCTACTTATTTCAGACTACAAATACTGCCTGAAACCTAAGAATTTGGATTTGGTAATATATTTTGGTTTGTTCAGAGAATGTTATGATTTGGAAAAAGAATGGTTGAAGGAAAACATTCTGCCAAGAAATAGCTGAACAAATTTGCTTTTGTCACATTGGTATTTCAAAATTGTGGGATGTATTCAGCGTTTGAAACTCCCATTGTTCTAGGCACCTTTTGCGACAGGGAATTTCATTAGAGCAAGCAGTTTCTGAACTCTGGGGGCAGCACTGTGCCTAAGATATCAGATTAAAACTGCCACTGCTGACACTGAGGGCAGGGGAGGAGAAATTCCTCCCCGCTGGACTTCCTAGAGATTGCTGCAGTGTCAGGCAAGTTGATAGGTTCCACCTCTCAGCTGCCCTTACAGAAAGGGAGTGTTTTGCACTCTGTGACCTCAGATTGGCTTAAATAGGTTTGGTTTAAGTAGTGCATGTTAAAGTGTTATCTACCTCAGACTCTCTCAGGGATGAATAAAATCGAAACAAATTTTGGAGTGGGATTATTGAAAGACACTGAAGTCTTAGATTTGTGAACTGGACACTCAAGGTGGGTGTCTCTGCCATCAGTTGTATAGGCCTGTATAGGCCTGTAATATGTGTTAATTGTTGCACCAAAAGATATATTTATATGAAGGAAAGCGGGTGTAGGGAGAATCCAGACCTTGTCTGCAGAGTGGAAGGAAATGAGGACCTTTTCCTGCCTCCCCACTTCCAGCCACTCTCTGAAGACTGGAGAAGAGACCCTCTTAAGAATATTAGGGGGATGGGCAGGGGACATCTACAGTCATCGGATGAGGACTAGACCATGTGAAAAACGAACATAAGATTTTAGCTGCTGTTACTTCATTTTAATGGGACGCGGGTGGCGCTGTGGGTAAAACCTCAGTGCCTAGGACTTGCCGATCGTATGGTCGGCGGTTCGAATCCCCGCGGCGGGGTGAGCTCCTGTCTTTTGGTCCCAGCTCCTGCCCACCTAGCAGTTCGAAAGCACCCCCAAGTGCAAGTAGATAAATAGGTACTGCTTTATAGCGGGAAGGTAAACGGCGTTTCCGTGTGCTGCGCTGGTGCTGGCTCGCCAGAGCAGCTTCGTCACGCTGGCCACGTGACCCGGAAGTGTCTTCCGACAGTGCTGGCTCCCGGCCTCTTAAATGAGATGAGCGTGTAACCCTAGAGTCGGACACAACTGGCCCGTATGGGCAGGGGTACCTTTACCTTTACCTTACTTCATTTTCAGCTTTGTATTTATTTTTGTTATTAAAAAAGTGTGCTTAGACATTCTGTTGTGGCGCCCATAACCTAGGTTTAAGGTGCCATTTAGCTCCTAGCTTTCACATCTCAGTTTCTAACACATATTCAACTAAATAACTTCCACTTGTGTAACAGGACTCCCCACGACCCACGCCATCTCTAAATGTGCTCCAGAGGATTGAGAGAAATCCTAGAACAGACTTAGGAGGCACAGAAGGAGAGAAAAGGGGAGACTGTTCTGTTACATAAGGAGAAATTCTTGTGGTGATGGAACGTTTAATTCTACTCTAGTTACGAAAAATTACTTGTTTAATCAGAATACTTTTCAACAGTCCTGTAATCTTTTTTCTTTTAATACTTGCTTACGCTAGCCAAACACTTTAAGATGCATATGCACCTGCTTTAGAATGCTAAAATACAGTGGCTGCATTCATGCATCATAGCATAAGCAGTGGTTAATGTTGAAAGGCAGATTGTCTCCCCTTTGCTCCTTTCTCACTAGTGAGTGGGAGCAACAAACCACAATCCCTGACTTAGTGTTATGCCAGGAAGCCAAGAACAAAGAGTATGGTTTGTCTGGAGCAAAATTACCATGGTTCCTTGTTCAGACATAACACTAAGTCATGTGCTCTGGTTTGCTGCTCCAGCTTATTATTAGCAAGGAGGAGCAAAGAAGGAACAATCTGTACTTTCATGGTACTGTATAACCGTAACCTCCTATGATATGTAACTGTGCCCAATAGATTATGTCCAGTTATAGCTTTGCAGTAGCAGAAAGCGCCTCCACTTGTGCAAGTCAGGACATCTCATTTTCTCAAACCTTCTGTACTGACTGCAGTCCTCTGCACCATATCCCATACTGTTTTCGAGGATTCCCCCAACCATCAGGACCTATTTTGTGGGGGGGGGGTGTCACTGAACAGTAGTGAATGGGGTGATCAGAAAAAGTTGCCCTTGCCTTGAACAAGTGGAAGTGCTTTCCATTAGCAAAAAAATAAAAAAATTGGATACACCCCAAGCTAAAAAGGAAAAAATAGGACTTTTCAATGTATAATGTATTGTTCAATTATTTGCCATTAAAAGTAGTTTCTAATACAATCATAATTCCAATCATAATTCATTCTATCAAATATAAATTTTCCGACTAGAAGTTCTACACAGTACCTACTAAAGTAATTAAGTGTGCTGGTAAATTCACAAGGGTGCAAAACCAAATCTAAGAAGCAGAAAGATACACAATTTTATAACTGAGAAATAAAAAGGAGCAGCAAGTTTAATTCAGTTAAAACAAGGATTCTAAAAATACCTAAGAAAGATCACTACATATCTGCCCTCCTCTACAAGACATTCCATAAAGGTGGGTGACTTTTGCAGCAGCCACAATGAAGTAGGAGTTGTAGGTAATTTAAGAGCTTCAACAAACTTCTATTTACATGTTAACTTTCAGTTCACTGAAAGCAACTGAAAATGTCCAGAAGTTAATTATGAAGTTTGTTGTGCACGATTTGTTTTCTTTTAGAAAATAAAAAATACTTTCCATTTGAACTAGAAAGAAAAGGGTTTGTGAGCAGCTCATATTCTATGCATTAAAAAATTACAGTATTTAATTATCTACAATTTTACTTGTAAGTGCAGATCAAAGGATGTTTTAAGGATGCTATCCTAAACACACATACTAGATAATAAGTCCCACTGAAGACCATGCGTCTTACTTAGGCAAACATGAACAGGACTGTTTTGTATAAAACATCTACATCAACTTTTCTAATTTCAGCTTGTAATTCAAGAGTTTCAAAAAAAGAAGCCTTAAACGTATTTCCACTTTCAATCCAGCTTATTTACCAGTATAATATAAATAAGTTACATTATTTGCAAAACTATTTACTATAGATTTACTATTAACTGTCTACAAACAGTTTTAACAGAACATTAGTGTAGGCCACAAAGGTCAAATTTCATTAAATTTATAAAGTAGAACCACAAGAACAACAAAAAGAGTACATTGTAGGAAGACAGAAAATGCACCATGCTGATCTTCATCTATAAGCATTTCTACACAACTTAAATTACCAAATATTTGGAAACATTCCATTTTCAACTAAGCTGGGGGAGAATGCGATTATTTAGAACAAAGCAAAACACCTTTTTATTTAGATGTATAAAAACTTACCGTATATTTTTCTACAATTGAAGACATTCTTGAATGCCTTGAATCTAACAAGGGAAGGGTATTCATGTTATATTTTGAATGAGCTTTTGAGCGTTTATCTTCTTTAAAACTCTTGTTTGTTAGGTAATGCAGCAACACTGACTGCAAGCTAAGTTAAAAGTGAGATTGGAGATGGCTGGTTATTTCGGACTAGCCCACCATTGTTGTAATTGGAATTCTGTCAACAGAGCCAAGTGACAACTTAGAAGAGGCACTCTGAATCATGACTGAAATGCCATTTTGATTCTGTAAGGAAACCAATGCTATAATATTGCTAGCTATTTATAACCAGTGTAATCAGACCTCACATTTATGGAAATAAAGAGCAAAAAATAAAAATTATTATGTGAATTATAGTGTTTCTTTAATTATTCTCCTATTTTGCTTTAAGAATAGCTTTCAGCTTCTCCTCCAATGTGTAGCTTCATCTCCTGCAATACTTATTTAGATACTAATGATATAAATATCTTCTAATAGTGTATCTGTTCTCCACTTGTGGTACACTGTACTTATTCTATTTTAGAAAAGAGGACTAAATTAGATAGCCATTAAGTCCTTCTGATTGTAGAACCCTACATCAAAATATTAGCCAAATCAGACTTTTATATCTAACATGGTCTTCCACATGATAAAATATAAATAGTATGCATTAGGTTTTCTTGGTGCTAATCCAACCTAATTGGAGTGTTGTCTGTGCAGCCATAATTTTGAACTGCTGAACCTTAACATTTTGAGCAAAATCATATTAGTAAGGTGTGAAGTTTATTATAACTTCTCCTTGTGCAGCTAACTTGGACATTTTCAAAGATCAATTCTAATAGTATTTTATAGTTTTTTTCCAGTTTAAAGATCATTGGCAACAAATGCATTCTTGTGCATACCTTCCTTTCAAATACATCTTTAAAAAATGATTTACCATCTGTCTTTTGGAAAGTTCTTTACAATTTCATTAATGATTGGCTGATAGCAGGAATCTCTCTCCGGTTTCCCAGTTTCACTCCAGTCTCTTACAAATTGCTTCAAGGTAGACTTTAATTTATCCATATCAAAAGTTGAAGCTGGTGTAATTTTTCCATTTTCCTAAGAAAAGTGTAAAACCAGAAAATCAATAATTGTTATTCACAATGCTACACTGTTGGGCAGTTAGTTGATATGCCTTTTCCTTCTCACCTCCAGGCTGAGACTCATCTATATGCATAACTGAATCATAAATGAAGCAAGCGTGAAAACATCACATCTACCCTTAGCATACCATTCTCTGAATATACCTCTTTACAGAAAGCAGGACAGTTATTAAGTAAAATAGGAAAGATGTGGGGGTAAACATAGACACAAATAGCCCCTTACTTCACTACAATACGGCAAGTAAGAATCTGTTCTAGGCAAACAAGCAGAGGCCTTTCTAAATTGGTTGAGAACAGAGAAGTATGGGCAAATTGGCCTGAGGAAACTATATATGGACTAGTAATGCTTGTGGAAGGCTAAGCTAGCATGGAAACTGAATATTTTATCTCAGTGAGGGCTTCCACACTGAGAAGTTTGAACTTGAGCCATTTAAAATTATATGTAGTCTGTGAAATCAAAGAAAAGTTCTGCAAGGAAAAGAAGCATTTAAAATGAATTATGAGGTAAGTGATACAGCCCAAATGATAGAATAAATGTGCAACAATAGTTAACTTACAAAGATTGAAATTTTATGCTTATTCAACTGTAAAAATATTGTAACTAACGCTAGACACAACCATCAAGTGGTCTAATCAAATGATTTAATATGTATCAAGGAACAAGAATAATATTCATAACTGATTAACCCAGCATAATAGGGAAAGAGGACCTGTGGCCCTCCTGATTTTGTTGGACTCCAATTCGCATAATTTCTTACCAGTGTTAGAAACTAGACAGGTGCGTCATGCAACTGGTGGAAGTCCAATTGCAACCTCATGGAGATCTCTGGATGCCAGGTTGGCAACTGGGGAAAGCAAAATGTCTCTTAGAGAAGGATCTGAGATATTTTACTTGAAGCTTGAATTTGTTTTATTCTGGTTTCATTTGATGTTTTAATGTGTTGTCAACTGCTTTGAGATTTGTTATTTAAAATCTAAAGCGGTACAGAAATGACATTAGCAACAACATCAATAAACTTCATTGTTTTAAAAAAATGGCACCTAGACATTCCATTGCAGCAACCATAATCTAGGTCTGAGGTGCCATTTGGCGATTAGATTATACATCTGAGTTTCTAACATTATTTCTTGCCATTGAACATGCTAGCTGAGAATGACAGAAGTTAAAGAGTCCAACAAGATATGGAAGGCTACAGGTTCCCCATCCCTCTATAAAACATACATTAATTATAGAAAAGAAAACAGACATTTATGATGAGAAAATAAATAAAACTGATAAAAGAGGGGAAATAGCAAACAGTTGGTATTGAAGTACAATGTATACATACATCATCACCGTATTCTTTATTTTCAAACATATGTGTGCAGTCATTCACAACTGTCTGCAAGATTCCTTGATTATGGTCAATACATTTCCGAATCTTGTCAAGATGAGGAAGGAATTGAGGAAGAAATTTCTGTTGAATGGCTGGAAGGGATCTGAACTGTCTTTCTGCACGATTGACTCTTTCATGCATATTAATTCTAGAATTTAAAAACAAAAACAAAATGAACATCAGAAACAAATATAAACAAAATTAAACTGAAATTCTATATCAGTATTGTAAACCCACTGAGGATTCCTACTTTGGGACCATTTTTAATTCTACATTTATATGGTTACTTGTATAAGAAATACATGAGTTCTGTACATCCAACCATGCAACCAAAGCAAACATATGCAGCAACAATTAAATCAAAACTATCTAATTCAGAATGTAGTCCTGTTCTTGGAAGGGCATCCCAGGAGACAGAACAGAGTGGAGTTTCAGAGGTCCACCCTCCAAATTTCTCTACTGCAGGCACTGAACCATCTTGTGTAATGGGAGGGAGTGTCCTGGGGTCATATTAGGGAAACTGGCTCCAAAGCTCTCCTGTTCCCATGATTTGCCCTCTGGCTTTTTCTACACCTAAGAGTCTCCCAATAAAGCACTGCCCTGTTAAGGTCCTATGGATTGAAGTGGATGATTTAACTATATTCCTTATTTCTTTGAAATTGTTGGGAGTTAAGTATGTTGAGTATTAGTCAAGTGCAGTGATCGTTATACAAATACACACATATATAATACAATATAATATAATATAATATAATATAATATAATATAATATAATATAATATATACAGCTATAAAAAGCTTTGACTGCAGACATATGCTAGCCCAGTACAGTTTTTGTTTTTGTTTTGTTTTTGTGTGTGTGTGTGTCTATACAATGATTTCTGCGTGTGCATGAACGGGATACAAAATTTTAAAAAGAGAAGAGTCACTCTAACAAGCTAATACATGGCACTGGCGCATCCTAGTCCCCATTTTATTGATATGTGAAGTGGTTCTCAATCTTACCATAAGATGTTACAGCTCCTGAAACCTAAAATAAGCCAAGGGTGGCAAACACCAACACTCCACTGGCTGCCAGTAAGCTACTGGGCCCAATTCAAGAGTCTGTTAGCATATCAAGCCCTAAATGACTAGGAACTTAAGTTGAAATCAGAAAGTGAGGTTCATCCAAAGGTAAAGAAGAAAAGCTGTTCTGGCAAGCAGTTTATCCCGCTTCCTTTCTAGAGAGACAAAATTATTGGTTTATCATTCTGTGAAGGATTTTCACACAAAGAACCCCAACTGTTTGTAAATCATATTATAATAAAGTCCTACATAGAAAAAAAAGGAAAGGTAACAGACTGGCTACAATATTTCCAATTACAGTGGTACCTCAGGTTACGTTACCTTTGGGTAACGTAACTTTCGGGTTGCAAATGCAGCAAACACGTTCGCCACGCTCACATGCACAGAAGCGCTCGTTCTGGTGGTCCGTGCGCAACACGAAAAGTCGGCAACAAGAGGTGCCGCTTCTGAGCATGCGCAGAAGTGCTCTATCACATGCGTGCACAAAAGCGGCACCTCTTGTTGCTGACTTTTCGGGTTGCACATGGACCACCAGAATGAATTAAGTTCGTATCCAGAGTGTCCACTGTAAATGAAGAATTAAAACATGATAAAAAGAAAGGATTCACCTATGAAATTTCAAATTTCCAGAGAAATAATAGAAAGTGGTATTAAATTATTATCAAAAATATGCAATATGTTGTTGCAATAAGAAACTAAGAACGAAGAGGTCAAGTGTGTTATGATAAAGTGGGCAAAAGATGTGGGACATAATCTGCAGATGACAGATTGGGAAAGACATGGAAGAATGATATAAAATTTAAGGCCTGTACCTTACTTAAAGAGAGCCATATGAAAATGATGTATAGGTGGTATTTAACACTGGCTAAATTGGTTAAATTGTATAAAACAAGGTAAAGTAAGTGTTGGAAATGTAAAGAAGCAGAAGGTACATTTTACCATATGGTGGTGGCATTGTAAGGTTATTTTAAAAATTTGGGAAATGATATATAATGAATTGAAAAAAATGTTTAAAGTAACTTTTGTTTAAAAACCAGAAGCTTTCTTATTAGGTATTCCAGTAATGGATCTACCTAAAGAATCCAATAATTTGTTCATGTATGCGACAACGGCATCTCAGATATTGCTAGCTTAACACGGGAAGGAAGAAGAAGTCCCTACCAAGGAAGATTGGCAAACTCAGTTAAAGGAGTATGCGGAAATGACGAAATTAACTGGGAAACTTGGAAATCAAGATGACAACAAATATAAAAAAGAATGGGAAATGTTTATTGCATAAGCAATGTATGCAAGTTAATACATTAGCAGGATTTTTTAAAAAAACACTTGTAATGTGATAGACAATGTTTAAATTTGGAGGTAACTAAGAGATAAAGATGTTCTAGACATGCATGAATGAAGATAATACAAAGGAACCAAGGGAAGGAGTAGAGGGAAGTTGGAGGATTCAAGTAATCCCACAAAGTGGATTTAATATTGATTGAGTATATAGTAGTTATAAATGTTTTATTTTATGGTGGGCTTTAATGTAATGATTTTGTTTTTTTGTGGAAACAAATAAAATATTATATAAAAAAAATATTCCACTACTCTCATAAGTTCACAGGAGTTGCAGCTTGTGACAGCTTTCTTATTAGTTACCCCCCCCCAAAAAATGTGGCACACACAGCACCATCTCTTTAAAGCCTCCATCATTGGCTGAGGATGCACCTCTTTACCCTAGCCATGGAAAACTGAAGGTCTTACTTTGGTGCTCTCCCAATAATTATTATGGAATTGTTATGGGTTGCCACGTACTGTTGGTTTAACCTTTTTTGTTTCATATGCTTGAGAGACACCAATTGCCAAGGCCAAGATATCAAATAGGAGTTGCCCAGCACCACCCAATGAATGACAGGAACTACCAAGGTACTGAATACTGAGAGGCCAAACAGAACCAAAAGCACTATTTAATCTGTAAGACAAAGAAACATATTTGTATTCATTAGAATCCTATTAGGTGTTTATGTAGCAAGTTTTGGAAAAGCTACACTTATTTTTGTGTGGATGCATCCTCCCAGTCTGATGTCTGAAACGTGTGGATGCAAGCAAGCAGTCCCACACAAGTATTTACTGTTAGCATGGCCCAAACAATAAGGCAGGTACTTTAATTCAAGGGTTCAAGCTTTTTGGTGCACAAGTCAAATCGCAAGCGCCTCTACTGAAGATAGTTTGATCCTATTGTTAATTAGCTGTGCTGAATTATATTCCTATTATCTCACAAGGGTGCTTGCCAATCTGCCTCTAATAACCAGAACTAACTGCTTTATTTACCCTGCTCCCACTTTATCCCGGGTTAAGCATCACGACTTCCCCTCAAACACTCGTGGCAACTTTAGTTTGGAGAAGCTGCAGCAAGTTCTCTGCTGCTCCTCCATCCTGAAGCAGCTCTCAGGTTCCTGGCGAGGAGCAACCCCCCTGGTACTATGGGATGGCGGCGGCGCCACCGCCCTCTGGCGCGCTTAGTGGGCAGCCAGTGGATCCGGCGGGCGCTACTCGAGAGCCAGAGGCCCAGCCGGGGGGGGGGGGGAGCCGGTTACCCGTAGTAACGGAAGGCGTTGATGATTCTGCGGAAGTGCTCCCTCTCCAACTCCTCCTCCGCCGCCGCCTCCTTTCCGCCCTCCGCCGCCGGCTGTGTCTGAAGCGGCGGAGCCTGCTGCCCCTCGCCGCCCAGCGCCGCTTCCCCGCCCCGCTGCGCCTCCTCGGCCTCTCCGCCGGGCCCGCTCCGCCGGCCCCCCCTGCGCATCGCCTTCCCCGCCGGATGCAGCTGCCTTTTCCGGGACAGAGCGCACGCGGCGGCGGCGGCCGACATCCCTCTTCCCCCGGACGCCCAACGGCTGGCGCTCCTGGCGCGCGCTTCCTGCTTCATAGGGGAGCGGCCGCCGTCAGCCTCGCCACCGCCCGCCTCCCGCCTCAGGCCGGGCGCGCACGCGCAGAAAGAGCTCCGGGACTGCGCAAGCGCGTGGCGCCGCGAGGCTCCCTCCCTTCGCCCCAGCGAATTCTCGCGGGAAGACAGGAGCCGCCCAACCCGCTCGCCACTCGAGGGCCGCCTCTGCGGGCGGGGCTTGAGCGTCGCGCGGCTCCCTCCGGGCGCGGAGTTCCGCGGGGAGCGAGGCCGAGGCGAAGCGGGCGCCGCGAACCAGGCTCCCTCCCTCCCTGGCGGGCGGGCCCACCTCGGCATCCCGCCTGCCTCCCGCAAGCAGCCGCCGCAGAGCTCGAGGCCCCGCTAGGGAGAGGCCCGGGGGGGGGGTCCGGCCCTGAAACCCCGCCCCGCGGAACTCGAAGGCCGCCTCGCAAGAGCCCTGCCGGCCAGACGGAAGACTCGCTCCAGCGTGTTCTCTGCGGGCAAAAGCGCGCCCGTGGGAAGTCCACCAGCAAGTGAAGTGGCGTGCGAATGGGTGGACTCCAAAAGCTGCTTTGGATACAGAAGCATTATAGGCCTCTGCGGGGAAATGTGATGTATTTTCCTTCATCTAAAGCTGAGAAAGTTAATTGGTGTGTATATCTGTATTTAATAGTATCCACTTGGTTTTTTCTACAATCAAGCAGTGTATAAATTTTATGAAATAAATAAAATATCTATCTAGCTACAGCTGCTGCAGTCCTTGTTATTTTAATGCGAGATACCTAAATTTTTCATAATGACAACAGCATCCCACTATGTACTTATAGGAAGAGGGAACAGAATATATTATGGCTGTAACAGACTCCATTACTCTGCCACTAGAATGCTGGTCCTACCATATACCAACTACCAATCAGTGAATTATGTTTTTTTTAAAAAAATATTTTCTTACTATGCTACAAAATACATCAGGACTTACAAAAGAAAAAATAATTATCTATTGAAAAACGCATTTTGCAGACTTGGGGCTGAACCTTGTGAAACCTATAGGTAAATACCTATTGGCCTCTATTCAGAATTCAAGGGGATGGGGAATCAATCATTAAATGATCAGCCCTATTTCCATCGGAGCATATTTTAGCCACTACCAATTTAAGAAACAAGTATATGAAGACCGGTGCTTGTTTCTCTTGATTTTTTTGTAATGTACTTGACTTGGTCTTTCATAGACTCCCATAGTTATAAACTATGTATGATTTTAGGCAGCCTTGCGGAGAAGATATTTGCATTTGTCTTACCCCAATCAATGGGTTATTAGGTTGCAGAGTATCTGACAGTGCTAAAAAGAGTTTACTACATTCTACTGTAATTGTTTCCCCCTTTTAATAAAATCAATAAGGTTATGTATCATGACAACTTGCCTGTAATTCAGAATTGATTAATTTTTTTATTAAACAAGATTGTTTTGTAATAAAAAAATCAGCTTCCTGCAAGCAGATTTTAGATATCTAAAATATATTTAAGTTACCGAGCCTTAGAAAAGTATCTTGATGCTCCACTGAAGGGTACCTTGCTTGCAATGCCACTCACATTGGAGGAACAGATGTATCACAAAGGATGCATTCAGGAGAGTAGAGTGGAAAACACTGAGGTGCAGGTAGGGTAATAGAAAGTTTGCCCCTCTTTGTTACGTTGGAGGAAAAGGACAGTGGATGTGTCTAGGTTCACTGTTGCATTAAGCAAGGAGGAGAGACTGTTGAGCACCTGGAAGAAAGCATCTATGAGACAATACATAATTTCTCTTCTGTCCAAACATTCTTAGTACACTCTGAAAGTTTTAGGGTTTTGATTCCAAATGGATGGCACCTTTGCAAGAGAACAGTTACTCCAAATAAACTAGCTGGAAAGCATATCCATGAGAATGTCACGTACGCTCTCGGTTCAGTGCTGCTTTGGAAGGGCTTCAGTTAGCTTCTTAAAACATTGTTTTAGCCGCAACGTATTAAAATATTCATGTATGAGGTTTGTTATTGCTCTCATCGAGGCCAAGGCTTTATACATGCAAAATAGCACCACGATCATCTGAAAGGTTGAAAGAGAAAAAACACACACATTCACAAACACTGGGCTATAGCTTCTTTATAATCACTCATTAGTTTTTATAGATTTTTTAGATGTCAAGTTGGACAGAATCACAAAAAGGTTATATCATCAAATTAAGTTAGATTGAATCCCTCCTGGCTTGGAGGTTCCTATTTCTGTGAATTAGGCAGGCAACCTGCCCTAGATGGGAGTTGTACTCCCTCTGAAGGAGCAGGTACATGGTCTACTTTTCCACTAGCTACTTACTTGACTTTTCCAGTTCTTGTGCTATATCATTGTATAGCCTTGAATAAAGGTCTTCCTGTGATTGAGTTCCATCCAGATAAACTGCAAGAGGAGCAGTGAAGTAGTCAAAACATCTTCAGTACAGCCAGAAAGTTTCAATAGGCTACCTTCCAGTGCAACCCACATTGCATTCACAACCCACATAAGCTTTATGTACTGACTTTTTTTAGGTGAATTTTTAAAAAGCTGCAGACAAACATACACACTAACTGTGCAAAGGGTGCCTAAAGTTCCTATCTTATGCATTACCAGGGAGTAATTACCAGTGAACTCAACTGAACTTACCTCCGAGTACACATGCTTAACAGAGAATTTTATTTTGTTTTTTAAATATCCATCTTCAGATACCCACACTTTCCCATCCACATTTACCATGAGACAGATGCTGAAGCGTTCTGACAAAAGAGGTGGATTTAGGGCAGTGCAACCAGTTTTGCCTCATTGGGCGCTGAGCCTAGGGGGTGCTACAGGGCATCATAACTATGACAGATTACCCCACCCCCTTAAGCAGGGGTTACTTTCTAAGCCTCCACTCACGTATTCTGTAAGTAGGGAGCACTGTCAAAAAAGACCTGGTTTTTTCCTGCTTTCCAGCTCTCACGTTCTCCACACAACTCTCTTCAACTAGAAGCTCTGGGGCCGGCTGGAGGCTGTGCAGAAATGCGGCTACTACACGTGTAAATGTCTAGGTGGGGAGGTTGAGCAGCCTAAACAAAGTCCCACTGCACCTCCAGTCTCTTGGGGCTTCCTCCGCCCTCACTGAAGTCCTCTTCGGGCTCTGGGGAGGGTCTCCTCATGAGTCATGAGGACTCTCCAGCTCTCTCATGCCATTTCCTGGTTTGCATGCATCTATTTATTTATTTATTTCCTGGTGTCATGCTTACACACGTTGATCATGAGTAAGGGGTAGGGGAGCCTGTCGTGAATTGAGCAAAACAGAATGCATGAGGTGGGGAGGCACCAAATGTTGGACTTGCACAGGGCACTGCTGAAATTTGAAAGTTCAAAATCCACCCCTACCAACAAAGCCAGTCCTTTGAACCTGAACTAGGTAATATCACTACTTTTGCAAGCATTCTCTACTTGAATGAGCTACATGTACAGTCATACCTCGGGTTGAAGTTGCTTCAGTTTGAGCGTTTTCGGGTTGTGCTTCGCGGCGACCCAGAAGTAACGGAACACATTACTTCTGGGTTTCGCCGCATGCACATACACTCAAAATGATGGCATGCGAAGAAGCGGCGAATCGTGACCCACGCAGACGTGGGTTGCATTCTGCTCAGGATGCAAATGGGGCTCCGGAACAGATCCCGTTCACATCCAGAGGTACCACTGTATATATTATATCTAAATGTGTTTGCCATACCGATGCCAGTTTCGTTTTCTTCCATTTCTCTCTTATGTTTCAGATACATTGGCCATACATGTCCATCGAAGTATCCAGGTGGGTCTGGTGGGTTATAAATTCGTGTGCTATATAAGAACAGAAGCTTTACTCAAACATCTTGCTTAACAAGAATTTATATCCAAAAATATCAAAAGCCTCTAGTGGACTGATCTACTGCTGACAGAATATTTATATCTTTAGTTAACATGGTAACTTATTAATAAAATGTTTCTTCAGTAGTTTCTTCAAACTCAGGAAAACACTTAATCTCAAAGTGTCCAATACCAAAGACGTGGTGCAAATTCCTCTAACCCACTTTACTAACACAGATTTTGATTTTGTGACAGCCGCCGCCTCGTCAGGTGTACTGGACAGGACCTCAGACCCTTAGTAAAGCCTTAGCAAGCCTGTGCCCTGGTAGACTAATACATGTTCTGATGTATCGCAGTGGTGTAGCATATGCTTTGAATGTAAAAGTTCTTGGGTTTTATCCCTGACACCTCCAAGTAGAGCTGAGAATTTCCCCCACCTGAAACCCTGGAGAGCGGCTGTCAGTCAGCTAGACAGACACATGGTCTGACTCAGTCAGTATAAGGCAGATTCCTATTTTCCTAATGTATTCAGGGACACGAAGCATCCTCCATAAGCTTTAATTGCAAGTTGATTTTTTAGAAACACTATTGTACATTGTGAGGTAGAATGTGCTATTAAATTGGGCTTACAGCCTAATCTAGAAAATGATTATTTTAAATGAGCGCTACTGCTTTCTTTTATGACTTATGACTCAATCTACCTATGGTTTTAAAAATTGAAACGCAAGGCTACAGTTCTGTATAGATCTACTTTGGGCTAAGTCCCACTGAATTCAAAGAAGCCTTGCTGGAGTAAGCATACTGTGTCGGGCTCTTTCAATGAAAACCCAAAGTCTAGATTATTACGGCATACATTTATAACCTGGAGAAAAGACCTAATCATTACAAAGCAAAACAAAACTCGCTTATTGCAGTGCCTAGTACAGTACAGGGTAGAAGAGCAGCATGCTCTTTCTTCAGTTTGTGTACTGCAACAATGTTAGCTTTATTTGTAACAACATATACAAGTCTTAATATATAGAAACAGAAAGTTTGCCTGCTTGAAACGAAGGCCTCTGGTGTCAAGTAAGGCACCACTTGCTAGCACACCAGCACTAATGGTTTCCTTATAGCTAAAAATACACAGAGATCAAAATTGTTCAAATGATATAGATAACAATTAGAGGGCTTTAAACACCTGAATGCATATCTCAAAGGGGGAGAAGTGTATACACCATGTTGCACTCCTTGGAAAAAAGGTGGGATATAAATGTATTTTTTTTAAAAAAAAACCCATAGCATTCTCTTAGACCACGAGTCAGTACAAAGTTAAAAGCATTTAAGTTGCCAAGTTTGTTGCACTGACTCCATGCTTATTTCCAAATGACTTTGCTAGTGGCATGAAAGCACAGACTGGGCAGAGAGAATCTGCCTTTACCTGTCTCTTTGCCAGATTTTGAGGCTCTGATTTACAGGAACTTGTGGTGTTGGAACCTGTGATTTCCCTGGAGATATAATACAGTTCCAGAATTTTGCAAGGCATCATCATCATTATTTTTTATTGTTCAAAATTACAGTGCATTGTTCCAAATTGTGTAATTCTAAAACTGAACAAGTTTATTTTTAAAAAAACAAACTGGGAATGGAGCTGGTTATCTGCTTTGCAGTTCCCTTATTAGATTGCAGCATGTAGGTGTGGGAACATGCAGCTATGAACAAAGAGTACAGTATAATATTGGGCAAAGATTTTCAGAATACAGTACCTTCTTCTCTTCTTGCATTCTTCATAAGGAATTGTTATGAAATATTTTTTATTCCATATATCACTGAGAGGCCTGCAGTAATAAAGAAGCAAGTAAGATGTGCTTATTCAGTATGCATTATTTTTACTTTAACATGCTAAGCTTGCTTACTTGTAGTTATACAGAAGGAAGCCCTCAACAATCAAGACATGAGTGTCTTTTACTCCCTTTTGATTATCATGCAGTGGCCTTGTCAATGCAGAGTCTTGTAGGTTTGTCATCCAAGAGCGTATGTCTGCCACCATTTTTTCCATATGCAGGGCATCAAGTACTAGAAGAGACAATGTTATCTTAAAATTAAAGGCAACAATTACAGTCTGCAAAATAAAATGCTAGAGGTATATAATGAAAAGAATGGGAAAACATTCCATTACAATGTAGCTGTTTTCATTATCATTAGGAGTCAGTATTGGCAGCAGTCGCATAAACTAAAATTTGAGCATTTTATGGTTATTAATCAAGAATGGTAATAGTTGGAGAGAGAAACCAGGGCTGTGCCAATGAGAAGTGCTTGGAGTATAGAGGAACAGCAAAGAGATCAAATGATTGTGCTCCAGTTCCTAAATCTGTGAAGTTTTCTCAAAACACGCATGGTTGTTTTGAAAGGAAGATTCAAAATGGAGTGACTGAGCAAAGAACAGAGGAGGAAAAGAGGGCAGATAAATAGCTTCCATTCAATACCAAGAGAACACAATGTTTTTGGTTTGTTATAGGTGGACTGTACTTTTAAGAATTTGTATAATGAATTATAGATTTGGAGTGGAATATCAGCACCTCTTTTCAGCAAGAAAGGTTAGCTGCCAGGAACATGGTCCACACACAAACACGCAGGATGTCCGGTTACAATTAATTCTGCAATAGCTGGGTGGAGGAAGTTAGCCAACAAGCTTCAGTTTGAACTTTTTTATGCACTAGATGTCACTGTTTGGTTTAAACTTAACTTGCAATACAAAGGGGGGAAGGTTTCCTGCAATGCCTGAACAAGAAAATGCATTATATTATTATCACATCTGACTGAACTCCAAAGTTCACTTATTATTTTGCCCAGATAGCACTGATCATATGGAAATAGTTGTGCAGTTTAAACTGTTCCTGAGCCAGATGCCTGCTCAGTTTTAGCTGAGTTCACTATTACTGATTTCTGGAGATGCTTTGCATGTATTTATGACTAGTTCCGCAAAACTGCTACTTGAAGAAATCCCCAAACTTAATATTTTTTAAACTTCAAATGGAGCTGAGAATCCAGTTAGGCAATCAAGCCTTTGCAGTTGAATTAGGAGGCACTGAGAGACGGCAACAACATATTTTCACCCAAAACTGATACATCAAAAAGATACCTTATGCATCTATTCTGCCTATCCCCTTTTACTGTCTCTTGTTAAGTAGAATTTTCCTGCTAGTACCAAATTGCTTGATTTTGAAAGTGAAAGCCCTTTCATTCAGATGTCACACTCCTGCAGAATCCCAGGATTTTGCCAAGATGCTGCGAAGCACTTCCTAGTTATTAGAATTCACGAACATAAAACCTTCCATCTATTACTGTCAGCAATGACTCCTCGCGGCTGTCCATTTATTGACATACTACAAGCTTAAAAAAAAGTCAACCCACTGGAATCAACATCTGGGCTGGATAAATGGTATTTTTGGCTTCTGCATAGCAGCTTGCTTCATATATAGTTGGGGGGATCACAAATCCATTTTTAGAATTACTTGATTTAACACTTCGCTGCATAGTTGTTCAACCACTGGAACTCTTTCCTGCTTATCCAGTTCCCATTTTCGTGTGGGTGGGTTGAAGGCATCAAGCATGCCAATTTTGCAATTTTAAGAAGAAATATCTAGTCAAAAATAAAAATACAAAAATATTTGTAGAGACAAATGTTTGCTGGAAATGGATTGGTTCTTTGAATATTACAGTTTTGCTTACTTTGATGCTTTCAAAACTTTGATGCTTTAAAAAAGTATTGAGTCTACTAACCATCATACTGCAAAAATCCATGGTCATCTACAGCCACTTCAGATTCTGGCTAGAAAAACCAACAACAATATTGTTAACATTGTTGAGGCAACTTGAAGGGGGAAAGGAAATTTAGACTTCTTATCATACATAGCTGTACTGGAGTCAGCAATTTTAGAGGTAGATGGCAACAACACAATTGAAATTGGGCCACTGCATAGGAAGGCAAATAATGTGAGAGGCAGCAGCACCCAGAACTGTTCAGAATTTTAAATGAACACAGTAAGACATTTCAAGTCAGAACAAACAGTAAACTTCCTGATAATACTATACCAAGTAACTCCAAATCCTGTAAGTTTCGAAAACGTGCATGCATGCACATTCCTGTTATTAAAAAGTAGAGTATTATTTAAATCCATCTAAAATCAGCATGGACCAGGATGATAAAGATCAAAAACTGAAGTGATAAAAATACAAATACAAGATGGCAAGTTGAAAATACAGGATGCTGTTCAGAATACACAAGAATCCCATAGCTCATCCCATAACATTATTTTACTTGATAATTTGGAAGCACACTGTATTCTGCTTCTAACCTGGAGATGTTCTACTTTAACTCATAAAGTCCCTTTAATTGTTTACCTTAAAATAGTCATCTTGAGAGAGTATAGAACAGTTTGGAAGCTGTTTCTTAAGCCTTTTTGCCAGAGTTGTTTTCCCTCCATTTGTTATACTGAATTGGAGATAGGAAGAAAAGAATGGCAGAACTGTAGCAGATTACAGAGTAGCAGACCATACAGTACATAATAACATCATTTTGATAATCCGGTATCTACATTGTAACTTGCAAATGCATTTACCTAGTTATTTTAATGTTTTCAGATAGCATATGCTAAAATGGCCAAAGGCACATATATCATCATCTCAGACAACTTTTTTTGTTACCTTTTGCATGATAAATGCACAATGGCTACTCAGTTGTTGCAGGGAAGCGTAGTATCTTCCCGCAAAAAATCCTATTTGCAAGGAGTTATTTCCCCAGAACTCAAAAGTCTTTTGAAACTAGAAAAAAGAATCAGTTACCTCCCTCCCACCCACCTCAGTTACTATACCTTTTGCAAACATTCAAGTATTTTCAACTGCATGAGTGTCATAGGCTCATTTTAGCTATTGTACACCCCGCATAGAAGAGACAGGAACGAGAAGTGCCAGGTAGCAATCCCCCCCGCCCCGCCATCAAGGTTAGCACCAGCAAAACTGTAATATAAGTGGTGTCCAACTTTTTTCAAAGAGGGCCAGATTTGATGAAGTGAAGGGCCGTGAGGGCCAACCAAAGTTGTTAACCTTTTTTTAGGATTGAAGTTGTTGAGGTTAGGATTTTACCCCAGCAAGTAAACTGCCACAGGGGCCGGATTAAACTGACCGGTGGGCCAATTTAGGCCCCCAAAACGGACTTTGGCCATGCCTGCAGTAATACAATTATGTTTTTCCCACCGTCCTGAAAAGTGATCAGAAAGCAGTAATAGCACACAAAAAGCAAATTATTCCACTCAGCTATTGGGTAGATCTAAACACCTAAAGCAATAATGGGACCCTCCAAATGTTTGAGGCTAGCTTCTATCTGCCCCAGCCAGCATGGCCAAATGCCAGGGGTGGTGGGAGTTGTACTCAAGCATCATAGCTCAGTTAGCAGAGCATGAGACTCTTACTGTAATCTCGTTGGACAAAAAGATTCCTGCACTGCAAGGAGTTGGACTAGATGACCCTTGTGATCTCTTTCAACTCTACAATTCTATGATTCCATGATCATCAGGAGGATCCCAGGTTCCCCATCCCTGATCTAAAGCAAAACTGGATTTTAACCAACTACCCATTCACACTACCCATTCACTTACCCTCCAAGTCCAATGACCAACATTTTCACAGTTCTTTCACAACCTAAAAATCAAATTGATAAAGAATCCTTGTAGTAGGAGTGAATAACATATTGTCCATGAACTACTATGTTCAGCCCATGGAATTTTTGACTAAATGTCTCAGGTAGGCTTCTAGCCAGTTGTGAGGAAGGTGGCTAAAAATTGCTTGTCATCAAAACCAAATTATAATGAAATCAAAATCCATTGGGTTTGAGTCTCAGTGCAATCTTACACATGCCTACTAAGAGGAAGCAAAGTTCAACAGGCCTTTCTTCCAAATTAGCAGCTTTTTTCCAAATTTTCTCTCATGTTTGGAGGTGGATGTACATCATTTGATGACTTGCAAAGGAAAGGAAGAACTGGCTCTCCTGAGTTTACATTGGACACTATGGAAATTGGCAACTAACCTGTGACACATGAGGGTCATCACTGGATTCAGCTCTCCAAATGACTGAGAAATACAAATACTGTAGTAGGAAAGGGAAAGACGTCAAACCTCACTGTGCACAACATGCTCACCCATGAACATCAAAACACCAAGCAATGTTGTATGAAGTACGGAAAGATGGAACTTGGCACCATATTTCCCTTAATTATGTACACTGTCAAGTAGGAACACCTAAGTGTCAATGTTAACTGTATCCTTAGGGAATCTCTCAGTGTGGCATTCCAATGAAAGCCAAGCATGCTGTGACAAGCCTCTTTGATGATTTTGCCACCAATTTATTTTGAGAATGCAGTGCCTTATGTCAAGCTAAAATCTAGTGACAAAGAAATGGGTACAAATATTCAGAAATGGGTACGAGTAGACTGATCTCCTGTATTTTTTTAATAGCAGGGTTGCTGTTTTTGGACTGTGGAATAAAATATTTCTGGCAGGGAAATTAAGATGGCAAAACTGCCAGAGATCTACTGGATCCTAATCCTGTTCTTCCCCACATATCTTGCTGTTGTATTGCTCCCATTAACCATGCATTTCTGGGAGGTCATAGCAGCATCAAGACTCATAATAAATGAACTTCTTATTGCATCAAGATTTGTCTGCTAAACTTCAAAGCTATATATTTTATTTCCACCACATGTGAACCACAAGTATCAAGCCTGCTGTCTTACAAGGTTCTAGTAATATTTGGACAGACTGAGCTATAGAAATTCCATTGCAGTTCATGCATCTGTGAACAAATATTTTTCAATACTGTGATTGATCATAAACAGTATAAAATCTGTATTACATGATCCTCCCCATCAGCAATCCTAGGATTTCTAATGCTCAACACTGTAGATTGCCCAAATATGTATACAGTTGTAACTCGGAAGTCTAACGGAATCTGTTCCATTCCACTTCCAAAACACTCAGAAACCAAGGTGCGGCTTCTGATTGGCTGTAGGAAGCTCCTGCAGCCAATCAGAAGCTGCGTCGGACATTCGGGTTCCAAAGAACGTTTGCAAACCAGAACACTCACTTCTGGGTTTGCTGCGTTCAGGAGCCAAAACATTCAACTCGAAAAGCGTTCAGGATCCAAGGTACGACTGTAATGCAAAAAGCTGAATAAGCCCAATGGCACCATGTTTAGGTGAATATATGTAAAATATGGCACACATAGACAAACAGTGCTTGAAATGCTATAGCCAGAAACAATACTAAGCAATACTGTATATGTGGCCACGTGATGAATTTAATTAAAGTTAACACTTCAGGGCTCACTGGTGAGAAAGTTAGGATGGGTTCAGAGCTATTACTAAAAATATGGGCAAAGATTAATGCTGCTGGATTGTTTGTTCTTAATCTCTCACCCATTCGGAAACAGCTGCTGTCAAAGCATTTGCCAACTATCCAAAGATGAAGGGCTTTGAACTCTGTTGTATGGACAGTGACGCAAGTTAAGATTTCAGGTCAGCAGTGCATGGGTCCAAAACAAAGACAAATATACATCAAAGGGGAATGCTACATAGGAAAGAAGAGTTTCTGTGAGTTGTATTCTACCCAATTGTCAGTGGCACACAGTTTGGTTCTGCTCTGACCCAGAAGTATTCTCAAACCATTACCACCAATTTCTGTAAGAGTAAGATTGCAGCCAATAGTTCCCAACTGCAGTATTATGATGATGATGATGATGATGATGATGATGATTGGTATTTATATCCCACCTTTTTTCTCCAAAGAACGCAACTTGGGCACATGGGTTTCCCCTCATTTAATAACCCCAACAACCCTGTGAGGTAGGTTGAGCTAAGAGGCAGTGACTGGCCCAAAGTCACTCAGTGAGCTTCATGACCAGGTGGGGATTTGAACCCTGGCCTCCAAGTCCAGCACTCTAACCACACTGGCTCTTTATGACCATAACATGCTATGTTTAAAAGTGATCCCAACACAATTACAGTTTTCACTTCTAGGGCATCTTGGCAGCCCAGTCCTAGTCCCACCAAATGCAATACAGTTTGTTTTCTAGCAAGCACCTTGAGATTAGTAGCCCTGAACAGCTTTTACCGGAGCAGGTGAGCCGGGCATGCCAGGCAATGTGACTTTACACTTACAAGAAAGTGCAGACACTGGTTTAAGTGGGACTAAGGGAGCCTATCAGCAGCAGCCAACATGTTCCAAACATTTCCCAAGCATTTTTTCTCAGAAGCTTTGAGACTCCAATTGTCAATAAAATCCTTGAAGCTCTGAATTGGCATTGAGGTACTTTTTGGAAAGATTAAGGATGATGCGCGGCATCTGATGGCAGAGATGCACGCAGCACTTCTGGCTATTTCTCCTCACCCTCCCCCCGCTCTTGCCCCCCAACCGAGCCTGCTGCCTCCGGTGCAGCGGCGGAGCGATTCCCCCCCCGGCCAGTCGGCTTCTGCCCGGGCAGCCGAGAGGGGCGCCGCCGCCTCCTTGCCCCGGAGCCCCGGGCACGAGAAGCCTCTGGGGGCATCACAAAGCCCCCCGTCCGCCCCTACCTTCGCCCTCGCGGCCGGACACGCCGAGCAGCGCCCCGAGGAAGGGGAGCCCTTCAGGAACCAGGCGCATGCCCCGCCCCTCCAAGGAAAGGGGGCCTGACGATTGGTCAAGGCTCGCAGTCCGGCCCCCTGGTTCCAGCGATTGGCTCCTTTCCGCGGTCCCCGCCCCTTCACGCGGCCCGCCTGGCGGGGGCCATTTGCGCCGGGCGAGCTGGCGCCTTGCTCCTCCCTCCCTCCCTCTCTCCGCGCCTGCAGTGCTGGACTTGGGCCGCTAGAGGGAGCGGCGCCCGGCGCCCCTTTTCTGCCTGCGCCGCCGCCAGTCCCACTTCCTCCTCCCGGTGGCAGGAGCAGCTTCGCTCGGCCGGGGCTTTTCGGCGAGCCGCCCTCCCTCCCTCTCTCTCTCCGGGAAGCGACGCCGCCCAGAGCCACGCGCAGCCCCTCGCCCGCCGCCTGGCTGCGCCTCCCCTCGCGCAGCGATGTCCAAGCCGCCCCCGAAGCCGGCCAAGCCAGGTAAGGGAGGCGCCGGGAAGGGGCGGCCGGGAAGGGGCCAGAGGGGCGCCCTGACACGTGGACCCCGCCCGCCGCTCCATCCAGGCGGCCTTTCCGTCCAGCCCCGGGCCGAAGGGCGCGCTCGGAGCCGCCTCCCCGCCCGGCGTGCCGTGCCCTGGCGATGCGCGGGCGGAGGGTCGCTCTCCTTGGGCGGTGGGCCGCCCCCTGCGCCCGGGGCGGGGCTCGAGAGAAGCTGTCACTGTCAAAAAGAAGAAGGGGCCCGAGCGCTCGCTGCCGCCCTCGGCCGGGTCGGGGCAGGAAGGGCGTCGCGTTTGCGATGCTCCCCGAGCGGGGGCGGGGGGGGGGGGGCTCGACCGTGTGGGATCCTCCGCTGCTGCCGCTCGAGCTTCGCTGCATTGATGCAGCTTGGCAAGCAGTTGGCAGCCAGCATGAGCCCAGGAGCCCCGCCCGCCCCGTCAGTGGCCCAGCCAGGCAGGGCAGAAGCTTCGAAGCTGGAGGAGCTGCTGCCTCGCCCGCCTCCCTGAGCTTGCAGGCCAGGAGAGAGGTCCCAGCGTGGGTAGGAGCGTAGGGAGATGCCTTCTATCAAGCCAGGCCCCGGGGTCAGCCGGTGGACTGGCAGGGGCTGGCCAGGGTTCCAGGCAGAGGCCTCCCACAGCCCCCTGGAGGCACCAAGACTGAAGCCTGGACTTTCTGCTCCACCACAGTAGCCATTATCATAGAATCACCAAATGGTAGAGTTGGAAGGAACCGTGAGGGTCATCTAGTCCAGCCCCCCTGAAATGCAGAAATCTCTTGCCCAATGTGGGGCTCAAACCCGCAACCCTGAGATCAAGAGTCTCGTGCTCTACCAGCCCAATCCACTATCTGGCATCTGGGGAAGAGCGAAGGAGGCCCGCCTGTTTCACAGAATTTGTCTTCACTACTTGCAAAATAAAATTCATCTATCAGAAGTAGAAATAAATCTGAAAAGTTATAAGGTGTGCCTTTGTGCTTTGCAAATATGTTGATTCTTCTCACACACTCTTTTGAACAGACAAGGACCTGTTTTCTCTATTTCAAATATGGTATAGCTTTCCCCATTTATCAGGGTTTGTTCCAATGGCCTCAACGGAATCATGCTGGAGAGTGAATTGGTTTTGAATGGTTCCTCGCTATAGGACAGGCTGGTAAATGAAACATTTGCCCCATGGGCTGAGATCCTGATAAAGGATGCTCAGCAGTCAGCTGCTAGGCTCTCTGCCACATGCCTTTGGCCTTCCAGAGATTGTTGGGACTCCTATCAGCCCAAGCCAACATGGCCAGGGGTGATGGGAATTGTAGTCTAACAGGCCTGCCTTAGTTACTCATCAGGTGCCTTAGCCACCAAGAGTTGTATGCATGTTGCAGTTGCCCAGGAACTGCAGGATTTATTTATTTTAAAACAGCAGCAGCAACAACAATATTTACATGCCGCTTAGAAGAACAAAAATTCTCTTAAGTGGTTTACAAGTCCATCTAAAATATTCATTTAAAATATCCCTTAAAAATAAAATAAAAACAAGGTACTTAAAATTGGTGATTGTAAAACACATAAACTAACTAAAACAACAGACCTGATTAGGCTGGCTGGAAACAAGACGTTTGCTGATATCAGTCAGGCACCAGAGACAATAGAGTGAAGGTGCATGCTTAATAATTTTAGAGCTGCTACACTAAAATAACAGTTTCTTGGAAGTACAGAAAGAATATTTTGTGGCTCTTGTTAAAGTTCCAGTGCCACAGATCACAGCATTCAAGTGAGCACATTTGGGGTGGGGTGATCCTTCAAGTAAACTAGGTGTGTTCAAAGATATTTGGGGCACCTCTTGGATTAAATTGATGTTTTTTAAATATGGATTTTCTCTGCAAGCTGTATTCTTTTTTGTTCATCACTGAGATTAAACTGAGTGCCAAGGAGGCAAATGGTACTGACTCCCTGATTCTTTAATCTCAGTTTAATATCATATAAGATTAAATATATTAATATAAGATTATTAGCGTTCGTGAAGATATTCCATTGGGTGGGCATTGAGGGCTTTGGTGGTAGAGGGGCAAATGGCACAGATTCAAGAGCATTCGACGCCCTGTTTCTGTAGTTGTGTGTGAGAAGACTACACAACCTAAAAACTTCAGTTCCAAGGCAATGAATTAGATTAAAGTGACTTAAGTGCAAGAGGGCTAGTGCATTGACTTCAGTAGTTTATGGCTCATTCTGTCTATTAGCTACTGATTGAAGCTCTTATTACAGTTTATTGGACATGTTTCAGGGATTACATACCTTCTTGGAGGATGTATAATAACTTTAAGGTTTACCAAAGGCCCTTAGCAAAGCCTTTGAACGTGGTAACTGTGGCAAATCTGTTGCAACCAGCTATTGTTTCAGTTTCCTAGTGGAAAAGATACAAAATCAGGAAGAGATGCAGTTTCTAACCCGCTGTCAATAAAAAGCTTTTAATCTCCCCTCAAGTCCAGAGCCATTATTTGAGGGACAATAATGTGCCCTGGGAAGCTGTTTTTTTGCGACAAGCACATTTGTCCTATTTATAGCTATTACTGGTAATTTCTATTTTGGCAAGGTTTGAAATTAGCCAGGGGCCGGGTGCGTTTTGCACTGGACTGTCTGTCACTTGCGACCAAGTGAAAATTCCTAGTTGCCAGGATGATGCCTGACAGTTCCACCATCACCAGTAGGAAAAAGAGGTAGGAATAGGTCCATATATATGTGGACTCTCCCTGGATAAATGACTTTTTTTTTTTAAGTTCTCAAAGTTCTTAACCTAGTTCAAAATTGTCATCTGAACTAGCCAGCTGTTTAACTGGTAATCACAGTCAGTCCATCATCTGATAAGACTTTAGAGCTGTCTTGCCCCAAAATGGCAACTAGACATTCTGTTTTGGCAACTGTAACCTTGGTTTAAGGAGCCATTTGGTGCCTAGCTTATACAGTGGTACCTCGGGTTAAGTACTTAATTCATTCTGGAGGTCCGTTCTTAACCTGAAACTGTTCTTAACCTGAAGCACCACTTTAGCTAATGGGGCCTCCTGCTGCTGCTGTGCCGCCGGAGCACGATTTCTGTTCTCAACCCGAGGTACTATTTCTGGGTTAGCGGAGTCTGTAACCTGAAGCGTATGTAACCCGAGGTACCACTGTATGTATATCTGCGTTTCTAACGCTGCATTTTGGTCTGAAGAGAAGCATAAAATAAGTTTCATTTTCTAGGGCTGCAATCACAGGCAAGCTTATCTGGGAGAAAACACTGTTGGACTGTTGGAGATTTCCGAGTAAGCACTCACAGGACTACAGTGTACAGGACAAAGATGTTGGAAAATTGATAGGTGGATCCTGTGCAAGCTTACTCATAAGTAAACCCTATTGTGTTCAGTGGAGCTCACTCCTAGTAAGTGTGTTCATTTTTGCAGCTTTAGTTTGAATTCTAGGGGAAATTGCAGAACTCCATGAAATATCTATACTTTCCATTCCCAGTCTCAATAAAAGCCTGCAGTTACACATTTTAATTTGAAGTACAAAACTCTATAGCTGAGAAATGAAAGCATTTCTTTCTTTGTGCAGTGGGTATGTTTCTTGCCTTCTTATCTCAGGGCATGTACAACCTCCAGGTTTCACTCTTTGAGAGCTAATTGAATGGCAACTTTATTAGAGCTGCTGGCTACTGAATAAATATTGTGAGGAAACACAAACATTAAAAGCCTCGTTAAAGAGCTGATCCTGCCACACGAACTTATGTTTTGAAGGATTGTAGCAAAAAGACAACTTTTTATAAAATTTAATGCCAGGCCGCAGCCAGTCACTGCTTTTCCCATCCCCCGACAAGCAATAAAGCTGGTTATGGTGGCTTGATTGAAGAGAAAGGGATTTGGAACGCTTAAAGTTGTAACACTCTGGCCACCAAAAGAATAGAACAATTTGCAGAAATTTGTTATTATTCAGGAAGCACGTATGAGGGGGAGAAGAAAATTTAATTTGGTAAGCAGAAACACTGTGTGTGTGTGTGTGTGTGTGTGTGAAATAACTGAAATTGCACCCTGGAATTGTCTGAAGAGATACAGCCCTTAATCCAGATTTTAAGACATTGACTCATAGTTGGACAGTTCTGGAATGTAAGGATTGTCTTTATAATTTGAACTCCATAATCTAAATTTTGAAAGCAACTGCTCAAAAATATTATATAACTCCAATACAAAACCTGAATAATTTACCTATCAAGAGGACAGAGATGGGTTGAGCAGATAGTGAGCTGCAGCCATTTTATTGCCTGTGCATTAAGAGTTCTCAAAATCAAGGAGGCCAAGGCTCTTTCACCTCTTATATTTTTTGCTCAACAAAGTATCTAATTGTTTTGCACCTAACAACATCCCTCTTTTCCACAGGCCACAGAGGAGCCCTTATGCTTGGCTAACTTATTTGTGTCCTGCATTTTCCACAAATACATTGTGGTCAAAAGGGCCGCAGGGTGGATAATTTAAATACAACAGCCATAATTGTATACATTGTGATATAAGATGAAGAGTGCCTCTGCCTGGACAAGTAGCCTCATTGAAGGATATTATGCTAAAAGCAGAAGCGAGAGAAAAGTGCTCTCCCACACCAAAAATAGTCCCAATGCTGATATTATTTGGCCCTTTGTGAGGGCACCCATGCCTGTATGAGTGTGCTCAGGAAGGAGAGATCTTGCTTGCTGGGGATTAGAAAAGGCATATGAAAGTGAACAAGTCTTGGTGGTGAACATGTCTTCCTCTCTCCTTAGATGTGTGTAAAGCTGCAGTTACCTGGGAGTAACTCAGGAGGACTTACCTCTGGGGCTGTGCACACGCTTTGTCTTATATAAGCACATTCAAAAAAAATTCTTTCCCTCAAAGACCCCCTCGCACAGTTACAATTCTCAGCAACCCTTAATAAGCTAAGTGGTTCAAGCATGTCATATTCTTTATTTCAATCATTCTCACAGTCTCTATTTGGTAGGCCATTATTTTCTCCCACATTTTAACTGAAGGACTGAAGCTAAGAGGTTTCCATAAGGGGTCAGGGAAGCTTCCTGTACCCAGGCCTGGGTAGTGTGACTACCTATTCCAGACCTATTCCACTTGCATATCCTGTTGGGCTCAAATGATGTATGATGTTAATTAAATACATGTCATTTCCCAGTCTTTTAACTCAGGATGGGGAAGAAAATTGGTTCTGATCACATTTAAATATGAAACTACCTTATTTCCACTTTCCAAAACAATAGGAGAGCTGAAATGCAGTGTTTCTGTGAAATTTGCATTTCTCCAAATTTTGCTATGTAGTAACATAGCAAAGTAACAAAAGTTTGTATTAGGTGAAGGTGAGCATTAAAATGTTCATATTAGTGGAAGTAGCATACAAAATGTGTTAGGAAAAATGGCTTGTGAAAATGTGTGCAGTAGTCAAAATGACAGGTAGGCATGTATATATTTGGGGAAATGCATGTTGAAATGCTAACACATTTTTGTGAGGAATATATATATATATATATATATATATATATAAAATCAAAAACTGATGAGGAAATGTAATGAGCTGAATTTAAGATTGGAAAAATGAGAAACCAAAAAGGACAGATAACGCCCATTCCTCTCTGCCAGTTTCCCCCTACATGCCCCCCCCCGCCCGCATTCTGCTTTTAGCCCTGGGAGGATAAATGTGTGGTTCTCCACAGAGAGATGGTGGGGGAAATGGAAAGCTGGCCAAGAGGAAATGCCAATGAATTTCCAAACCTTGTGGTAAATGCAGAGGGGGTAAATACAGGAGACTGACTACAGGTGCCTATTGAGTTTATAGTCAGACGTCCCCACCCACTGGGACCCGTGTTTCCCAACTCCCCCCTCCCCTGCCAAATATGTCAAATTGGGACCAGAGTGAGGGCTTTGTCAGTGATGGCTCTTGAACTCACTCCTCTTGTATCCCCACCCCCACATAGTCTGTAGGATGGTCAAAACCTTTTTTGAAATTGTTTTAGTTGCTGTGGTTAAGTTATTTATGATGGCATGTGTTTTTAAAAAATCATTTTTTCCCTCTGCTATTCTGTTCTTTGTGACTGCTGTGCTGCATGTATTGTTGCTGTCAAGCTTTTTTTTTTTAAAAAAAAAACTTTCTGATTTAAATTAGGTTGCCTAACGCTCATTGTGGAGAGGCAGGGCTTGAATGTTTTAAATGAAGAAATGTCCTGTGTGGTATGGGCAGGGCCTGCCGAAGACATGTTGGTGCCTGAGGCAAACCACAAAACACCCCCCCTCCACACCAGAACAGAAGGGGTGGGTGAAGACTTACACAGGAGAGGGGGGGGGGGATAAGATCTGCATCCGGATCTGCTGCCCCTATGAATGCTGCCACCGGAAGCAGTTGCCTCACCTTGCCTCATGGGTGGGCCGGCCTGGGCTTGACCCTTAGAAATTCATTGGCATTCTCTTGCCTGCATGTGAGCAGAACTGAACATTACTATATTAGTCCAGGCCAGTACCCAATCCCTGTAAGGCAGCTAATGTAATGCAACATTGCATTAGTTCTACGTCATTTCCTCAGTGGACACGAGGACTCCACCACAGAACCATTTCCTTGCAGTATAGGGGCAATTTCAGTTCCCTCATCCAATGTTGAAAGCTTTTCCTCCTGAGAAGTTGGGCCCAAACTAAATGTTGCAATAAAAGCAGCTACATATGTTTAAAAATGTGCTCTTTTGTTATGTGCGGGGTAGCTGGGGGTGGAGTACAGAAGCAAATGAGGAGGAAAATAACACTTTAATACAGAAAACATTGACAGAGGGACATAGTTTTCTATGATTATCTGCAAGGCCATACAAAGAAGTTAAAGGGAAATACAGGATAGAAAAGCCCTTGGGTTCAAAAACAATAGTCTGTTTGTTTGAGTTGACTTCAGCCCTCTCAAACAGCTGCAGCAATTAAAATAATCTCAGACCATTTAAAGAGCACCTTTTCCATTAAAAAACAACATTATGGCAAAAATATTCTTAAATGAATACTGGAAGTTACTTCTCTCTTTTTTTGCAATTGCTCTGATCCCATCACCCCTACTAGTTTCTAACAGCCCTTGGCTTTTATAAACTTTGCATATGAGCAATAATTCCCAAGCAAACTATCTTCTGAGTTGGAAAAACGTGGCTTGTTTTTGTCTGCTGCTTGTTCTTGTCTGCTGCATGGCCCTTTAAGGGAGCCATAAAACATAAAAGTCTAAAGGAAAACAGTCTTGAGTCTGTTGTGGTTGCTGTTGACATAAGCATAAGAAAACACGGAAATAATTAGAGCTTAATTTCATAGGTTTGGTATGTGCATGAAAGAGGTGAAAATTGCAACATACTTTGCAGATTAGCACGTGATCCTAAACCAATTTATTAGTATTTCAGCAAAGTTTACAGCCAAGTAATGTTTTAGTGTTATGTGCAAACTAGGCCACTCTCAGTTTACCCTTCTCCAATATGGTGATAACAGTACTGATCTGCTTTACAGGATTGTGGTAAGAATTACTGTGAACACTTTTAAGAAGTAAATATACATGCACAGATAGAATAGAATAGAATCATTTGATTGTTAAAAATCCCTTAAAGCGGTTTACAAAAAACTGCTATTATATAAACTGCAATTAATAATTACAGTGGTACCTCGGGTTACATACGCTTTAGGTTACATATGCTTCAGGTTACAGACTCCGCTAACCCAGAAATACTGCTTCAGGTTAAGAACTTTGCTTCAGGATGAGAACAGAAATCATGCTCCGGTGGCGCAGCGGCAGTGGGAGGCCCCATTAGCTAAAGTGGTGCTTCAGGTTAAGAACAGTTTCAGGTTAAGAAGAGACCTCCGGAACGAATTAAGTACTTAACCTGAGGTACCACTGTAAATTATATTGTTCTGTGCTGTGTGATACCTTGTCCTATTTTCTGTAAAAGAGGGTGTATATTTGATTAGCATATGGACAGTGCAACCCCATGATGCGGTTAAGTGGATAAGAATGAGTTACTTTATGAGTTACTTAAAAACATTGTTATCTTTATTTTTATATTATTAAGCAGTGTTTTTTGTTTCCAATTAATGATATATGCATATATAAAGATAAAAAAAACCCACACCCTTGCATTCATCTGAAAATGAACTTTATTTAAAGGAACAAAATGAATGAAAATGCAAAGATGTTTATAAAGTATTAATATTCTTTGACATTTGCACAAGATTATCAATTAGCTTGTCATAGTGTACATTTTGCAATCCAGAACTTTTGCTCTGTAAAATGGCTGAATCTATGCTATCTTCTGTTTTGGTTGGAGTACATTTTTCTTCAGACTTAGATGTATTTTCCACACCTTCTTTACCTTCAGAATGGACCGAATAAGCCACAGCTTGAGGGTCCAGGGTTCCACTTGTTTTTATACCTTCCCTCCTTGCTGTGTCATGAACCTGACGAACAGGCTTTAGACTGTCGTTAGAGCTCTTGCAGTTAAAATGTTGGCTGAGTTTGGGACATGGATGTTTGACTCATTCAACCTTAGGGAAAGGAAAAAATATTCTGTTAATGTTTATTTCTTTCTGTATATTTAGGACAAGTCAAAGTTTTTAGAGCCTTGTATACATTTGAACCCAGAACTGTAAGTATTTAAGTTTATTTCCCCCCTCCCCTCTAAAATTAGGAAATGTTATTTTTTAATATGACTTAGCAGCTAAACCCAACCTCGCCCTTGTGATAATAAAACATAGGAATTGATATTTACATTGTACCCGTAGAGGTGAAAGATCTAAACACTTTAGAGGCCGATGCTGCAGTTAGATCTTCCTCATATTTGCTCAAGAACAAGGTCTCATGCTCAGGTGGTAGTTTTGGCCTCTAAATAAGTGGACAGGCCATGTGACTTTAACCAAGGATTTGGCCTTAATTGTGCATGCGCTGGTGTCTGTCAACACAACAGTGTTTCTTCTGAGTGCACAATATAACCAACTCACTATTGGTTAAAAACCCAATTGCCTGTGCATCTTAGTCACACAATGAATGAGGGAGGGAGTTATAAATCCAACTGACTTCAGCAAAAATATTTTAGTTTCTGAACAAACGGCTTGAAAAGTGAGAAGTAGGGTGGAAAGTTGGAGGGGGTGAAGCCTGTATTTTGTTCTGCTTTTGCCCCCCTGGAGAGATGTGGATTGGCAGTGTCATTACATCCAAGATTTTGAGCATCCTCTTCAAGTTTGTCTGAATCCATTAAGAGAAAGTGTTAACCAAGCTGCACAACACCCTTTTAAGATACTGGAGTCTCTTTTCTCTTGCTGATTCAGCATGCCTTCTGAGCAGTCACATCTTGCCAAAGGCTTACAAAGTAATCTTCTCTTACAAATCCTTTCAGTAAGGAACAGCAGAAAAAGCAAACTCAGATGTCTTCTGCTATAATGCTGGATGGGTGAGGCATATTCCTTTTTCTAGGGCCTGCCTTTTGGCTAATAATTAACTTTGTCCTAATGTAGGTCCGACAGATAAGCCTCCAGCAAAAATGGAACCACCACAACTCCTTAGTCCAGGCATAGGCAAACTCTGGCCCTCCAGATGTTTGGGACTACAATTCCCATCATCCCTAACTAACAGGACCAGGAGTCAGGGATGATGGGAATTGTAGTCCCAAACATCTGGAGGGTCGGAGTTTGCCTATTCCTGCCTTAGTCCAACTTTTCCACTTTAAAGCTACTCTGTAAATTAAATATCTTGGGGTGATCTTGCAACTCTGCTCTTGGAAGCCTCCCGTGTCTAATGTTCTGCTGTCTCATGTTCTCGCCCCACTCTCTTTCCTTCTGCTCCTCCAAACCCATGTTATGAGAAACTGAGGGCAAGAAAGGAAAGTCAAGTGCAGCTTCCACAGCTGCACTTCAGAAAACCAGAGTATACACCCCTCACCCTCTCAAAAATGGACATGTTTGAGGAGTGGGAGAGAACAACCAGCATGTTTCCTTGTGTGCCTTTGACTGAGAGAACACAGTGTAAACTCTCACCCTCTTTCTAAGCCATCCTTGACCCCAGCTACGCATGGTACGAATACCCCTGAACATTTTGTGAATCTAAGTTTGGCCTCATTGAGGGGCAGTATTTCAATATGAGTAGGAAAATGAGAGTATCCCCTAAACATTTTTTTAGGAAAAAAAAGCACTGGGTAGACCGGGGTGGACTTTAGTATTCCATATTTCAGAGGTGCCCTATGAGAGGCTTAGATGAGAAGCAGGGTGCTATTTATATTGTTAGCCTCTCAGATGCAGGAAATGAGGGTTGCTAAGGAGCCTGCATGCCATGCTGCATCTCTGAAAGTCTTGAGCTTGCCAGTGCCTGTGCCAAGGACGGAGGTGGAGGGGCCAAAGCACACATGACACAGGAGACCTGTGACTCTGGATTGCCTGATTTGAGCCCACCCACCCCCATTTGTTTGGAGCAAAGGTTTTAATCCTTGCCTTCCTCCCCCAGTTGCTATTAACTCTGCAGCACAAAGCAAATAACAGAATCACAGAACTGTAGAGCTGGAAGGGACCTCGAGGGTCATCCAGTCTGGCCCCCTGCAGTGCAGGAATCCTGCCTACAGCTATCCCTGGGTGTGCTTGAACCACCAACCTTCTGGTTAGCAGCCAGATGTGCTGACCCCTTGCTCCAAATAAGGCAGGCTCAACACACACACACACACATGCTTCCCACTGCAGTGCAAACAGGAGCTTTGGGGCACCCACTTCTCAGCCCCACAACTCCAGTAAAAATGGGTGAAATCTCAGGTACAGTAAAGTGAACCAATCCCAGATCTCCTGCATCATGTGTAGTTTGGCTTCTTCAGTAGCTGTTAGCTGGTTTATTATTCCCTGGCAAGCCAGCAGGTGGCAACAGGGGGCAGCAAAAGCCTCGTTCCCTTTCCTTTCCCTGTGGTTGCCTTGCCACTTGGGGCAGAGATGCCACAGCCTTTTTTCGAGGCAGAAGCAACCTTCCTGCTCCTCTCCCTTTCTTCCCTTCCCATTTTCCAGCTTGCCAGGGCTCTCAGCTTCCACTTCCCCAGTACAAGATAAGCTCTTCACTGCCTCAGTGCATGTCTTATGGGGCCAAGGCTGTGGTGGCCGTGTTTTGCTCACAGGCTGCACAGGAGATTTCAGCGAAGGCTGCCTAGGGTAGAAAGCATGGAAAGGTTCAAAAGTAAAAGAAGTTGCTAAGAATGCAGTTCATTGAATTCCGAATTCTTTCCTGTTTGATCCTCTATTCAGGCCCCCAGGAGTACTGTTCCCCCCTTTAAACTGGGACTGCCTGTCCTCCCTGGCTCCCTTTTCACCTGGCTGCAAGCTGCCTGCTATTTCAGATTTCCCACAATGCTCAGGAGCAACACTGTTGAGGCATTGGGGGAGAATTTAAATGGCAGACCCTTTTGGTTGGGGCTCAGAAGATGGCTGATTTGGTGTCAACCTTGCCTCTGTTTCCCTTCCTGTGAGCAAGGAACTGTGGAAGGGAAAGATGTTCTTAGCAAGAAAAGCAGAAATGTCTCTTACAGAACTCAGCCTTTTAAATATAAACTCCACCAAAGACACAGGCAGACCTTCTGTGGAGTTTTGAGTTGGTGTATACTCACATGGCCCTGTTTCCATTTGATTGATGGTTTGTACCTCTTCCTCAAACTGAATGAAGAAGATAAATCCTAAAATGTTGTTAGGCAAGGCTGCAACAATGATATTCTTCTAAAATTGGTCTGCAAACTCAAACACCCTCTTTATTGTTCCAGCCAGATGAACTGTATTTTGAAGAAGGAGATATTATCTACATTTCGGATATGGTGAGTTCATCAAACACAAATGTTAACAACTGGACCGTGCTAAATAAACAGAGTACATCTCAAGTGGAGTCATTGTTCCCTTTTTCAGCATTGCTTTCTTTTCCCTCCAGAGTGACACAAATTGGTGGAAGGGAACCTGTAAAGGAAGAACTGGACTAATCCCCAGCAACTATGGTATATTCCAGATTTGCTTTACCTTTCAAGATATATCTCTCCACCACAGATGTGGACTATAAGGATGTATGCAGCTTGTAATTTTTAAGGGGTTGTCTCTGATCCAGATACAAAGAAATATAGTATCCTACTTCTAATTTGATGCCAGAACCGGGCATTAAAACTGGTTTCATGGCAGAGAGCTGCTTTGAGAACACACCTTTTAACTGGAAGAATGCATCCGTGTTCTCTTGTGTGCCGTCTGCTGGACTGACAGAAGCAAAAAAACCCACAAGTGGATGCATTTTAATGTATTTATTTTTTATTAAAATGTATGCCGCAACCTTCAATCTTATTATGGGGGAGCATTCAATAAAACTTTAGGACCACATGTATGATGATGATGATGATGATGATAATGCTGAAAAGGATAAGTCTCTTAAAAATAGCATAAAGATTATATGAGACAGAATAAAACAGATCAACATAAATGTTGGGAAAATAAAAAGACTTCTGCACAGTGCTGGAGAGACATCAGATATATTTTTTTAAAATAAAAAAGCTAAATATGTTTCTTGTCGAGCTGAAGCATAGAAGAATATTCACAACTAAGTAGGGTTTATAAGCTGGATGTGTCATTTACAACTCCCTGGGAATTGTAGATTTGCATAAGTCCTGAGAAATCTTCAAGACCCCAAGAATAGCCACAGCTCCCTCAGTATTTTTGGCCCAGATCCAAGGCCTTCTTTGTTGAGCTCTGCATGCACAGCAGACTTTTAGCATCCTTCCGCTCAGGAAGGGCTCACCCCAGTCGGGCGGCGCTGCAGTGCTAGCCTTCCAGCAGCCCATGTTGCTGCCGCTTTATTTGGGGGAGGGGAGAATGATGGGAGAGGGTGGGGCTGCCTGGATGCAACAGGGGGAGTGCTTTCCTTTTAGGAGGCGGCCTGCTTCTCCATCAGACAGAACCTCCTCCAAACCCGGAAGAGCTTTGGAAAGAGGCTCAGACATGGTATGTCTTGCTGCCGGAAGGGTTAGGGTTAGTGCCAGTTCTGAGCCGCCGTGTTGTCTCGATCAAGACAATTTCAGCATGTATAACTTGCATGACAAGCTATGCCTCCAGAGGTCACCTCTTCCGCATGCCCTTTCTTCTGTCATGGTGGCCACCTTGGGCGCTGTAGACACAGCTTCCCCAACATTAAATTGAAGGAAGCTTCACAAGGAGCTCCGTTTGGCACAGGCAAGTTTTCCCCGTTTTGAAACTTGGGGATCAAAACTTATAGTGCATACAATAAGGAGTTTAATATATATATTTTACATCCTTGGCCTTTGATAAATATTAAACATATTAGTGCATAGAAGGAAGAAGGAAATTAACGGCTCTCAGTTACCTTGGGCCCGTTCAGCAAGGTGCAGGAATCAAAGGAGTCACCTGCTTAAGATGACGTGTGTTTTTGCTTTTGTTTTAGTGGCTGAACAAGCAGAATCCATTGACAACCCACTACATGAAGCTGCCAAGAGAGGTGGGTACAGATGCAGTTTGCAGTATATCAGATCCCCCCCCCCCCCCGGGCTTGTGTATTCAGTTACGAGCTCATGGCTGCACCAAAGAGAGCTGGGTTGCCACAGAAGCAGTTCATCGGTTCTCTTCCCATTGGGTTGGGGGATGAAATAGATTGGGTTGTTGGAGTTTCTTTAAAATATGAAAGCTATGAGAGTGGGATGTCTGTGTGGGACAATAAAGGCATTTTATTTCTAAGAGAGAGGTTTTAATTGTTTGTTGCGTGTCTTGAGTATTTTGGACAAATAGTCTTGATTTGCAGGATAAATATATTTATTTGCAGAAAGAAATAGGCACAGTAGATTAATTCTTTTAGTACGGGGAAAGGAATAATGGTTTCAGATTAAATAACTGGATAGAAAAAAATTGTATTTTTACTGTTACTATGATAATTGCTTTTATTTATAATGTTTTTGATCTGTTTTATATTTGTTTTATGGTTCTCTTTTGTAAGCTCTCTTGAAAATCTAGATTTAAACACACATTTTCAAATAAATAAATAAATAATATTAAATAATTGGTTTGATAAAGATGGTATACTAACGTAGGTATATGGTGATGAATAGTTTAATAGCTTTAACAAATCAATACGATGTAATGACATTAGTCCAGGTTATAATCACACTGTATACACAGAATACAATAACACTTTAATAATATAGTAGCCCCTGTGGTTTTTTGTTTTGTTTTTACACTTCATAAATATAATTTTAAAAATGGTAATCTCCCTAATTCAATGCTTTATTTATTTCATTTATCTCCCACCCTTCCTCTCAAAGGAAGGTGGCAAACAAGTGATAAAAACACTAAAAATATCCTAAAAAGCAGTTCTAATACAGATGCAAACCAGGAAAGATTTCAGCTTTCAATGCATTTTTATTTAGAAGTAACTGCCACTAAGTTCAATGAGGATTCCTTCTAACCGTGTGTATGTGTACTCAGAAGTAAGGGCCATTGCGTTCAGTGAAACTTACTGTATAATACTCGAGTATAAGCCAACCCGAATATAAGCCAAGGTACCTAATTTTAGCACAAAAAACTGGGAAAACTTATTGACTCGAGTATAAGCCTAGGGTGGGAAATGCAGCAGCTACTGGTAAATTTCAAAAATAAAAATAGATACCAATAAAATTACATTAATTGAGGCGTCAGTAGGTTAAATGGTTTTGAATATTTACTTCAAAGAAAAACAGTAAATTAGCTCTGTAAGTGGAAAAGAGGGTCAACAAAAACAATATGGTGTCAACAATAACTTTAAAAGTACAAAAGCCTTAGCTCAATCAGCAACCAAGCTAAAACACAAGAGTTAAAACCCTTCAAAACTGGATTCCTCCTCATCATCTGTATGCCCAAACAGAGCTTCAGCTGTAGCTGGTGTGAGGTTATCAGCACAGACATTGTCATCATCACTGAGTTCGCAGTCATCACCATCACTGCTGTTCTCATACAAAGCGCTGTCTTCACTGCCATCCATAGCATTACTAATGCCACATTTCTTGAAGGCGCATTGCACCATGTCCTCTGGGATCTCTTCCCATGCACCACAAACCCACTTTGCTATCAATTCTATGTCGGGCTTCATCAGATTTCCAACTTTTGTCAGTCGGGCTTGATCAGATGACATCCATTCATGCCACATCTTTCGCACACGGTCTTTGAAAGGTTTATGTAAACACACATCTAGGGGGTGCAATACAGATGTAAGCCCACCTGGAATAACGGCCAAAGTAACTTGAGAAGGACTTTGCCAATTTTTTTATGTCATCAGATGTGTGGGCGCTGAACGTATCCCAAACTAGCAATGATGGTTTTTTCTTTAAGACTGCTCCTCGTCGTCCGTTCCAAATTTCTTCCAGCGATTTTTTTGTTCCGTCTTCATCCATCCAGCCTTTAACACGTGTGTGCACTGTAATTCGTGGTGGGAATTTGACCTTTATAGGCAAGATCTTTCTTTTAAAAATAATGACGGGCTGCAGCTTAGTTCCATTAGCCAAACATGACAAAACGACTGTGAAATGGTTTTTTTCTTCCATTTCCTGTGGTTCTGAGTAAAATAGTTTTGTCTCCCAAACTTGCCACAGTTCTGTTGCTTGGAAGATCAAAGGTCATAGGTGTTTCAGCCATATTCCCAATATCTCCCATGTCATAGTTATGGATCCTTCTTTGTTTTCTGATGAATGAATGGAATGACATCACTTTTTCATCAAGGTCTTTTGGCAATTTCTGTGAAATCTTTGTTCTTTGCCGCAAACATAGGGCAAACCTATTCATGAAGTGGGTACACCATCCTGCTGAGGCAACAAAATTTTCAATGCCTGGTGCTTTTAATTTGTCATCTTCAGCCATTTGAAGGGCACGTAAGTGAATTCCCATGCGTGTTACGCAGTAACCATTTTGACGACACTCCATAACCCATTGATGCAATTCAGTCTCTAGAGCCCCATATGAAGTTGTTAAACCACGTCGAGCTTTTTTTGCCTTTGGAATCTTTTCCAAGTCAGCTTTCATTTTCCGCCACTCCCTCACATGTTTTTCGTCAACACAAAATTCCCTACTTGTAATAGTATTATTGCTTTCTTCTGCTCTTGACACAACCTTCTGGTCCAGGATTAGAAGTACAGTGGTACCTCGGGTTAAGTACTTAATTCGTTCCGGAGGTCCGTTCTTAACCTGAAACTGTTCTTAACCTGAAGCACCACTTTAGGTAATGGGGCCTCCTGCTGCCGCTGCACTGCCACTGCACGATTTCTGTTCTCATCCTGAAGCAAAGTTCTCAACCCGAGGTACTATTTCTGGGTTAGCAGAGTCTGTAACCTGAAGCGTATGTAACATGAAGCTTCTGTAACCCGAGGTACCGCTGTATTGGGATCCATTTCTAACAGGATAAAAAAAAAGACAGTTCAGCACCTCTCCCAACCACGGCTCCTGTGCCCGCCTTTGTGAGAGGCGGGCGGCGCCAGCGGGACCAGGGGCAAGAAAGGGCTGCTTTTGGGCCGCTCATCCCTCCCCTGCCGCCACCCGCCTCTGCTGCTCTGCGCGGTTGGCAGAGTGGAGGGCAGTGCTTCTCCGAAGCCAGCCAGCCCTTTCCCACCACTGGTCCCGCCGCCACTGCCTCTGCCACTCACACCATAGGTAGGCTGGGGGGGAGGGGGGAGAGAGAAGCCCCCTCCGGTGCATGTGCACGCGCACACACACACACATGGTCCGGCCCGCCATGCGGTCTGGAGGACAGTCAACCGGCCCCCTCCCAAAAAAGTTTGCTGACCCCTGGGTAAGTGGGACCCTCACTCAAGTACAAGCCAAGGGGGGCTTTTTCAGCATAAAAAATGTGCTGAAAAAGTTGGCTTATACACGAGTATATACAGTACCTCAAGGTAAATGTATATAGCATATCAGTCTTGGTAGTACAGTGGTGCCTCGCAAGACGAAATTAATCCGTTCCGCGAGTCTCTTCGTCTTGCGGTTTTTTTGTCTTGCGAAGCACGGCTCTTAGCGGTTTAGCGGCTATTAACGGCTTAGCGGCTATCAACGGCTTAGCGGCTTTAAGAAAAAGGAAACAAACTCGCAAGAACTCGCAAGATGTTTCGTCTTGCGAAGCAAGCCCATAGGGAAATTCGTCTTGCGGAACGACTCAAAAAACGGAAAACTCTTTCATCTAGTGAGTTTTTCATCTTGCGAGGCATTCGTCTTGCGGGGCACCACTGTAGTTAAAGCCCCTACTGGTTTCAATTGATGTATTCAGAAGCTAGCTGTTGGCGCCACTGCAGGCTTATCCCTCCTCCATGGCCAGCTTCACATGTCATACTAAGCCAAGGCCCAGGCTCCCCAAGGAAGATGGCAGCCTCTTCTGTCCTCCCTGGCTGTCTCACTGTTGCTTTGCACTGAGCTAAGTTATGGCTTGGCTTAGCATGCTATCCAACACCAGACGGATGAGCAGGAATCCAAGAACAAACCTTTCTTACACCTCATGGTTAGTCTAGAGAAAGCTAAACCTACAAGACCAGGTTCAGACAATATGCAGAGACAAGCCGTGGCTTAGCTCAGTGCAGCACAGCCACAAAACAACCAGGGAGAGCAAAGTGGCTGTCATCCTTCCTGGGAATACCCATCCTCATATGCACAAGCTAAACCCTGATTTGGCTTACTGTGAATATAGAATCACAGAATCTTGGAGTTGGGAGGGACTCAAGGGTCATCTAGTCCAGCCCCCTGCAATGCAGGAATCTCAGCTAAAGCACCCAGGACAGATGGCCATCCAACCTCTGCTTAAAAACCTCCAAGGAAGGAGAGTCCACCACCTCTCTTGGGAGTCTGTTCCACTGCTGAACAGCTTTTACTGTCAGAAAGTTTTTCCAAATCTTTAGTCAGAATCTCCTTTCTTCCAGCTTCAAGCCATTGATTCGAGTCCTACCCTCCAGAGCAGGAGAAAGCAAGCATGCGACAGCCCTTAAGATATTTGAAGATGGCTCTCATGTCTCCTCTCAGTCTCCTTTTTTCCAGGCTAAACATACCCAGCTCCTTCAAGTACTCCTCATAAGGCTTTGTTTCCAGACCCCTGATCATCTTTGTTGCCCTCCTCTGCACACCTTCCAGCTTGTCAGCATCCTTCTTAAATTGTGGTGCCCAGAAGTGGACACAGTATTCCAAGTCTGGTCTGACTAAGGCAGAATAGAGCGGGGCTATGACTTCCCTTGATCTGGACACTATACTTCTGTTGATGCAGCCTAGAATAGCATTCACTTTTTTTGCTGCTTCATCACACTGCTGACTCATGTTCAGCTTGGGGTCCACCAAGACCCCATGATCCTTTTCACATGCGCAAACCAGGACAATATGTAAAAGGGAAACCCTCAGCTCATACTGAGCAGCCACATGGGTACAGAAGCTACTGGATTGGTGCTCTTGTAAACTGGCTAAACAAGCAATGTGCATACTTAGATTTTGAATTCTTACAGTGCAAATCTCTGCACGCCTATTCAGAAGTAAGTCCAGTGGAACTGACTTTCAGGTGAGCTGGTTAGCAAGCAATACACTTTTACAAAATTTGGAAGAACTCGAACTGTAATCGAAATAGATTCAGGTAGAACTGTCATTCTTGGTTATAATTTTGACTTGCATCATACAAGTTTTTCTTTACTGGACAGGTGACATTTGATAATGTGAGCAATGCATAATGCATAGGTTCAACTGTATAGGCTCTTAAAAGCTAAGCAGCTTGCTTGTTAAAAAGACTGTTGTCTCCCAAACAGAATATTGAATGGAAGTAGAATTTGCATAACATTTTCATTCATGCAACAATAATGTGATTTGGTAGCATCTGGGGCTGTTGTTGTTGTTGATGAGCTAAAATGCATTGCATACCAGGGAGGCTCGTCGTTCTCGGTATGATTTAGCTTAATAATTTATTTCCTCCCTCTACCCACCTCTGCCAAGAAAAACAACTCTGTTATGTTCTATGAAAAATATATTTCTTTTTCTGTTTCAGGAAACCTGAGCTGGTTGAGGGAGTGTTTGGATAACAGAGTTGGTGTCAATGGCTTAGACAAAGCTGGGAGCACAGCCTTGTACTGGGCATGCCATGGTGGACACAAAGGTACATTAGAAGTGAATGGAGAGGAACACCTTTCTTCTTGGAGCTTTCATCACTGGGTTAATGGACCAGCTAGCATTTCCTCTTCTACTGCAATCAGTAATGGTCTGAATTCTTGTATGATACAATTTAAATTAGGAAGAGGGAGGGAAATTAAGAAATAAGATTGGATTGGCCTCAGCTAGAGCCAGACATGAAGCGTTGCGGGTTCTGTGTGGGCCCCATCTCTTCCTGCAGAGGCCATCTCACTCCTCACTTTCAAGCCTTACTCTTGAGGTCCTTTTTATGCTGGCAGGCCTTTGTAAACTGTTTTATTCTGTATTTTTAAAATTTATTTAGCCAGTCACTTTAATGATTATATGGTGTTTTTTTAAAAGTGTTTCATGTCTTAATCGTTGCACACTGCCCTGATATTTTACGGTGTGGCAGCTCAGAAATACTAAAATAACGGGGGGGGGGAGGGGAGTAAGCTGCCTTACTCCAAGTCAGACAGCTTGTCCATCAATACAGTCCAGTAGGGTCTGCTCTTATTGGCAGCCAATCTGAAGGAATTCCTGCAGAGTGATGCAGCAAGAAAACTCCCTGCACATTTGCAAAGCTAGGCAGTGTCCAGTATGGTTTCAAATTGGATGGGGAACCACTTGTTGAGATTCCTGCATTGCAGGGGTTTGAATGATATGACTCTTGGGGTCTCTTCCAACTCTATGATTCTATGATATCACTCTCATTTCTTCTTCATTTCCTCTTGACCTTACTGATTACATCCTGCCTCTTCACCCACTCCCACACTTTGCCAACCATGTGTGTGTGTGTGTTTATAGTTATAGATATACCTGCAACTCACCTGATAAGTGGACCACAAAATCTGGTGCCATAATAAATTTAATAGCCTTTGAGTTGCCACAAAGTTTCATTGTTTTGGCTGGAAGAGACTCAACACGGCAATCCCTCTGGAAATAAATATGGATCTAAAATCATGTGCTCTTAATAATGGCGAAGCAGAAAAGAAATGAAATGAAAGGTGATCCTGAATTAAGAATGTGGGTTTTAAAAAGAGATTGTATCAGCTTTCATATAGATTAGTTCTCTTAAGTTAATTCAACTTTCACTGCTCACTTTTTGAGCTGATTGAGTCTAGATCCTTACTTTCCTGCTACATTTTGAATTAACAAAGCAACTTCCAGTTTCTCACGATATCCCCACTCCCAATTTTTTCACTTTATGCAGATATAGTGGAAGTATTATTGACGCAGCCAAATGTAGAACTAAACCAACAGGTAAGTAATTACACATTGAATGGCTTTCCAGAATGGGTTTGTGATAATGGTGATTGATTACCATTGACATGATCTAAATGTCTGTTGCCGCATTTTAACCTTGATGGGTTTCCCCACTTCTGCATCCACAGAATAAACTGGGGGACACAGCTTTGCATGCTGCTGCATGGAAGGGTTATGCAGATATCGTAGAAACACTGCTGGCAAAAGGTAATTGTATTTACCAACACATTCCTGTAACGTCATAGGCACAGGCCCTGGAGAGATGTGTATATCTGAGAAATGCACGAGTTTTATGCCTGCACGCGGTGCCCCATACCTTCCCTTTCCATTCCATGTTCTTGCCACACAATGATTCAACACTTCTTGTGGTCATGAACCATTAATGTTACATCTGAACTGGGAAACTATGGTTGGCAGCATTGAGCTAGGATCTTGAATCACAGTAGCTTTTCAAGTTGTTGTTATCCTCGTAACCATAATTTCCTGGTACTGACAAAATACAAAGCTATGGTTAGCTGAAGTCTTGCAGGATTAATAGTAGCACACTGAGAAAGGAGAACTGGTGATAAGATGAAACATGTTGAGCACAAGGCTCATACATTCCTCAGTTTATTAAGCCAAGATATGCACATCTGAACTGAGCCATAGGCACACATTCGCAATGTATACTGTGAACGAGCTGTTTTTGTGGCCTCATTTTACCTTCTATAATGCAGTTATTATTTTCTCACTTGGCATACTAGTTGAATTATGTATTCTATATTATGATAATTATAATATATAATACTACAATATATTGCGAAAGAAAAATCCAGATTTTCCATGGATTGACAAGATCTTCAGAGTTCTCTTGGTTTGCAGTCGTATGGCCACTTATCTGAAAGCAAACCCCACTGAACTCAAGAAGATAATTTTGTGTAGACATGTACAATACTTCACTGTTTGCCCCTTATGTCAAAGAGATTTGGATCAAGCTCTCTGTGCTCATATTATTCTGTCCTAGCTCATTATCAAGTATTACATAATACTATGTTTTTATATATGCTGTAAGCCACCCAGAGTGGCTGGGGGAACCCAGCCAGATGGGTGGGGTTTTATTGTTGTTATTAGACCTTCAAGAAATTACTCAGAGCAGAGCTAGCCCACCAGTGAGGTGGGATGAAGCACCTGCCTTAGGTGGTGGAAGGGCAGAAGGAGGCACCCTGCTTGCCCCATCGCTTCCACCACTTCCAGAATGCCTCTCTTGCTGAGTTTGGGCAAGCGGGGGGGGGATGTTCTGGTGCATGGCGGACGTGGAGAGCATGGCAGCAGGGGGGCAGGAGCAGCACATTCCACTTCCACCTCAGGTGGCAAAATGGAATGGGCTGCCCCTGACTTAGAACGCTGCACCCACAGAAGAAGAGTGCAGTAGCAAATCTGCAACTTTCCTTGCTGTGTTCATTAGCCATCTGAATGCCACCTTTGTTAGTGGAGTTTTATATCCCATGAAGCCCTACAATATGGTTCCTTCCATAGCCTGTTCTTCTTCCTTGTTAGAGTAGGACCAGCTGTGTTCTGAATTATGAAAGCCACCTTCTCAGTTATGTGAGGAATTATTCCACTGATATGGAGGTGTTTGCTGTGGTGATATTTTACACTGGGGCAGGATTCAACTGTGTTGTTGTGTGTGTATAATGACATTCACTTGCACACAGGACTTTTTATCTCTTACCTTCTTCCATGCCCCCAACTCTGCTCTGGGGGGAAATGCAGAACAGGTTGAGGAGACGTACAAGGTGAGGAGAGGATGGAAAAATCTTGTTGCATGAGTGGACCTCCTCCCCTCCCCCATTCCACTTTGAGTGCTGTGTTGAATTCTGCCCCTAGTGCACATTTTATACAAAAAGATACACTCATTCCCCACCAACAAACAATCTGAACTTCCATTAAAAAATGAAAGCCACGATCACTTGTTCTATGATTCTTCGTAGATAGCAAAGTGGCGTCATTCTGTTCCTTAGAATCTCTATTAGGATAGAGATTTTGCATCGGAAGTTAGAATGGAAAACTAGTTTCATTTTAGAGGAAAGTTGCTAACAAGGATAGCAAAGATATGCGGCTAACACAGGGGTCACTAAGCCGTGGTCCTCCAGATGCTTGCTGGACTACAACTCCCATCATCCCTGACCACTGGAAAATTGGCTGAAGCTGATGGGAGCTGAAAGTACAGAAGCTCCATCGGGAGGACCACAGGTGAGACACTCCTGACCTGATAGTTTCACCTCTGAATTTCTAATTGTGGTGTCCTCTGTTTTGTTTTCACAAAGGTGCTAGAACAGATTTAAGAAATAATGAGAAGAAATTGGCTTTTGACATGGCTACTAATGCAGCATGTGCTTCCCTGCTTAAAAAGAAACAAGGACAAGGTGAGGATTGTTGGTTTTTTACCTTTTTTGATGTATTTTCCAATATGCTGCATCAGTAAGCGACTTATGAATATCCCCATAACTGTTGCTGAAAGTGGGATTATGTGAGGCAGTTAGAAAATGCATTTCTGCTTAAGGACAGTGACCTAGGACAAGTTGTGATGAAACCCTACAGAAGGCTCTCCTTTTCGCAGAGCTTCAAGAATAATAAGTTCTCAGGTACACAGAGAGCCACAGAGAGACGTGATTGTAGCTATGGAGGAATGCCAAGCTGTTGTGGGAGGAAGCCTTTTTAATTATTGCAATTATTTTAATAATATAGAGGGATACAAAACGTCCTGCAATTGTCTTGCTAGAAAGAGGTGACAGCTCTGGTAACAGATTTTGAAAACACTCAGAATGACTGGCCCTGATCTTAACAGAGCAATGCTGTTGGTGTGATTGAATCCATGTCAGAGCTGCTACCACTTGCTATATGCCCTGTTCACTCACTCTAGTCCAAGGGGGAGGAGGAGTGGTGGTTTGTGTCGCTCCTCTACCCAGCCACACTCCTGCCCTTTTCCATGTTGTAAACTGACCTTCCCATTCACATCAACGAGGAGGGGAAATCAACTGTTTTTGCTCTTGGCCACCCCAACATGCCCCTTTCCTCCACCACAGCCATTGGAACCCCTTCTGTGTATTGGGACTGCAACTGCTTCTTATTCCTCTGGCTTAGCTGTTGGGTTGCACCCTAAATTTACATTTTTAAAATGTTTGTTGCTCTTTCTTCTAGACATAATGCGAACCTTAAGCAATGCAGATGAATACCTTGATGATGAAGACTCCGATTGAACTGCCTTAATACTGTCTAAAAATGTTCAGCTTTTTGTGCCTCCACCTTTCTCAAATTCTCCCTTTGACTACAAAAAGTGTACTTTTCTCATATACATATCAATGTAACATCATAGCTATCCCCTCCACAGGGTCAAAATATGCCCCTTCCCAGTACTTAAGGTCCAAAATTCTCTAGTTGGCTATTCTCTAAATTGGCTAGGTGAGAATATGTTTGATGGCTTTTCCCATTATACACTGGACTTTGCCCTTAAGAAGAAGTGTTAATATATCTCTGCAGACATTGGGTTTTTTGCAGGACTAATTGCCATCTTTAATGCTACACCATGCTAGTTTTATTTTACTTTTACAGAAAGAAATATATCAGGTAGAAGAGTGGTTGGTTTTCCTTACAACACATATTCATCTGTGTGCATGTTTATGTGTATTTTATTTGCACACACACACACACACACACACGTGTATAGGTGTTGGTTCCGTGCATGTTTATACACTGAGAGCCCAAACTGGAGTCATGGAATGAAAATACTTTATATCAGGAACATACCCTTAAGGGGACTGGAGTTGAAGAGATATTCTAGTTTCCCACAAACTGGTTCTGGTTATACACATTTTCTGTGGTCACTTGGGATTACCCATGGCATTTGTGTGCAACTCTAGCCTTGCACAGGAACAGGGAGTGAGTCATACTGGGTGAGAGAAAGGAGCAAGGCCTGTTGCATTAGCCAGCACAGGAAGCAACAAATCTCTCTGCCCAGTGGTTGCTTAGAGCCTTAGAGGGTGAATGGAAGCTTATGTCTCCATTTCCCCTTGGAATGACTGTAGGGAGAAATCAGACTCTGGTTCCATTTGAGCCCAATTCCTAACTCCTGTAATGATCACCCAGAGAACAAAGGATGGCCTTATTTTCCTCTGAAATGACTGAGAGTGCAGGAGGGATTTCTCTCACCTGACCCCCCCCCTCACATGAGCTTCATGAAGTCCCTGCTGTGTGGGGGGTGGGTGGGTGTGATTTAAAAGCATTTCAGTGGGTGGGAGAGGATGCTCCTTTGCCCATTAATCTTTACGGCTCACTTCTAAAGGCAGAAGGCATTAAAGCTCCATAACCCCTTTCATAATCATGTTAACCAGCAGTTAAATGGGAGGTGGAATGTGTGTGGGGGTTCTATCCAGCCCCTCTTTGCTTCCCCTCCCAAGCAACCATTCTGTTGCATGCACAGTCCCAGCAGCTGACCCGAGAGATGGTGCACAAGTCTTCATTCACAAGGTTCCCCATCCAGCGCAGGATAAGTGCACAGAAGGATTACCACCCAGTCCAATCAGGGAATTTATATAGACAAGGAACTTATTCGTTAACTCATTGTGCTTTTGTGTTCATATCTGTCCCATGGAGGCAAGGGGTGTTCCTCCTCTTCTCTGCCAGAGATTCTTGCTCTTTTTGTGCATTTCTGTTCCCCCTGCCCTAAAGTATTTCACCTCAAAAGCTGATGTGTTTCTGAAATCATTTATTGGTGGGATGCCACAAACCAAAAGTATATTCAGAAATAATATTGAATAAATATTTTAAATGCTTTGAAACTTAGATTGCATTTCTTCCTTGAGAATGCAAGCTTTTGCCTGGGTTGGAATTAATAGGACTTTATGGCACTAATGCTTGGGAGATTACAGCTGCAATCTCAACATAGAGTAGTGAAGATGCCCACGAAATGGGAGTGAGGAACTTGCAATCATAAATCCGTTTTTAAAAAATATCCCTACATTATAATTTTGATGCAAACTTTACTGCAGGGCTTAATTGTTGTTTCACATTAAATTATGACTACCAGAAAATTCACACTGCACTGAAATGAATTCTTCCCCTCTTTTGCACACGTAATTAAGTTCTTACATTTTTTGGCTTATTTTACAAGGCTCTTTCTGCTCCAGACGCAGCCCCCTGGATTAGTATTCTGGATTTTATGAGGTTTTCATTTTATGTTCCTGCCTTATCTGCATATTGAAGATAATACTTTGAGCTGCAAGAAGTGCATACAAGCAATTTCATTTCATTGCAGTCAGTCAGTTTTTCATATTACCTAGCAGATCTCCCCTGAAGGATATTTATTATGAGTTTATTTGCACAACATAATTTATTTTACCATGAATATCTGTTACTTTTAAAAAGTTATTCTAAACAAAACAAAGGCTGATGAGATACATGCAGTCAATATTTCACCTTGACATTCTTCCCAAAAACCTATACTTGGGAAAATAGATATTGACCAAGTTATGGTTGTGTCACTCCCAATTATAGGGCATCACCCTCATATTAGGCAGTGATCTGTGCTGAATTTCTCTTTAACTGTATTCATTACTTATTCATTTTTCTAGGGCTCAGAGTACTGTTGACAAGCATCCAACTGAAAAATGGTGGCCCAGACTAGAAAGACTTCACAAGCAATTTGTTATTTATTTACCTTTGTGACTTACTTCCTATTAAACATATCAATTTAGAATACACACACACATACACACAATTTCATATATAAAACAATTTCAAGTCTAACAACAACAACAACAACAACAACATATATTATTTATACCCCGGCCACCTGGCTGGGTTTCCCCAGCCACTCTGGGTAGCTTCCAGCAACATATTAAAATACAATAATTCATCAAATATTAAAAGCTTCCCTAAGCAGGGCTGCCTTCAGATGTCTTCTAAAAGTCAAATAGTTGTTTATTTCTTTGACATCTGGTGGGAGGGCGTTCCACAGGGTGCCACTACCGAGAACACAGATGAAGAAATCTCCAATAAAAAGGCTTGTTGAAAGAGGAAGGTCTGAAAAGATGACTGAAATGGTGTGTATCTGATGTTCAGTGAGAGGTTGTTCCAAAGCATGTTTGCCGCCACACTCAAGGCCCAATTCCTACTTCCTATAGATGGGGCCTCCAGATAAGATGGGAGCTAAAGAAGGCCCCTCTTTTGCAGAACAAAGTTATCTGTTGTATATCGAAGGAGTTAGATAAAATTTTAGTTTTCCTGGTCCCAAGCATTGAATATTAATACCAGGACCTTGAATCTACATCCTGCCTGGAAGACATGGCATAGCAATGGACCCCAAAGTAGGGTCTGGAAAAGCTAGAGTAGGCATGGATTTATTTATTTATTTATTTCCCCTTTCATTTAAATAAAAAAGCCTGGCAGGTTAGTATAACCATGTCAATAATATGCAAGCTCAACAGCAAGTAAGTAACTGCAGTACCATAAATCACCTATGGTGTGTTCATTAGGAAACGCATGAGATACAGACATGGAAAATAACAGATTTTTGGCAGGAAAACAGTGCAGGGAGGAAGGGTTCCCTCCTCCTCTTGCGCCATGGTCCTAATCCAGGGCTGCTTTTTGAACAGAAAAATATGCTGGGAATTCTAATAAGAGAACTACCGCATCACATTCATCTGATCTGCAATTCTTGCTGCATTCATTGAAATGTGTGGCTCAGTCCTGTGCTTCTTTCTTTGGAGGTGAGTCCCATAGGCCCACATTCAAAAGGGTTTAAGTCCAAGAACCCAGACATAGGGTTCCCAGTTTGATCGGAACTTTTATGTTTGAACATTCAAATTCATATACCCCATGTATCCAAAGTAGTAGCACCAGACACCCAGGCTCTGTGACAGCATTGAGAATTAATATGAGGAAGGGCCCATTCTGCCATTTTGAATAACTAGCGGAATAGCAAATCACATAGTGCCCAACAAGCCAGTTTGAGGATGCCTGCACAATCCCATAAAAGAGAAGTCTGCCTCCAGATCTGCAGCGCATGCCTTGTTCTACTTCCTTGGTCTTACAGTCATACCTCAGGTTGAATGTGCTTCGGGATGAGCGTGTTTGAGTTACGCTCCGCGGCAACCCGGAAGTAAGGAGCGTGTTACTTCCGGGTTTCACCGCTTGCGCAGGCGCTCAAAATTACGTCACGCGCATGCGCAGAAGCGCCAAAACGTGACCTGCGCACACAGACACGGGTTACGTTTGCTTCTAGATGCGAACGGGGCTCCGGAACGGATCCCGTTCGCATCTAGAGGTACCACTGTATTAGCATTAGAACACCAAAGCACTTACACATTTTTTTTACTTCACTTTCATTGTGAAGTAAATTTAAACTTGTATGCAAATGCTTGACTGTGAAGAACCTGAACCTGGAGCAAATACATGAGCAAGTCAGCAAATTACCCCCAAAAGTCACAGTAAACAGCAATAATGGTTTATCTTTGTTTATACTGCAGCGAAAGCAGACATGCAATGCTGGCACCACATCACTTGTTTCACTGGAATCCCAGCACTTAACACCAAAATTATGCAGTTTTAGTATATAGTATTTATTATAGAGTAACCAACCTGCAAGTTAGGCACTTATGGTCTGCCAGGGGGGAAACACCTTTCATCTCTACACTTTCTCAGCAAACATTTAATTGTAGGATACAATGGAAATGTTTGACTGACTGACATAAATACACAGTAAACTGTTGTAAACAGAATTATCCATTTTTAAAAGATACCAGTCATTGCTGTAAAAAAATATGTCCACACAGAGTCTGAGGGTTCAACGAGACATGGCATAAAAAAATAGGTGTAAATCAGTTCTGAACAACAGCTCCAGGGGAGCGGTGTGTGTTTTCATCCTTTCCTTGAGCTGTTTGGTTCAAGACATTTTGCTGACTGAGGAAGAAGAGCAAATAGCATCCCCACTCCAAGTTGCATAATACTAAAGGCTGGCCAGGTTATTCTGGCTTCAGAGGCAGAAAATCCCACAAGCAGCTCTTTCTCTTCTGCCAGCAAAAAATGCAAGAAAAAAATTAACTTGTATACTCGTAAGCCAGTCCCATTGTGTATATTGCATGAGTAGTATTTTTTTATATTTTTTTATTAATTTATATATTCATACACATGTGCCTCAAGGTAGTTTACTTAAATGGGGAGATGGGCAGCTTTAAAAACTGTACAGAAACATGACAGCTAAAGGTAGTTTAAAAGCAATGCAGAGTAAGCGCCTACAGCAGATACCTTTTCACTCAGCTGTTGTTGATTTATTACACACACACTTTGCAGCAGTGCTTCCAGGAACTTCTTTAAAAAAACATTATAAAATACAAAAAGCATTGCAATGTTGTGCAACAGGAATGCATTTAAAGGATTAGGCTTTTGTTTTATTTTTAAATCTTTGCCTGGCACTGTAAGGACAGCAATATTGGTGACAGAAATTCCCTGGAGAGGAAAGTTCATATATGGTGAACTTAACTTTAGCGGCACCTACAGAAGAGCCTCAAAAGATCTCTCAATACATAGGCAGGTTGAAATGGAAGCATGGGCTCCTTCAGAGCATAAAGCACTTCAAGGAGAACCTGAGGGCGTAAGGATGCTGTTGGAGGCCAGCTCTCCTCAGCCAGAGGTGGCGAAAACTCTGCACCAACCGGAGGGCACAGGTCTCCCATCCTCGCTTTAATGGGAGGCACAAGTATTTGGACTGGCACTCAGAAGTGGTCTGTCAGCTGGAGCAGTTCTTTAACAACCAGCAACATTTCAAAGTGACCAGGCAACCAAGGTTATCAAAGGACCAACACTCAAATTATGCTGGTGCCTGTTAAGTTGTGGGCGAACATATCAGACGACGCAGCGATTCTTCCAAAGCAGCTCCTTATTTGTAAGCTGGAACAGAACTGGGCTGAGGAGCTCAGTCAGCCTGCTTATATAGAGCTCCAGAACAATGTAACTGTTGCCATTTTCTAAAACTATCCAATCACTGAACGTCACTTTCGATCTTTCATTTGCATACAAACTATCCAATCACTGAACGTCACTTTCGATCTTTCATTTGCATAACTATCTACAGTATCCCCCTGCTGGCCCAGGGTGAGAACTTCAGTACATAACACCCCTCCCCACTGAGATAAGGCATTAGTTACAATCGTAATGGTTTCCTTATATACAGCACTACACGTAATGGTTCAATTAGGCACAAAAGCATATCGGTTACATTTCACATACTTAGACCAACAGTGATACATGTCCAACAACATAGTCCTTTAAATAAGTTGAGCGCTTGGAAACTCTGCCAGACCGCCGGGGACTGGTAGCCAAGTCCGGGGGGCCACCCAATTCTACATAAAAATCATACTGAAAACGCCCAAAGCCCCTGGCCTGGATGGTATCCTTCCAGAAATGATAAAATCACAGGTGGACTGTGGGCTCCTTTTCTAGCCACCCTTTTTACCCATATAGATGATACTGGTCGCTTCCCAAGGGATTGTGGAACAGCCATAGTGGTTCCATTCTATAAAAAGGGCAACAGAGGGGATCCAGCGAATTATAGGCTGATCAGCTTATTAGGTGTGATAAGCAAACTTTATACAAAGCACTTACTTGAAAGGTTCAAAGAGTGGCTGGAAAACGAAGACATTCTGGCAGTAGAACAAGTGGGCTTCAGACCCGGCAGGTCCACGATAGACCACCGTTTAACGTTACAACATCTGATAGAAAAATATAAATCAGGGGCAAGCTTCACTCTTCGCCGCTTTTGTAGATCTAAAAGCAGCCTTTGACAC